CTAACCCTAACCCTAACCCTAACCCTAACCCTAACCCTAACCCTAACCCTAACCCTAACCCTAACCCTAACCCTAACCCTAACCCTAACCCTAACCCTAACCCTAACCCTAAGTCGTATAAGCACATGCTGGATGTGAATAGGCTGTACAATGGCGCTGGCGGTAGGGTACCCATACCCCGTCATCCTCCTCATCATGTCTTTTTTCCGCCCACAACGGAACGTTGCAGCTCCCCACCCCCCCCCCCTAAGCCGTAGAAGGACATGCTGGATGTGAATAGGCTGTACAATGGCGCTGGCGGTAGGGTACACATACCCCGTCATCATCATCATCATGTCTTTTTTCCGCCCACAACGGAACGTTGCAGCTCCCCCGCTCCAGCCACGCCTGCGTCGTGCGGTAGTACCCTTCCCTTTGAGACAGTTCCGCGTCTTCAGCAAGAGTTACCGCCGCCATATGACGAAAGTCTGAGTGAGGGACAGTCGCCAAGGATTAGACCAGATGCCAAAAGTTCCGGCGGCGACCTTCCCCCGCCGGGGTACGGGGATACCGAACGGCGGCACAATGTCCTAGATCTCTCCCTGGGCGCCCTCCCCTGTGGAAAACAAGACACATATAGGCATCCAACTTCCAAAAGAAAACGTTCATTTGCCGCTATCTGCTCGCCAAGGACTGGAAAAGGCGCCTCTCGCCCGGGAAAAATACCGCCATCTCCATTCTTGGACCCAGACGACGAGAACAAGACAGCGCATTTCCTGCATTTGCTTGAACTGCAACGCCAACAAATTGAACTGCAACGCGAGCAGATAGAGCTGCAACGCGAACATATTGAACATTTACAAAAGAACATTGGGGAATTGCAGAGACGACATGGTGAGCTAGAGGCCGACTGTTTAAAGCTGGAAACCCGTCAAGACCAAGCTGATGACGCCATCGACAATCTATCTATTGATGTGAGCGAGCTGGAGGACAAGTACGCCGAGGTTGTACATCAAATACCAGACGCTTGTGACGAGTTCAAGGACTTGAAGGAAAACATTGGCGACACGTTTAAAGAAGACATGTGCAAGTTGATTGAGGATAGCATGGCGAAACAAATAGAGGAGTGTGTCGAGGCTCAAGCAGATGAGGTAAAGAGGAGGATTCGCCAAGCTCTGCAATAGGTATGAGCCAACGATAAATCAAATCAATGCGAAGCAAAGCTACTAGGAAATACCTACTTTTACTCCTCATTTCAACAGATACATAACGAGACGTCAGTTATTGCTATGTTCCCCCCCCCCCCAATAACCGTCCAGACCGTCATTTTGATCAATGCCGCGATGTCTTCTAGCGATTCTGATGCTTCTAATGCTTCCAGTGGCTCCAGTACGTCGTACGTAGCTGTATAGTGGTTGCGACCCACCCGGGAGACCTGGCTTCCGCCTATACTCCCGACCGTACGCCGGAGCGAAGCGACAAGAGTACCGTACGGCCCCGCGAACCTACGGCTGAGCCCGTACGTCTAGGCTCCTTTACCCCTGTGCCGAACCGGGCCCGGGAAATACGGCGGTTATCGGAAACCCCTTTGGACCTCTTCTTCCGATTCGTCCCCTAGGATCTTGTTAATTAAAAGTAACAGCTAAGGCTGGCGCATACAACTATTTACATTTAGCTGCCAAAGGCGTTGCCGAGTTATGCATTGAATATAGAACATGTCGTAATTGTCTTGTATGTAAGAGTTGTCTTGCATTGATCTCCTGCGTCAATCCAGAAACATGCTGTCGTACTATCCTCGTCAACGCAGATAATCCGACGATAACCCGAGATGTTTTGTATAAACAGATCGCCAGTGTTAGAGCCTTTGCTGGGGGTTGTGTACTGGAAGTCGTTGTTGTGATAATACGTATTTTGGCCGAACTCGGGCTGAGTTCTAACTAAATTGACTGCAGTAGGAGGGAGAACCAAATTTTGGGCACACGGTTTTATAGCAAAGACTTCGGATGCAGCCGCTAAAAGAATATTAATAAGAGAGATCTGCATGTTCGTTCGTGACGTGAGATCTAGTAGACAATTGAAGACCAACGAATACAATTTATGGCGGAAGGAGGCTGGCAAATAAAGATTTTACAGAGAGCGGGATCGAGCTTTCTTAATAGCCGTATGAAAAGCAATAAAATAAACCAGTACACGGACACCTTAACTAAATCTACGATTATAAATAGCCTAAAATAAGTTTTGAGCGGTTTTTTATTTTAATTAGCATAATACGTAAATAAATATAAGGTTTAAGAGCTGTTCCTTTTAATTTGACACGATATGTAGCTTAATATATGAAGGTTTGAAGGATTCTTCTATCAAACTTATTTTAAGAAGTAGCATATCCGTATAATTATTTGATAAACTTTACCCGCGCTGTTATATATGGGTTCTGTACCAATTTATTCATATTAAAATTTCTTCTCTATCAAATCATTAGCCCATCCAAAGCTAGTGAAAGTAATTAGGCATTGATGATGTACCCCAAGCTGACAAGGGTGTCCTTGAGAAGCTTGGAGTGATGGGCTCTACATTACGCTCTCGTCGTGGACCTTGTGGGATGGGTGTTGCACTGATAACAGCTGCCTGGAGCAAGAGGAGGGATAGCAAGAAGCGGAGTCCCTTAGGGCTAAGGAAAGGAACGGTGTTAGCCATAATAATTCGACCTCGTTAACTGCGAGGAAAGTAGTAACCAGGAGAAGATAGTATGTGCTTATAGATGAACATAGCGGGTTAGGACTTCATGTAGGCGAAGGAATTGAAGATGGATTCAGCTCCGTTGGTGGAGGTGAGTGACAGAAAACTCTGAAAGGAATGTGGAATTAAAAGTTATGGTTAAAGACGCTTTTTTCTGCTCCAGTCCAACGATGAAGGCATCGGGTTTTTCTGGCAAACTGATTATGGCTTCATTCATCGTTCCCTAGCGACGCCGCGGGAACCGCCTAAAGACAGAGGTGTCTAATGTCTAGTGTCAAGGTACTCAGTGTTAAGCTTAATTTTAGTAGCTTTATCTTTATTTATCAAGTAGGAGATATACACAGCTCCTCATTCAAAAAGTAATAAAACTGTCAGGCTGCGCCGTATCAAGTGAAGGGGTCAACCGTGCAGGTAGGGCACACTAGTGTTTGTCATTCGAATCTGCCCTTCTTAAGTTCACGGCGCCTAGTATCCACTTACAATTCTCTTAATGTGGGGATAATATCAATCAACCACCGTAGGGCACTCCGGCACCACGCCGGTGGCTGTGCACCTGACAAAAAGCCGATCTAATGACTCGTCGCGCACATGATGCAATGGAGCAGTCTTTGCTCTCCCGGACAATCGAATGCAGACGCCGTTGAAATTACAGCAGGCAGACAGCCAAGTAAACAGCCAAAGGTTCATAAAGGTCTTGTCTTATTTTCGTATAATGTGCGCTGCGACTAAAAATTCCGGTGTGGCCATCGCACTATCCCAGCGATGTCCTCTAAGTAAACTTGAAGAAATGAAAAAGAACAACACTCTAATGACGAACTGAGCGAATTTCTTGTAGTCCGCCGGTGTATCCTGGCTAAAGGCATGCATGCTGATTATTTGAAAAAAAAAAATACTTACCTGGAGACACCTTACTAACCTTGCAGCCTCGGTTCCTGCCTTACTTCGCTTTCTCGTCCATAATCATCATGTTTATGAGGACTCAGTATATTCTCACGGTGTGTCTCTTCTTTGGCTGTGGTGTCAGCTATCCTGTCTTGTGGCAGTGATAATTGTACCGGCCATCCGCAGGTCAACCATGACCTAGTAGCAATATTCAAATAAGACTCGTCCCCAGAAACAGACAGACGCCTCGAACTCAGATTCAATCCCCTTATTATCGTCACAGGAGGTAATGGCCCGTACCCTGCAGTCGACACCAACAGATGTATTATGTAAGCAATCTTAAATCACCGCACTATCAGAGGGTAGTGACTGACGATATCTTGTGAAAGAGGTCTAAGACCGACAGGCGGCGGAAGGTTAGGCTACGGTAATGGCGGTACTGTTTAGGTATATACCCGCCGCGGCAGTAGTCATAGCCACGATGCTATTATAAACAGCTACTACCTCCTAAACGTTCGATAGGGAAGGGCAACAACGAGGGACATCGTCATTAATGGGCCAGTATCATCGTTTAGGTTAATCGATGGAGCTGTAATGCCGAGAAGCCCTCGTCGTACAAACGGGTTAGAATCTCCTACATAGCCGACCACGTAACATAGGGTTCTCGCCTCACAGCGAACTGACGTTTAGGGCGTCCTCAATAGGTCCGATTATCCAGATCCACAACGACGCTATAATGCCGTTCAAGGACGCCGATGTTGCCGCGGCTTCTAAGCGTACCCTGATCTCTTGGATGTCATTATCCTTGCAGGCGCTTCAGGCTTCTACTGACGTCAAGTACGAAAAGACCCAAGTGCCATTCACGAATGGCAATTTCTAGGCCGCTCTAGATGCCGCTTATCGAGAGAGCTTTTACAACAGGTTAAAGGATGGACAGGACTGCGATAAGATCATCCCGGATCCTAATGCTGCTGACTTGGATCTGGTCAATTAACCTAGCTAGCGCAGGTTCTTCGCCTCGGCGTACCATAACACGCCTGTCGAGATGAAACGCCCAGATCCTACCCAGCTATTTGACAACTATCGATCACAACTTCAGCAGCTGCGCAAGGGAAACTTGAGCGCTTTCACTCAACACTTGACGAAATCATCCCCCAACTCCTGGACCTCTTTACCGAGGACTGGCCGCTCGTGCCCTACCACACCGACCTCCTCGAGGATAATGTCCACGTGAGTAAAGCCACAGGCAGGATTGTAGGCATCTGCGACTGGGGAGGTGCCGAGGTTGGTCCGTTCGGGATGTCGCTAGGGGGGCTCAAGACTATGCTTGGGACCTCAATCACGACTGGAGACTTTTGGCTTTGCCAGGTGAATCACCGAGAGCTCCGAGATCATTTTGGGACCCGATTCTACTACTATTTGGGAGGGCGCATCTGACGCGCAGAAGCGACGCATGGAGGCTGCAAGACTGATTGGCCTCTTCTTGGCCAATGGCTTCCAGCATGGCATGCCGTCTACGGAGGAAAGTGAGGACTTGCGCTTTCTCGGTGCAGTCATTTTCAAACACTGATAGCACGTGTTTACCATACATACCTAGATATTAAGTTCGTAGTTCCTTTTGTTCCGACATATCGTAGTTGATGACTGTATCCTTGTGTGTATGTGGAACATGAGAGTGTTAGGTTTGATGTAAGAGTTTTTTGGGTTTGTAGGCTGCTAACATTAATGGGTGATCCCCGTGACTCACAGCGTTCATCTGCTCATCCCTTTACCTTTTATCCCTACATTTTTGGAAATCCCGGCCAGCTAAGTATGCCTTAACCTAGGATTAGGAGATATTAGACGGCGTTCTTGTTCATATTTCCTGCTGGAAAGATGATAATTTTCATCTCCAATTATCCGTGGTTTCCCTTGAGACGGAAATGATCTCAAGAAGACTCTTAGTTATCGCTTGGACAGTCGATCCTACCAAGAGCGCCACGGAAACAATCCCAGAACCTTCCTAGACTTGACCAGACTGATGAGAGAGCCTATAGCAAGGAGGAGGAATCTGTGATGAATTGGAACTTAAGAAAGTAAAGAAGTTCTCGTCGTAGGATCAAATGGGAAGAGGAAGGCTGTCTTCCGGAAGTGTTACCGCTGTAGTGCGCCCGGCCACTTGAAAAGAGAGGGCCCACAAGAGGAGGAAAACGCAAGAGAGGAATTTCAAACGTTAGAGAAGAAGGATCATGAGCTCTTTTATGTCAACATAGGGGTCAACGGTTTGCATTGTACCTAAACACTGATAAACAAATGCAGCACCAGCTGCGCTATGATTAGTAATTCTCACGCTTAGAAACTCCATTCGCCGCGTATTACGATTATCCCCCAGGATAAAACACAGGCGAATAGTATGGTTATCAACCTTATTACTGCCGTCACCTAAGGTAGGCAGACGTGGCAATTGACGGTTACAAGAGGAAGCGTTTTGTTCTTTTACATCGTCCCTGATGAGAATGAAAACATTATGATGGGAATAGTTTGGATAACTCACGACCGTGTTGTATCGCACCTGGAGGAACGCGCCATGCATATTCGCCGTACAGTCTCTAGAGCTCCCTGCCCCAGATTCTCAGCAGAGGGTGAGCGAGCGCTACAGAACATAGTTTTCGATGGCCATGTCTTAAGATGTTTTGACCAATCGGAATGAATTGCCATTTGGAAGACCCTTTGTTCCTCTAATTTTATGAATCCACCACTATCAACATTTTGCAATAATGCTAAGTATCTCGGGCTGTGTACTGCAGGGCATAGACTGCAGAGTTGATGGTGGACCGTTTACATTAGCCCAGGTGGAAGGAATTTAAAAAGAGTTTAGGCGGGGGTGAAGCCTGTCTGGGCACATTTTGGCTAAGAGGCGGTATCGCAACATTACCATGTTGGTTGGGGGAGTGGGGGAGTGGAAGGTAAGGTACGGTACCTTATCAATGGTTTCCAGTATCCGCCTGCCCCCTTAATCCACACGATGCTCATATGTGTTATACGGATACCAACAGCTTATTTAAATAAGAGTAAATTGTTCATATAGAACGTTCTATAGAAAAGGGGAAGACTGTCGCCGGTAAATAACGTTGCAATTACCCTGCAGCAGGTATCTAAGACCTTGATAATCGAACTACACGATGCAGGTTAGAGGAAAAGGTATTTAGGGGTTGACGCTTCGTACAGCAGTCTCTTTTCTCTATATCGATGAGACATGGTCACTAAAATCACGTGGTCTCTTAATAAAACTTCATCTCCTAAAACAATAAACTTTTGATTTTCCTCTTGCTAAGTAGGCGATAAGTTCCGTTACACTATGTCACTTGTTTACAAACTTACTTTTTTCCCTCAACCATGCGCCATGACGTACCAACATCGGTGGTACGATGCAAAGACCCGTGGCCAACGCGGCGAATAAAGATGATGCTCTGTTGAAATCTAGTGCATCGAACAAGATCCGTCCAAAGAGCGGAAAGGTTGCGCAGAATAGCGAGCGAGTGAGCGCTAACGCTGCAAAGCTACTGGCTGTGTAAGTCTCGTAGCAGTCAGATAGGTATCCGGCCAAGACGTGATCAAGCTCGTTGACCGCATACCCAACCGGCACAAGGGCCAAGGTCGGAATCATCCAGTGGACTGAGACGCGCGGAGGGATCGTCCATGCGAACCACCAAAGACCTATAGCCAGTGCGGGGGCCCCGATGAGATACCCGGTAAACTTCGACTCTGGCGAGACTGGCTTGTCAGCGTTGGCCAGAACGCGGCGATCGTAGAACCTGGTAAGCACGCTGAGAAGCATTCCGATTACTAGAGCAAGGAATGGTGCGTTCTGCCAGCCGTCGGTGAAACCCAATGCTTGGTAGACCATCGGTAATACCTCCGTGAAAAGATAGATGAGCCCGAACGCAATCGCGCTTATGAAAGCTACCAAGAATACGATGGGCTCGGTGAATAGTAGGCGAAGTGGCCGGACAATATCAAACTTCTCGTAGCTCAGTGGAATATGCCACTTGCTGCCTTTGCCTTCAAGATCATCGAGAGCCTTGGCATGACCCAGTACAACAGACGGTCGCGACTCTTTGATGGTGAAGAATAGAATTGCAACGCAGGCCGTCACAATTGCTGCGGCATAGAACACCCATTCCCTAGTCGAAAAGATCAGCCTGGGCACCAGAAGCCCGGAGAGGTCAACGACATACCATGTGGCCTTCGCTGTTACCAATTCTCCAAAGACAGGTCCCGCTAGGATACCAAGGTTGGCTAACAACGCCCAGCAGAACATGCACCATACTCGCGCGTTTGTATCCCAGAGGTCCTCGATACTGCCAGTCGCAATAACGGTCGGGATTGCAGAAAGGAATCCGCTACCAAAACGGCCCACAACGATCCCAGCAATGGTAGGGACTTTCCCGATCAGGATGCAGAACAAGCTGTAGAAGGCGGTGCTGATGATGTAGAGCTTCTTACGGCCGAAAGACTCGGAGAAAGGAGGAAAGACGACTCCACCGATTGTTTGGCCAATTAAATATCTTTGCTTCTATGTTAGTGAAACTGCACTGGTTACTGCGAGAGTCGACACTTACATTGACACAAATATGCAAGTTGCTACAACAGGACTGACACCAAGGTCATGATGCAGATGCGCGGCGACAGGCGTCTTTTAAGCAGGTCAGCATACAATCTTCTACGCACTCCCGAATCACAAAAACCTACTCCTGCGGTACTAATCATTGTCCTAATGAAGTTAGCTTCAGCAAATTGAAAGAAGAGAAAAGGGTTCTTTACGTGAAGAATTCCAAAAACACAACCAGGCTTGTATCCCATATTTTTCGAGCAAGTCCCCACTGTCGAGGATGAATACCTTTGAGTGCAAGCGTCTCTTCCGAGCTAGAGTGCGCCCCATGGCCCAGCTCGACACCATACTGATGTTCGTGAATTGTCGAAGATGAACACAACATGTTGACAATGGTCGACCTGCAGATCAGATCCGACGCGACTAGTCATACGTAGACGAAGCTGATTTGGATTGTTGCTATGGTGGCCCTGGTCTGCGAGGACTGAGAAGTTTTATACAAACAAACACATTGATACTTCAAACTCGCGGGGAACTGCTGAAAGTCCGTTTCCATACAACGCTCTCAATGGCACCATCGAGAACCTTAGTTTGCATCAGTCTTGGCGCGCAAAGGTGTTAAAGTCAATCCTGATTAAATGCAAAAGTCTACTCTGCACCGGGGAATCCGCACAAGGGTTAGTAACCATTCATTAGCTAAGGTTGTGATCGCAATCAAAAAGCTTGAGAAATTGTATTTATTTAGATGTATTCGTGTTGCCTGGTGTGTTTGGCCTCCGTGGAAGGATGGACAATGCGCATAGAATGTCACGGCGCGCGGGGTGTGGTGAATTGAGTCAGGCTATCGGCAATAACGAGCTGTCATGATCCTTGTCCGGTGCTATAAAGCTGTGCTTCGCTTCGAACAATTGTGCAAGCTGTAGTTGAAGCTGAAGCATGATTTTAACCACCTGCCGACTGACGCTGCCGACTGACGCTGCTCAAAGATATGAATGACATCTGCTAATGAGAAAGAAGTATATACCGGCAGCTGCTCTACCACATGCCTTGTAGAAGTCGAGGTTTCGTCACTCAGGATAGAAAAGTGCCGTGAGACACCAAGTTGCCTGTTTCAAAGCAGTGCTGAAAGTGCTGATCGCTAACGTGATGTACATCATCCCAAAACAGGGTCAGTCTTAGACACAAAATTGCGGTGCGCTGATTGGCTAAAATAGGACCCGTAATTTCCACAGTCGCTATGGAAGGAAAATTTGAAGTTCACTCCCGATCCGGGGATCCCGCGCGGGGTTCGGCGACGCCGGGCCCCACCCCCCGGAGGGGCGTCACAACTATAATAAAGTCTGCGAGCTTCTCGCCGTAATAGTCGCAGGAAATATTGAAATAGAATCGGGTGCCCAACCACCGCTTTTCAAAATGTTAAAAGCGCAGGACTAACCGCATGGTTCTGATATAGCAACCTCTTGCGGCCCAGTGGGGGAACTCCCACTCCACGGCTTCGGGATGGATCTCTCCGTGAAGTGATTTAACCCAATCGTCACACTCAATCAGACACGCACTTCTGACTTCTCGACAACCGTGTACTCCAGGATAGCTGTATCTTCTATACAACATCGATTATCTGTGTTGCGGCATTTCTGCGGCCATAGTATGGTAATTCTAATTTATAATTTCTGTATGCTAGGGTGAATTTCTGTTGCGTCTGAGAATATGCAAGTCGCCCTTTTCCATCAGGCACCCGTATCAGTCCTATTGTGAAGGCAACATCGTCGTAGCAATCCTACGTCACATGCTTTCAGATGAAGTGGGGAAAGGAGTCTCAAGGCCTGAGGCAGTCTATCCAAGATTCCGTCATCCACTGAGCAGGAAATAATTCAATTACATCAAGCTCTAAAATACCTCGTCCATCTTTGAAAACCAATCCCGCCAAGCCTCTCCCTATACCATCGCTAATTTTACGCCCCTTCCACAGCATATCCTATGTCGAACTCTATGTCGAACTAGCATCATTCCTCTCCGCCTCCACATTACCACGGAAGATCCCAAAGAGTGAATCAATATGAGCTTCCCCAAACAAATCCAGCCAGGTCGCCCCTCGTTCAAGAAACAAATTCTACCTTGAGCCTATGTCGCACCAAGAATGGACCAATCATTTGACAACATATCTATTGACGTCTTCTTCCTCAAATCCGCTCGTGATTGACGCAGAACACATACGGCAGGTCTCGACCTCGAAAGGATGTGGACATATTCATCTCCTCCAACGGCACAGTGTTCAGAATTCCAGACGCCACTACCTGGATCCAGCGGAAGTCCCGTCGGCGGCGAGTATCACATCGAATAGGTAAACGTCGCTCTCCTCCTCCTCTCAGCGGCCAGCGCGAGTCCTTCGTCGACGGCCCGGCCCTTGACATCGTTAAAACCTGCACATCCATTAGTGTGTATATCAAAGGGCTCCGTAGCTCAAGGGATGAGACATATATAACGAGGGTGGTATTTTCCCAGGTCGTTGAAGCCGCTGCACCTGGTAACTTCGTCGGAGAGCTGCATTTGAATAGGACAAACCACGATCAACGTTGATAAATAGCATAAGGGGTCATTGGCTAAGAAACGTAGCCTTCCTTGATCTACGGAGACTCTTTATAGCTTAGGAAGGTCATCTATATAAATGACTTTGGCCTGCGTCTAAAATTTAACAACTCTAATATTTCGCTAAGTGTACTTTTACTAATCAAGTATTTTAAATAAAAAAAAACCTTTAAACTATTTATTTTATTATTAACTTTCTTAATTAATATTTTGTTTTTTTAAAAAAATATTATTAAATAATAACTAAAATATTATTAGAATTACTAAATAGTAAAATAATAAGTATATAATAAGTAAATAATATTAAACTCTTATTATATATACAGTTTCTAAAAAAAATAAAAATTAAATAGTGTTAAAGTAAATTGATATTTAAATAAAGAATTGAATAAAGACTTGTTTTTAAAAAAAAGTATTAGAGTATGAATATATACTTAGCAGTATTCGAATTTAGTAAGTGCCCTAAAGTGGCTCTAAAGGGAGGTTTTATATCCCTTATATAATTAATAGGGGCCCACCATTGGACTCTTCTCAAGCACCTGATAAGGATCGACCCTGGGAAGCACAGCGTATCTCGAAAGAACTTTTGTGACGATTGACGAGAAAATCAGCATCTTTTCTACACTGCTGATAGCTACCACCTTATCGTTCAAATCCTGGCCATAGCGGGTTTTTTAAATGCTTATAATGTGGTGAGGAGAACGCGGGCAAATTTTGAAAATGTGCTCACTCTACCTGTCGTACACCGCCACAGGAGGCAAACAACGCCGCCGGCATCTGTTGGTCAATGAGGCTGCTTATTAATCTGGGCATCCTACGGTGTGGCAGAACGTTGTTTTAACAGAGTCTTAACAAGCGCTTAGCGATCTACCTGTGTGATGGTGCGAGGGCACTGAGGGTTGCCTCCTGTACTGCCTAGCTGTGTACAATGTCGCGCCGCTAGCGTCGTTATCGATGTCTATATTAATATGATTTCCTATTTATCTCATATTGGCCATGTTACACACTATGTGAGAAACTTATCTCGTTGGTGAGCGTGTGAGGTGTCTAAAACCTTTCATTGTCTTTGTAGAAGGTACTTGTTATGGAAGATCCTTGCTTACATGACGTTCAAGGATGGAGCGGCGATTTGCCTTAGATTACATAAGCTCCCTCCTTTTCCCAGCACATGCTAGAATCTGCAAGGGTGCTTGGCCCGCGCGTCACGTCGCGTTTGTTCGCGACCTACCTTAGAGTGCATCTCGCCTATTCAGTGACCATATTGGATCCGTCCTGCTCTACCTGGCATTCTCTACAACAGTACAATGGAGGCGTACGACTACTCTATATACCTCGAAGCTGGAGGTGATGGACAGATCAAGCCTCTCGATGCCAACAATTTTACACTAGCAATAATCCAAGGTGAAGCCAGCCCGCTAAAATATCGATGTGCTCTGTACCGTCCCCATTGAAGTCTCCGAGCCATACTGACCAGGGCTCACTGCCTTTGACTAGAACTGAAGACTAGCCGAATCCTCGATCACTTCAGGTCCCCCGACGACCTTCGCGTTATCCTCCTCTCCCAGCCCCGGGACAAGAACGAAGTCGGGGGGTTCTCTACCAAAGACGAAACAATCCGAGCCGTTCATGAGGAACACTGGCAAGAGATTGACGAGCCGAAGGTCCTTCAATATTGGGCGAGTGGTCTCCGTCTAGACGGCAAGAACAGGGAGGCGCAGCTTGATGGAATCGCCGAATTCTACATATTTCGCGTCCTCGACCACGACGCCAAGAAGCGAGAGCTGCTAGTTCAATGGGTCGGATATGGCAAAGATGAGGCCACTTGGATGCCTCTCTGGAGGGCTCTCGAATCTGCTAGGGCCATCGTTAAGGATTACCTCGAAGAGCATAACCTCACGCAGGACCTCAGGACCAAGAAGTCGTACAAGGGGCCAAAAACCCAACTGAAGCGGGCTGGCAACGGGCCTAGATCACCACAGAAGTCTCTAGACACGGCACAGAAGCCTAGTACTAAACGATCACGGCCCTCAGCCAGGACGAGTCAAGCCCGACAGGACATTGAGCAGCGAGTTGCGCTCGCCAAGTCGGTAGAGGATGCTGCTCTTGCGTCAATGGCTGCGATGCGCATGGCCACCGCGATGGACCAAAAGTTGCAACGCACCCGTGATGAGATATTCAGAACATTGAGGGAAGAAGCAGCTGAGCAGGAGACGCGGAATGAACACCGCTTTGAGCGACTTGAGCAGGATGTTGCTCGGCTACATAACATGATGTCCCAGCAGGTTCCCCTGAAAAGATTGAAGAGATAGCGCAGCTTGTTTTTCAGCACTTCCTATACGTTGTGAGGCCTGTTCGCCAAGTCCTATGCTTCTGAATGTGCCAGACTTCTACCGCTTCTTATGATGGAATAGTTTCGGCCACAAGCTGTCCCTCTAATCTGCGCCAACTTGCCGCGATACACGGCCGATTTATAGTATGTCAAATCCTCTTGGGTGATGGTAAGGAAATTACCGACGTAATGATGAAAGAATATTCCGTGACGTCACAGAGCCATGCACCGTACGAGCATAAGCGGTCGCATCTCCTGTATCATGACCTGTTTAGGCTTGAAATCTTATAACATCGAGGCATAAATGACGAGGCATAAATGAGAAAAAGACAGTACGAGTCCGCGGAGAACCAGTCTGTACACCAAGTTCTATTACATGCTTTAGATGCGCACGATAGGTAGTCCAAAAGATGTCCAACAGTCCGAGTGTTAGGTGTAGGGTTTTTAACTGATCCTACTATGTAGGCCACGGTTTGGAATGTCCGGGATTCGTGATATTGACACCAATGATCGGGCTCAGCCAGCTGTCATAATCGCTTGAGCTGTTCAAGTTGCCTCCCCGTGTGAGTGCTCGAAACAGAATACGGTAATCGGTATTTGGCAATTGGTAGATGGTCCCGTTGGCTAATTCAACAACGCCCCAAGTCCGTTCAGTACTGTAGACACCGTAGCCTCGGAAGTTGGTAGCAACATTTCCATGAGAAACGTCGCCGCCCCACAACAGACCAACCAGGCCATAAATCTTCAATCCCGCCACATTATCGAATGAGTTCAGATCCAGAGGCGGGGTAGTGACGGTGAAAAATGATGTTGTGTTTGGTTGGATGCATGGGATAGACCCGAAAATTGATGGTGCGAAGTTGTAAGCGGCGTTGGATGCGAAGTGGGCAGGGATGGCGACAAAGCCGACATATGTCGATGGCTGATCGATGAGAATCGTGAGAACCGGGTCATTATCTGGAGTTTTTGTCTGCTTCTCGGTGACCTGCTTGGCGGGGAATGTGAAAACTATTTTGTCGTTGTTGCGAACACCGGCAGCAGAAGAACTGATGAACGGCAGCGCAGGTACGCCTGAAGGAGTGTTTGGAGTCACATCGAGGTTCTTCGAGGTTCTTCAAGTCCCTCGTGTACTGTTGGAAAGTTTGCCGCGAGCATACGCAACTCCAGATTAGGGAATTGAAAGTTCTTTTACCCTTCGGTGACTCTGGTGAGACCACTAGGTTGGCAGCAGAGAAGGATCAACAAAGGGAGTATTAACAGTAAACTCCACGGTCGCCTTGCCACCAGCTGGGATAGTAATGGAGCTGGTTGGGGGGAAAACTTCAGCGTAGACATGATTGAAGTTCAGTGACCAGTAGAACATATCTTCATGTCACCGCTGTTGCCGTTGGGTAGTCCGTTGACATCCTCTGCGGGCCTGTGACCCAACTTGTAGGTCTTGGAAGCAGATGACAGGTTCTCATTGGTGAAAACATGTTCAATTGGGCCGGCTGAGTCGCGTAGGTTGAGCTCGGTAGCGGAGAAATCAGTTTCTGATGTGATTGCTCTCAGGACATTGAATAATCCAGAACCTTGTTGTGCTATAGTCGTGAGGATGCCAATTCCGTTGTATTGCTTCAAAAAAGTTGCGGACGATTGCAGATGTGTGGCGATGTCTCCCGGGCTCAGACTGGGAAGCTTTTGCTCAACGAGAACGTAGCAATCCGCAAGACTATTCAGTACTAGTTCAGAATCTTGCCCCTTCTGTTCCAGTTAGGGTTCAGTCCGTCCAACAAAGGGCTGCCGCGTAGATTGTCACCATCAATAGCACTAGGGATCTTCCTCCCAGTCTGAAAATGCCTGGTGCTGATTAAGCTTGTGCCCAAGGATTGCCTGGAAGAGGCTTCAAGATTGGATTCCTAGATACTGGTGTTGGCTGGCGTCGCCCAGCTCTGGGTAGGGGCTATGGTGAGGGCTTCATGGAGGTTGCGGGAGGCTATGACGACTTTGTGGGCTGGGATGAGTCAGCCCCGGGCAATGAACCATTGACTACATGTCACGAGGGCGGTCACGGCACACATGTTGCTAGTACGTCATGTTAAGCAAAGCTGCTCACCACAAACCTATGCTAACTTGTTATTAAATGAATCCTCGGTGCTAAGGACCCTTAGAGCGTCGGCTTTGGCATCTCTAATGTTGAACCTGATGCATCTTTATATGCCTACCGTGTTCATGGTTGCACTGGAGGCGTTACCGACGAGATTCTGATGCAAGGTTTCAAAAGAGCTGCCAGCAACGAAGTTGATCTCATCAGCATGTCAATCGGCGAGACGACTGTCTGGGAGGCTGGTTGACCCTACATCCCATTCCGATCCAAGATCCACTCTCAGGGCATTGGTATCGTCATTGCGGCGGGTAACCAGGGCGATACTGGTCTCTAAGTCTCCTTGAAACCAGCACAGGATCGGAATTAAATCTCACTTGGTTCTGTGAATGACTTCCACTTTGCCACGGTGTACGATGCCGCCGGGTCGGAAGGTTCGGCCATCGAGTACGGCCGCGTGGTTCCCCTCAATGCTTCGGCACATTTCAACGTATTCGTCGCGGATGACGAGACGTGAGAGTGTGTGGACCAAGCATGGAATGATGCAATTGCCATTTTTCTGGACAAGGAGAGTATTATTGCATTGATCACCGCGAACAGCGAATGTCACTGCGACATCCTTGACGAGCGGGGCAATTCTTCTGGCTTCACAAATGTCTGGGCTTGGTTTTCTGATTCAAGCGTCACGTCAACCAAACGAGCTAGGTGCAAATGGCGACATCGAAACCGTCAAGGTGAATAAATCTGAGGCAGACAACATCTTGGCAGAGATTGCTATGCAGGGCAAGAACTATATGTTGACTTTCGAGGACCAAACGGTTCACCAGATTGACCAGCCAACAGGACGCACTACATCTTCGTATTCATCTTTTGGGCCGACCGAAATGTCCCTCAAGCTTCAGGTATTTGCATCTGGAGGAACTATTCTACATACTTGGGTAACATCGAACGGATGGAGATAGGCAGTTATTTCTGGCACATCGATGGCGGCCCCTCTGTAAGTCGTGTTTCCAGAATTGTTGGCAACCTTTGATTCCCGGCCAGAGCTCACTGGTTCAGGACGGTCGTAGCATCTGTTGGCCCTGACTTTCTTGAGGAAGAGCAAGCAAGGTGTCGACGTCCGCATCATCCTGCGCCTTGACCGACAAGCCGTACAAAGTAGTCGAGTTTTTGCTCTCGGGACGGACAGAATAGTCCAAGACATGTTCGGCTCGGCGGTAGAAGGCAGAGTAGAGTGTGCATCTTCGCCGACACCACGACCATTGATGGATGCATCCGGCTCCAGTTTTGACAAACGGTTACGGGATTATCCAGTGCTGTGCGAACCAGCTGGTGCCACATGGGGTGCCACACTAGGTACCCTGCACGTGCCATCACTATTACTGAAATTCTAAACACCGCTGCCGCCTGCCTGCCTGCCTCCTTCTGTCAGCTTGCCATCCGACTCTTGGACTGACTGTCGTACCGGTAGCCTCGGTCCACTTGCATCGTCAACGCCGACTCCACATCCCATCATCTCAACTTGTTCAACCTACCTGAATCATAGAATACAGGCCTCGTTTCCTGCAAGGCCTATTTCATCATAGCTGTGACTTCTTGTCTGAGCGCACCTGTCAATCACCCTGGCCGACGCTGACGACTCATGGCTGATTCTGCCCCTCCTCCACACCCCCCAGAGACCCGGCCAAGGACCGGAATCAAGCCAAAAAGGAGGCAAGTCGGCAGGGCGTGTGACGCGTGCCGGTTGCGTCGCATCAAATGCGATGATGCCTCCCCATGTAGGAACTGCAGGGGCCGGGGCCAGCAGTGTAGCAATACTGATGCGACAAGAACATCCACCCTTTCCCAGGCTCACCAAGAGATAGATCGACTGAAGCTAAAGGTAAGGGACCTTGAACGAGAGCTTCAACGACAGCGAGACAACCATAGTAGTCCCGAAACTCTTTTTTCAATACATTCACAACCAATCGCAGACTCAGAGTCAACGCCATTCATAGATTTGGAAGGCGAGTTCGCCTCACCACAAAGTAAGCCGTGGGATGGGGCTCTGCTTCGACCTGCACGGTCACCTCATGTCGCGTGGTTCGGACCTTCGTCTCTCTACTTCTTTATCCACCGCCTTGGTGTATTTCTCAGCACCGATGTTGAGTACGCTCAGCCAGATCACCTGTTTCTCCGATCAACCGGCAGTGACAGCATGCTTGACCAGTCAAATGCTACGTCAAAAGACGCATCCCGTCTGCTTAGGCCACTCATTAATGGGAACAAGGAGGGTGTTTATCTAAATCCTATTCAAGAGGAATACTTCGTCAATTTGTTTTGGCAAACATACCACACTTCTGTATACGCCATTATCGATGAGGCCGACTTCAAAAGAGACTACCAAACACTCTATGTGGACGTGCCATCGGGTCATACTCGCAAATCATCAGCGCTGGTCGACATTGTTGTTGCCATGTGCATGCAATATGGGGCCTCGACTCTGCCCTGCAACCGTCAAGGAAACATTGTGGAAGAAAACGATGCCACAACTGCCGGCCGGTGGCATTACCGAAGAGCGCAGACTTTGCTAGCAGGGGAAATGGAAAGCCCTACTACTTCTACCCTGCAGTGCCATCTCCTGTCAGCCATTTATGTTTGTGGTGCATCGTTCCATAACATGGCAGATAGCATCTGCGGTCTGGCTGTACGCACAGCTTACATGCTGGGTCTTCACATTGATCCCCCTCTTGACATGGCAGAAAAAGAGCGCCAAGCAAGACGTCGTCTCTGGTGGGCCGTCTATGTTTTGGACAGCAAAGTCGGGATGAAGCTGGGTCGCCCGTTTTTACTGCATGGTTCATTTTCCATGCCGCTGCTTCCCGACGACCAGCTTGGAGCTTCAGTCTTATCAGGATCTAGATTCGCTCCGATCTCAGGGGATGCTACCTGGTTAAGTTTCAGCCTCCATCATCTCAAGCTGTTCAAAACGGTTAGAGATGCCCACACTACATTGTACGGCCACGACTTTGGACTGGGCCGAGACAAGACAATCTGGGATGACATCGCATGTTTAGAAAAGGTGGCCGAAAGCCTGAAACCCCATATTCGAGCGATTGAGAAATGGGTGCAGAATCTGCCGGGCGCGCTCAAAACTAGTCGGGAAAACGATGGCTGCCTTCTCTCGACTGATGGCTCCGCTCTCGTCATTGAGCAGTATGCCCCACTCTGGCTCCAAAGACAACGCCTTCTTCTGGAAATGGAATATCACCACATGTCTGTCAATCTCTACCGACCCTTCATTTCATTCAACAGAGTTCCGGCGGCTGGGAGTCTTGTTGAAACGCTCGCAGTGAAAAGTATCGATCACGCGATAGAGCTGTCAAAGATTACCCAGCAAACACTTTCGTCCACAGCTATTCTTGATGGATGGCATGAGGCATTTCAGTGGCAATGGAATGCGGTCATCACTTTGGCAGGGTTCATATTGGCCACTCCACGTCACGCTGCAGTAGAGGCGGCAAGAAATGCCATCGGACTCGGCTTGTCAGTTTTTTTAACATTTGGGCAAAGTTTTGGGATTGCTGCGAATGCTGCAACTGTTGTCCGAATGCTCTGTACAAAGATCGATGCCTTGATATCTGCATCCTCCCAGGACTTTCCTCACATCGGATCAACCGGATCGTCCAGATTGAGTGCCGAGCACGACGCGGCGATGACAAATGACTTTTCTTCGGAGCTGGTCAATTACCCAATATATCCTCAGCCCATGGGTCAGCCTCTGGGGTTTGACTTCATGGAAATGGCTGTTGGCGTGGATTCCTGGGCCGACATTGACATGTTGGGATTTGGTGATATCAGCACACTCGGCGAGGCCTCCGTATATTAGCGATAATTATAGGAGTGTAGGATTTCTATCCTTTTTCATATTACCGAAGTGCTTGCTAGTATATATTTATTATTATTTAAAAGTTTATTAGTATATTAATAAATCTAAAAGATATAATAAAGTATTTAAAAAGTCCTTTATGTATTTAAAATACAGTTTTCTATTTTTTTATTTTTTTATTTAAATCTAATTAAATACTTCCTTAAGGTTTATTATAATAAACTAATTAAGTCCGTATAATAAATCTCTACGCTCAATAATAAAAAATAAAAGGTAATAATTCTTTTTTATAATTTTATTAAGTTTTCTATAGTTAATAATAAGTCTTCTTTTTTTTACTCTTTTTTTAATATAAAAAATAAAAGTAATTTTATAAAAGAATTAGATAGTTAAACATATCTCTTTTTAAGTCTTTTATTAATATATTTATTAAAGTATTCTTATTTCTTCTAAATCTATTGAGTATATTAAATAAAACTTAAATTATATTTCTTATTTAAGTTCGATTTCTATATCTTAGATATTATATTTTAATAATCCTGTTTTTTTAGGTTTCATAAATAGTTTTATATATATTTAATACTTTTCGAGGATAATTTAAAGTCGTTATGATCCTCGATTGTTAATACTAAGTATAAATATCTTATTGTTTTTTATTATCTTAATAAAAACTATATACTATATTTATTTTTATTTTTTAAATATTATTATAAATCTGTTTAAACTCTTTTTTTTAAATCGTTTAATAATTAGATCTTCTTATTAAACTTAGCTAGTTATTTAATTTATTTATAAGTTATATTTTTATAATTATAAAATTCTTAGGATAACGTTAATATTTTTAATTTTTATAATATTGTATTATTGTTTTTCTTATTAATTATTAATATATATTAGAAAATGTACCGTCTCTTAATTAATATATCTATTATCATAATTAACTCTTTTTTTACTATTTATAATTAATATAATTTATCCTTTTATATCTATAATAAGTTAAGTTTATTTATTATTTTTAATAATATAAAGCTTTTTTATACACTGCTATTAATTATAGTATATAATCTTTATTTATATATATATAATCGGATTAATAAATATATATCGTTATATTATCTAATATTACGACCTAACACGCATTACTAAACCAAGGCCCTGCCCCATAAGACCTACGGCGGCTATTATATTATATATATAATAATAAAAACTTAAATAGCTCCTTTTAAAATAAAAGAATTATAAATAAATTATATAATTATAATTATAAAATAAAATAAAAAACGGACGTTTATAAATAAATAAGATAAATAATTATAAAAATATAAAACGGACGACTATTTAATAAATAATTAAATAATAATAAATAAAATATTATAAAAAATATATTTATAATTAAGATTTATATATAAAATACCCCGAGCTAGGTTTAAAAATAGATTTTTATAACTTTTTTAATAATTAATTTTTATATTAAATTTAATAATTATTTTTAATTATTTTTATTAAAAGTTTTATTAATAAAATTACGATTAATTATTAAAGCCTTTTTATTTAACGATTTATAAATAATAGGTTTTTTAAAACTATTTTAATAATAATTATTATTTATAAATATTATAGCCCCGACTTTTATTAATATAAACCTTATTACGACTAATTAATTACAATATTTTAATTATTTTTATTTAATAAATCGATTTTATAAAAACTTATTAAATAATACGAACGATATTTATTAAAAAATTTTTTAATAAAAGTAAAAAGCCCTAGGCTTTAAACGCCGAGCTAGCTTAAGCCGAAAGAAATATTAAAATATTTAATATTAAATATAATTTTAATAAAAACGCGGTTTTTAATAAAATAATATATATTTAAATACGCTACGTTATTAATTAAAATATTTAATATAATAAAAAATTAATAGACCTTTTTAATATTATTATTACCCGATTAATAAAAGCTTAAGTTAAAAATAACCGTAATATTATTAAAATATAAAGAATATTTAACGCTACGTTTAAAAGATTTAAAAACGAATACTAAAAAGTTTTAAACCTTATTAATTAAATAAATACGTTTTAAAAATACTATTAATATCGTTATTACCCTTTTTAATAAAAAATAATAAAAGTTTAAATTTAATATATTTATTATTTTTAATAAGACTTTTAGAATTTTAAAAAGATTTTTAATTTAAATTAAAAACTTTTAAAACTTTTATGAAAAAGATTTTAATAATAAAATTAAAAAGATTATATACGACGTTAGCTTTTTTAAAAAATAAGCTTTTAAATAAAGAAATTAATATAAAAGTATATAGAATTAATATAAAAATATATACCTTATAGCGGCATATATATTTACTATCCTAATTAATTTAAAATTTTACTATTAATATATTTAAATTCTACTAATCCACTCTTATATTTTCTCTTTATTTAAATTTCTTTTATTATTATAATTTTTATATTTAATATTAACGTATATTATTTTTAATAATTAAACCCTAGCGTAATTTACGCCGCTAAGTTATAAAATATAGCCTTAATAACGTAATATATTTTTTAAATATTAACATATAAATATATTATTGTCTCCTTTTTTAATTAATAGCTATTTTAATATTAGTTAATTTTATAAAATTAACGATTTTTAATTATATAATAACTTAATTAATAACTTATTAACGGAGCTATTATAAAAAACACGATTAGTATCTTATTATTAACCTTATTATTTTAAAATCGAATTAAAATTCTATTTTAAACGCCGTTTTTTTTAATAAAACCGACTCTTTTTAACTTATTATATTATTTTAATTTTTATTTATTTATAACGCCCCCTTTTTTAAAAAATTAATATACCGGCGTCATAAATTAATATACCGGCGTCGCTTTTATATCGGCGTCGCTATTTAACTTTTTAATTAATTAAAAAAAAATACCTTTTTATAAAAGTAGTAAAAGTAATTATATTAATATAGCTATTTTTACCTTTTTTTTTAATTTAAGTTTTTATTTAAGATTTTTAAAAATATATATTATAGCTTATTTTTATTAAAATCTTATAAATTTTAAATAAGGACTATATAATTTTTAAAAAAGCTTATTATCTAATTACTTTTTACGACGTATTTATAAAAATTTATTGTTATTATAAACTATTTTTTATTAATTCTATTTTCTTTTAAATATTAAGTTATATTAGCCATTTATTTATATAATTTTTTATTATCTTTCTTTTATTAAAAACGTTAAATTAATTTTTAATTTATCGTTAAGATAAATTTAATATTTAATTTTAACTTAGCTAACTTATTTTTTATATAAACTTAGCTAACATTAATTTATTTTTATTTTTAAATAAACGACCTCGTTATTTACTATTTACGTTTTAATTATTATAAATAGTACGGGCTTAATTAGCTAACTAACTTTTTTTAAATAAAGTTAATTATAATAAAATAAGTTATATTATATTTTTTAACTTATTATAGAAGGATATAATAATTTTAAAATTAAGGATCTGCCGGTATAAATTTAAAAAAAACGTTTTTTAAAAACGCTACCGAGGGTAAATTTTTTATTTATTAAAAATAATTAAATTTATTATTTTAAAATAGATTTTATAATAATATAGGATATTTAATTTAATTAAAATAATATAATTTAAATTATAGTTTTTAAAAAAGGTTAAAAATAGCCTTTTATTAAATAGTATTATTTTTTTTATTAACCGGTATTATTTTTTAATTAATATAAAATATTTTAAAAAAAATATTGTTAAAAGTTCGCTTAGGTATTTAAAACGAGTATTTATATACTCTCGGCTTATAAGTATTTTATTTTTAATATAAGCTTATTTAAAACGTATTTTTTAGTTATTAATTATATCCTATATAATATTAATAAATTAATATAAATAATTAAGACCGTTTAAAAAATAATTTTTAATATTATTATTACTTAACTTAATATTAAAAATAACGTAAATATTAAAGTTTTAATATTTTTAGATAAAGTAACGGGCTTATTATATTTTTAAAAATAAATATATTATATAAAAATATTAAAAAATTAAGCGTTAGTTATTAAACTTTTTATAAAGCTTAGTTTAAACTTTTTTAAAAACGTGCTTAGTTTTAATAAAAATAATAAGCTTTTATATTATAAAGACTTTATAATACGTATAAAAGGGGGGCTTATTAATAAGTATATTAATATAGGCCTTATTTTTATTATTTAATATAGCTATTATTTATATTAATAGTTAATATCCTTTATTATTAAATTTATTATTATTATTATTATAGCTACGTTTTTTAACTTATTTATTACGACTTAATACGCATTGCTAGACCAAGGCCCTGCCCTATAAAACCTACGACGGCTATTATACTATATATATAATAATAAGAACTTAAATAGCTCCCCTTAAGATAAAAGAACTATAAATAAGTTATATAATTATAATTTTATAATAAGATAAGGAACGGACGTTTATAAATAAATAAAATAAATAATTATAAAAATATAAAACGGACGATTATTTAATAAACCGTTAGATAATAATAAATAAGATATTATAAAAGATATATTTATAATTAAGATTTATATATAAGATAGCCTAAGCTAAGCTTAAGGATAGACTTTTATAACTTTTTTAATAATTAATTCTTATATTAAATCTAATGATTACTTTTGACTATTTTTATTAAGAATTTATTTAATAAAATTACGATTAATTACCAAAACTTTATTTATTTTACGATTTATAAATAATAGCTTTATTAAAATTATTTTTATAACGATTACTATTTATAAATATCGTAACCCCGACTTTTATTAATATAAATTTTATTATAACTAGCTAGCCGTAATATTTTAATTACTTTTATTTAATAAATCGACTTTATAAAAACTTATTAAATAATATAAACGATATTTATTTAATTTTTTTTTAATAAAAATAAGCAGCCTTAAATTTTAAATACTAAACTTTTTTAAACTAAAAAAGATTTAAAAATACCCGATATTAAATTCGATTTTAATAGAAACGTAATTCTTAACTAAATAATATATACTTAAATACGTAAAGCCGTTAAAAAAAGCGTTAAATATAATAAAAAACTAAATAAATTTTTTAATATTAATACCGCTTAATTAATAAAAGCTTAAATTAAAAACGACTACGATATTATTAAAATATAAAAAATATTTAATATTATGTTTAAAAAACTTAAAAATAAATATTAAAAAGTTTTAAACTTTACTAATTAAATAAATATATTTTAAAATACCGTTAATATCGTTATTATTTTTTTTAATAAAAGACGATAAAAACTTAAATTTAATATATTTATTACTTTTGACGAGACCTTTAGAATTTTAAAAAGACTTTTAATTTAAATTAAAAACTTTTAAAATTTTTATTAAAAAGATTTTAATAATGAAATTAAGAAAATTATATACGCCGTTAGCTTTTTTAAAAAACGAGCTTTTAAATAATTTAAACCTTTTTAGAAAAAAGTATTTTAAAAAAAAAACTTTTATTAAATATTTTATTAAAATATAAAATATTTATTATAATTTTAATAAGTTTAAAAAAGTTTTTAAATTACTTTTTTAAAATCTAAATAAAAAACGATAAACTAAGCGCAATATATTATAATTTCGATAAATTAAATTAATAAAAAACTATTTAGTTAAGTTTAGACGTTTTAATATTTAATTTAATTTTACTAACGATATTAAGATTTTTATATTTTATTAAAAACTAAAAAATAAAATTAAAAACGAACTTATTAAAATTAACGAATTAAACGATTTTTTTTAATATATTAAATTTATAATTAAAATCGATAACCGTTTTTATAAAAAAAAAAAAAAATAATAATAAAAACTTAACTTAAGACGTAACTATTAATAATAACCTTAACATAACTTTAATTAAAAATACCGTTATAACGAAAATAATAACCTTTAATAAACTATTATTTATAAATAATATAGCGGATTTATAAACTTTAATATAGCGAAATAAAACTAATCCCATTAAAAAAAAGAATTTAAATATTATAACTATAATAAACTAAAATATATAACTAAAGATTATAAATAGCTTAAATAAATTTAATAACGACCTATTTTTAAAAAATAGATTAATATTATTTTTAAAAAAGTATTTTATAAATTACTTTTTTAAATTATATATTACGATAATAACTATTTTATTTACCGAGATAATAAAAAATAATTAAGATAGTATTTTAAAAAACCCTTTAATAAAACCCTTATTATAATAAATAAATAAAAAATAGTTTAACGTTTTAAAATTATTAAAGATTATAATAAAGAGTATATTTAAATATTATTAATAATATACGAAGTAATTAAAATATAACCTATTAATTTTCTTAAATAAGCATAAACTTTTATGATAATAAGAAATAAATTAAAAAAACAAATAATAATTAAAAATAAAAACGACTTATTTTAATTAAAAAACGAGATCTTAATTTATAAAATATAGATTTTAAATAAATTTATTTATATAATATAATAAATACTTAATAAAATAATTTAATATTATAAATAATACTTTTTAATAATAAAAAATTATAATAAAAACTATATTTATATCTTAATTAATTATTATAAAACCGGCCGATTATTAAAAAAAAAGCGATTAAATATAAAAATAATACTCGTTTTATTTTAATAATAATTTTAAAAACAATTAAAAATTAAAATAAAAAAAGACCTCTTTTAATTAAAATACGAAATTAATAAAAAAATAAATATTATATATTTAATATACGGACTTTAGACGTTAAAAAAACATTATTATTAACGTATTAAAAAACTAAACAAGGCTTATTATATAATAAACGTTTATATTTTTTAATATTTAATTATAAAAATAGTCCTTATTATTTTATAATAGCGATTATATAAATAATTTAAAATAATAATAAAGGATAATATTTTATTTAAAATAAAACTTTCTTATATTTAAAAAAAATACTAAGTTAGAAAGCTTAAGTAAAGGAATTATTAATAATATATTTACGAAATCTAATATTAAAAAATTAAATTACGACCCTTTTTTAAATAATATTAATATAGTAAACTATGAATAGCTAATAAGCTAATAATTACCTTATAATTTAAATAAACTTTATAACGTCGCTTGACGACGTACTTAATTAAAAATTAATTATAAAATATTATTTAATATTAACGATTTTATTATTAAAAAAGAAGCCGATTTAAATAAATAATTAAAATAATAAAAATTTATAAATTTCTAAAGAGAACTAGATTAGCTTATTAAGGACTTAAAAAACTACCTATATAACCGATATATTTTAAATATATAATCTAATATTAAAATATTTAGAAATTATAAATTATTTCTTAAAAAAAGAAAACTTATTAATAAAAAAATAAACGATATTTACGATATTATTAACGTATTATATTTACTTATTAAAAATAGAAGCGCCCCGATTTAGTAATTAATTATAAATAACTCGTAAAAAAAGAATAAGCATTAGCTTTTAAAATATTAAAAAATTAAATATATTAATTATAAAAAAACGACAAAAAGCGGTTAAAATAAATAAGTTTTTATATTTTATAATATTTTTTAATATAAAATATTTACGATTTAAATTTTAAATAAACGGATACGATATAAACGTTATTATTAATAATAACGTTTAAAGAATTTTTATTTTATTAAAAACGGTAAATAAATATAAACTATTATAAGTATGAAAAACAAATTTATATATTTTATAAATAGTAAAAAAAAGAAAATTAGTTATAATAATAAATATATTAACTAAGAGACTATATACCTTACGATATATATTAATAATTAATTAAAATAATTAAAATACGATATTATAAAAATCGGAAATATTAATATTATTTTAAAAATTTTATAGTTATAAAAATATAATTTATAAATAAATTAAAAAACCGGTTAATTTTATTAAATAAACTTAGTTATTAAATGATTTAAAAAAAAAGGTTTAAATAAATTTTATATAATACTTAACAAACGAAAATAAATTAAATATATCGTTTTTATTAAAATAATAAAACTTATTAAGATATTTAAATTTAATACGGACGATCAAAAATTAAACCTATTTTAAACTATATTTAAAAAATACCGGATTTATATAAAATTATTCGTTTTAAAAAAGAAAATAAAACTATTAAAATATAATAGCTAAAATATAAAAATCGAATTAAAAAAGAAATATAATTTAAGTTTTATTTATTATATTTTATAAATTAATTCGAACGTAACGAACTTAATATGTATATTAATAATAAATTTAAAAAGGGTTATATTAAATTATTATCCTTTTTAATAAGAATATTAATTTTATTTATATTTAAAAAAAATAAAAAAAAGCTTAAATTTATAATTAATTATAAAAGACTTAACGAAATTATTAAAAAAAATTATTATTTATTATTTTTTATTATAGAACTTAAGGAAATATTATATAGAGTTTAATGGTTTATTATAATAGATTTTAAAAAAGTATTTAATTAAATTAGAATTAAAAAAAAAGATAAATAAAAGATAATATTCCGAATTTATAAAAGACTTTATAAATATTTAATTATACCTTTCGGACTTATTAACATACCTATTATATTTTAAATAATAGTTAATTATATATTTAAAAAATATATTAATATTTTTATAATTATTTGTTTTAACGATATTTTTTTTTTTTTTAATTTTAAAATATATAAAAAATACGTTTATATAATATTTTAGAAATTTTAAAATATAAAGCTTTTTATAAAGCTTAATAAATACGAATTTTATATATAAAAAATAAATTTCCTTAACTATACGATTATATTAAAATAAATTTATATATAAGTATTTAAAATAATAGTAATTAAGGATTAGCTTATATTTATTAATATTAAAAACGTATAATTATTTTTAAAATTCGTTAACTTTTACTAACGATTCCTTAAGAACTATATTAATATTATTAAACCTTTTAATAACTTAATAAAAAAAAATATAACCTTTATTTAAAATAAAAAATATAAAAAGACTTTTAATAAAATTAAAGACTTAGTCATTTTAAAACTAATAATTATAATTCTAGATTTAAAAAAACTATTTAAAATTAAAATTAATACTTCGGACTTTATTATAAAAGTTATTTTAAAATAACGAGATTAATAAAAAGTATTTTATTTTTATATATTCTATTTTAAAACGTTTTATAAAATAAAACTAAATTAATAAATTTATAATAAAAAATTAATAATTATAATCAAAGCTTTTAAAAAATAAAAACTTTAATTCTTAAAAACTAAATACGAAGTTATTATTTATATAAATTATAAAAACCTAACGAACTTTATAATAAATAAGAATTTAAATAAATAATAAATTAAATAAAACAAATTCTTATTAAAATTTAATTTCCGAATTATTTATTAAAAAAATTTAAAAAACGATAGAATAAACGTTTTTAATAAACAATTTAATTACAAAGTTACGATCCTTAAAAAAATATAAATAATCCTTAAATATAATAATAATAGTAATCTTATATTTATTATAAAACTTTTTATAATAATTAAAAAAGCTAATATTAGCCTATTTAAAAAAATAACTCTTAAACTTATTATAAAAGTTTATAATATTTAAGTATACGGTTACTAAAATATTATAAAAATATAAAAATAAATTCATTAATATTATAATAAAACCGTTATAAAAATAGAAATTGTTAAAGCTATTAAAAATTATAATATTTATAAGAAAAGTAAAAATAGCCTTTATAAGCTTTATAAAGAGCTATAACCTTTATCGATACTACTAAAAATATAGTATTTAATTTCTTAAGATTTTATTATTAACTTATTAAAGTCTAAAAAACTACTTATAAATATATAATACGATAGTATTTTAATTATTATCGACCGACTTATTAAATTTACTTATTTTATATTATATAGAAAAAGTAAATAATACTAAAGAATTAATATATACCTTTTTTAAAATAGTTATTATTAACTATAGTTTATTTAAAAAAATAATTTCCAATAAAAATAAGTTATTTACCGTTAAGTTTTAAAGATTTTTAATCTTATAACTTAATATAAATTATAAATTATCGACCTCTTTCTATTCGTAAACCGATAGATAAATAAAAAGAATTAATTAAAATTTTAAAATATACCTCCGTTATTATATAAATTACGATTAAAATAATTAAGTAATATTATTATTAATAGCCTAGTTTATATATAATAACATAGTTAACGAAAGTATAAAAAAATCCCTTTTTTATTTTAATTATAGATTTTAATTAACTATATATAAAGAAGTACGTAAAAGATTATAAATTATAAAAGCTATAATAAACGTAAATAAATTTAAAAAAATTTAAAAAGAAGCCTTTTTAAATTTTAAATTTATATAATAGCGAATAAAGAAATACGTTAATAAATTAAAAATTAATAAATTAATTTAAAAAAAAAGAAATAATAAATATTTCCTTTACCGCAATATTAAAATAAAACAATTAAATAATAAATTAAATTATAAAAAACTTAAACCTTTTAAAATTATTAAAAAAGTTTTATTAGTTAATTTTAAATTAAAACTTTTAAAAACGATACGATATTACTTAATTTTTTATATCTCACTTTTAAAACCAGTATTTAAAAGTTTATATACTAAAAATCGTATTATTATTAAACTTAATAAATTAAAATACGAGGTCGAACGAGTTATCGACTACCGAATTAAAAAAAGACATAAAAAGTATTTTATTAAATAAAAAGATTACGAATATAAAAATAATATATAAAAACCCGTTACGAACCTTTAAAATTCTTAATAGCTTTTTAAGGAGTATTAAAATTAAATTTAAACCTAAAATTCTTAATTATTATAACGTCCTAATCGATAATATTAAAAATATTATTAACTTACACTTCCTAAGCCGTTAAAAAAATACTCTTAATATTTTTAAGAAGTTTTTTTAATAGGGAATTAATATACCGGCGTCGTAAATTAATACACCGGCGTCGCTTTTACACCAACGTCGCTATTTAACCTTCTAATTAACTTAAAAAAAAAATACCTCCTTATAAAAGCGATAAAAATAACTATATTAATATAGTTATTCTTACCCTCTTTTTTAACTTAAATTCTTATTTAAAATTTTTAAAAATACGTATTATAATTTACTTTTATTATAGTTTTATAAATTTTAAATAGGGACTATATAACCCTTAAAAAGGCTTATTATTTAATTACCTCTTATGACGTACTTATAAAGATTTATCGTTATTATAAACTATTTCTTATTAACTCCGTTTCTTTTAAATACTAAACTATATTAGCCGTTTATTTATATAATTCCTTATTATCCTCCCTTTATTAAAAACGCTAGACTAGCTCTTTATTTATTACTAAAATAAACTTAAAATTTAATTTTAATTTAACTAACTTATTTTTTATATAAGCCTAGTTAACGTCGACTTATTTTTATTCTTAAATAAGCGACCTTGTTATTTATTATTTACGCCTTAGTTATTATAAATAATACGGGCTTAATTAACTAACTAACCTTTTTTAAATAAAGCTAGTTATAATAAGATAAGCTACGTTATATTTTTTAATTTATTATAAAGAGATATAGTAATTTTAAAGTTAAAAATCCGCCGATATAAATCTAAAGAAAACGTTTTTTAAAAACGCTACCGAGGGTATACTTCCTATTTATTAAAAATAATTAAATTTACTATTTTAAAATAAATCTTATAATAATATAGGATACCCAGCTTAATTAAAATAATATAATCTAGACTATAGTTTTTAAAAAAAGTTAAAAATAGCCTCTTATTAAACGGTATTACTTTTTTTATTAACCGGTATTACTTCTTAATTAATATAAAATATTTTAAAAAAAGTATCGTTAAAAATTTATTTAAATATTTAAAGCGAATATTTATATACTCCTAGCCTATAAATACTTTATCTTTAATATAAACTTATTTAAAACGTATCTCTTAATTATTAATTATATCTTATATAATATTGATAAATCGATATAAATAACTAAAACCGTTTAAAAAATAACTTTTAATATTATTATTACTTAATTTAATACTAAAAGTAACGCAAACACTAAAGTTTTAATATTTTTAAATAAAATAGTAAGCCTATTATATTTTTAAAAATAAATATATTATATAAAAATACTAAAAAATTAAGCGTTAGTCGTTAAATTCTTTATAAAACTTAATCTAAGTTTTCTTAAAAACGTACTTAGTCTTAACAAAAATAATAAGCTTTTATATTATAAAGACCCTATGATATGTATAAGGGGGGGGCTTATTAATAAATATATTAATATAGGCCTTATCCTTATTACTTAACGTAGCTATTATTTATATTAATAGCTAATATCCCTCGTTATTAGACCTATTACTATTACTATTATAGCTACGTTCCTTAACCTATTTCTACTTAACCCTAAGTATAATATTAAAATTAATATAGTAAATATAAAGTTATTACTAAACGTCTAAGAACTACTTATTTAATATAGTTTTTATTTATTTATCGTAATCTATAATAATAATAATAAGGTAACGAATTAAATATTAATTTATAAGTTAGCGGATGCTTATTAAGAAAAACTAAAAACTTTTTAATTTCTCGTTATTAATAAGGCTAAACGTAGCGTTATAAATAGATCCAAAACAAATCTACTTAATAATTTAAAAAAAAAAAGCTTAAAACGATTAATATTATAAATATTATTAAAATTAATTATTTTAAAGAATCGCTTTTATATTTAAAAATAATAAAAAAAAGTCTAAATAAAGTTAATAAAACGGTTTAGCTCGTCGTTTACTTATTTTACTACGTATAAAATATTTCGCTTATTAAATAGCTTAATTAACGTTATAATTAGCAAATATCTAACTAATTTTTTTTAATTTATATAAGTTTTAGCGTTATAAATATCTCGCTAAGTAAATAAAGATTTTAAAAACTATTCTTAGATAATAATACGCATATCGTAAGCCTGAATCTTAATTTATCGGCTTATAATTTTAATAGTATCCTAAACTACCTAAATAAACTTATAATATAAAAGGTATACAAAAGCTTTAAAACTAGGGCTATAATTATATTAACTATATTAAAAATCTAAATAATAATATAAAAGCCATTTACCCTCCTCTTAAGCTTCGGTAATAATTTACTATTTATAACCGCATTTATAAAACTTACGCTATTAAATACTAATACTTTATATAGGCCTAGGCTTATTAAACCGATTATATTAAAAAATATATTAAATAATTCGGCCTTAAGCTTTATATTTATTCCGCTTTATAATACTAAATCTATTAATTTGTATAAAAATATTAACTTAATTGAAAAAAGTATTATAAATTTATTTTAGATCGTTAGGAATTAATAGATTTAGGATTTCGGTTAGGGTAACCCTAATCCTTTTATAACCCCCTTTTATACGTCGTAAAATACGGACGTAATACTTTATCTTTAATATTATATATTAATACCTTTAAAAAAATTACGATTTTAAAAATTTTTTTTATATATCTTATAAAAACGGCCGCTACTTAAGAGACTTTAAATTTTATAATTATTTTTATATATTATATATTTATAATAAAAAAAAAGGTTTTATTAAAAGTATTAAATTAAATAAATATATAAATAAATACTTTTATAAAAATAAAGTTTTTACTTACTATTTATAAAATTAAGTAATTAAACGTAGGTATACGTAACTAAATATTTTTATTATAAAATATATTATTTTTTAAAATAGATTAAATTTTAATATTAATACGGACGAGGAGTATGCTTAACGAGTTTTTTTAAAAAAACCTTTAGTTATTTTACGTTATTAAGCTCGGCCGAGATAATATTTTTATATATAAAGGTTAAATATTATTAAATCGTATTTAAAAACTAGTAATCTTTATAAATCTCGACCCTTTTTTATAAAAACTTAACGACGATAAAGAATTATTTAATATACTCGATATAAATACCGACGCCGAAGTTATTTTATAAACTTTTATTCTTTTTATTATCCTTATTAAAATATCGGTTATAATTATAATTAATTAAAACTATAACGTTAATAATATATATATTACCCCTTTTTAATATATTAATAAAAATAATTTTATTATTAAACTAACGGTGGAAATATACGAATCCTTTTACTTCTTTAAAATAATATAAAAATTAATTAAAACCCTAGCTATTAATAATATAATTAAAAAGGACTTCGTAGCCGTAATACTTAGCTTTTAAAACGATAATTTAAAAATAAGAAATATATTACGAAATTTCTTTAATAAAGCTATCGTAACTAAACTTTTAAAACCGAAGCTCGCTTACTAATTATTTAATAACTCTTACTAAACTTCCCATAAGTATATTACTATTAACCTTATTAATAAATCTATAAACGATACTTTATTTTAAAACGCTTAATAATAACTTTTCGTTAATATTCCTATCTTTTATTTTTTAAAAACGAAAATTATATTTATAAATATAAGTATTATTATAGCCGTAAAAAAAACTCGTTTCTTAACTATTAATAAAAACTTTTATAAGTTCTTATTTAAAGAAATAGCTTATAAATTCGAGCCTAAGCCGGATTTAATCGACTAAAATAATAATAAATATATGCTAATCCTATATAGTAAAGGTATCATTAATATTAATATTATATACCGTTTAATTTATATAATTCTTATAAACTTTATTATAAACGAATCCGTTCTCTTATACTTTTATTTAATAAAAGTCCTTATTATACTTAGATTTATTATAAACATAGCCCGATTTACTTACTTTATAAATAAAACCATTTAAAAAGGATATTACTATAACTAAAAACTTATTTTAATTTCTTATGTTAAGAAATATAAAACTATTATTATAATAATCATTATAATTAAAAGTTACCTTTATGATACTAAATTTAGTTAGGCTAATTTTTATTATATTATTACGGTTGAGTTAAATATTTAAATTATAAATAACGTATTTTTTAACGACGTTATTATTTTACTTTCTTATATTATTAATAAAATAACCGAGGTTTTAAAAAATATTATAATAAAAAAAGTAATAAATAAAGATTTAAATTAAGTTTTCTAACGCTATTTAAAACTTATATGTAGTAAATATTAATATAAAATAAAATAAAAATTATTTTTATGTTTAAAAGCGATACTTTTATAAAAAATAGATTAATATACGTATATTTATTTTTCTCTACGTCTTTTTATAAAGCTATGTACTTATTATTATATTATTATATTAATTTTTTTATATATTTATTTACTTTATATATTAAACCCTACTTTAAAATAAAGCTCTTTAATATATAGTTTTTATAATAATATAAATTATTATACTTATAAAGATTTTATAATCGAAATTAATTTTTATATAATAATAATTATTATAATTTATAATTAAATTTTTTATTTTTTATATATAACTATTTAAAAAAAAAAGGCTACGAAATTCTTAAGATTTCTTAAAGATTTTTTTTAAATAAAATATTTAAAAAAAACTTAAGATTTCTTTAAAATTTCTTTAAGATTTTTTTAAAAGTTTTTTAAAAAAGATCATAAAAAATCCCTAAAGATTTCTTTTATTTTTTTTAAAAGAAATTATAAAATTTTTTTTAAGATTTTTTAAAAGTTTTTTTTAAAATTTTTATAATATATTTAAAAGATTTTATTAAGAAATCTATAAGAAATTTTTAGAAAAAAGTATTAATATATTATTTCATTTTTATTATATAAAAACGTATAATACCTCTTTTTTTATAAAAGCGACCCTTTTTATAAAAGCGATTATTAATTAATTACGGCCTTTTATTATTATTTAATTAACCGCTATTATCTCCCTTTTTAAAAAGCAACCGCCTAAGCGTTAATTAATTTTATAAAATTAATAATTTTTAAAAATAATATAATCTTATTACTAAGCTTTTAGTCGGTATATTATAAAATACGCGACTTTTTATAAATAATTATTTTAATATAAAACTTATATTATATTTTACTTATTATTTCTTAAAAAAAATAATAAAAACTTAGCGGATTACTTTTTTATAATTTTTTTTAAAATATAGCCCTTCTTTTTTTAATAAATAGTTTTAATAACTTTTTTATTTTATAATAAAATAGTTTATTAATATTTTTTAATTTATTTTATAAATTATTAAAACTAATTAATAATTAATAATAATACTCTTTTAATAATAAAAATATATCCGTTAATAATAAAAAATATAAGGTTTTTAAATTAATTTATTACTTTATTTACCCTTATATTAATCCTTTTTTTAAAGCGAAGCGTTTTTCTAAATTAAAGTTTTTTATTATATTTTAAATAACCGATCTTTATTTTTTTTTATAACTAAAATCCTAAACTTATTAATTTTTAATAATTTAAAATAAATTTATAATACCTTTTTCGATTAAGTTAATATTTTTATAAAAACTAATAAATTTAATATTATAAAACGGAATAAATATAAAGCTTAAGGCCGAATTATTCGATATATTTTTTAATATAATCGGTTTAGTAAGCCTAGGCTTATATAAAATATTAATATTTAATAATGTAAATTTTATAAATATAATTATAAATAATAAATTATTATCGAAGTTTAAAAGGAAAGTAAATAATTTTTACGTTATTATTTAAACCCTTAATATAATTAATATAATTATAACCTTAGTCTTAAAGCCTTTATATATCTTTTATATTATAAGCTTATTTAAATAGTTTAAAATATTATTAAAATTATAAGCTGACGAATTAGGATTCGGGCTTACGATATACGTATTATTATTTAGGAGTAGTTTTTAAAATCCTTATTTACTTAATAAAATATTTATAATATTAAAGCTTATATAAATTAAAAAAAATTAACTAGATATTCGCTAATTATAGCGTTAATTAAGTTATTTAATAAGCGAAATATCTTATACGTAATAAAATAAATAAACGATAAGCTAAACCGTTTTATTAACTTTATTTAGACCTTTCCTTATTATTTTTAAATATAGAAGCGATTCCTTAAAGTAATTAATTTTAATAATATTTATAATATTAATTATTTTAAGCTCCTTTTCTTTTAAATTAGTAAATAAATTTACTTTAAATTTATTTATAACGCTACGTTTAGCTTTATTAATAATAAAAAATCAAAAAGTTTTTAGTTTTTTTTAATAAATATCCGTTAACTTATAAACTAATATTTAATCCGTTACCTTATTATTATTATTATAAATTATAATAAATAAATAAAGGCTATACTAAATAAATAGTTCCTAAATATTTAATAATAATTTTATATCTATTATATTAATTCTAATATTATATTTAGGGCTAAATAGAAGTAAGTTAAAAAACGTAGCTATAATAATAATAGTAATAGGTTTAATAACAAGGGATATTAATTATTAATATAAATAATAACTACGCTAAGTAATAAAAATAAGGCTTATATTAATATATTTATTAATAAGCCCCCCCCTTATATATATCGTAAGGTTTTTATAATATAAAAACTTATTATTTTTATTAAGACTAAGTACGCTTTTAAAAAAGCTTAGATTAAGCTTTATAAAAAGTTTAACAATTAACGCTTAATTTTTTAATACCTCTATATAATATATTTATTTTTAAAAATATAAAAGGCCTACTATTTTATTTAAAAATATTAAAACTTTAATATTCGCGTTACTTTTAATATTAAATTAAATAATAATAATATTAAGAGTTATTTTTTAAACAGTTTTAATTATTTATATTGATTTATCGATATTATATAAAATATAATTAATAACTAAAAAATAGGCTTTAAATAAGCTTATATTAAAAATAAAATATTTATAAACTAAGAGTATATAAATACTTATTTTAAATACTTAAGGGAACTTTTAATAATACTTTTTTTAAAATATTTTATATTAATTAAAAAATAATACCGGTTAATAAAGAAAATAATACTATTTAATAAAAGGCTATTCTTAACCTTTTTTAAAAATTATAATTTAAATTATACTATTTTAATTAAATTAAGTATTTTATATTATTATAAAATCTATTTTAAAATAATAGATTTAATTATTTTTAATAAATAAAAAGTATACCCTCGGTAACGTTTTTAAAAAACGTTTTTTTTAAATTTATATTAACGGATTTTTAATTTTAAAATTATTATATCCCTTTACAATAACTTAAAAAATATAATATAGTTTATTTTATTATAATTAACTTTATTTAAAAAGGGCTAATTAATTAATTAAGCCCGTACTATTTATAATAATTAAAACGTAAATAGTAAATAATAAGGTCGCTTATTTAAAAATAAAAATAAGTCGACGTTAATTAAGTTTATATAAAAAATAAATTAATTAAGTTAAAATTAAATATTAAGTTTATTTTAATAATAAATAAAAAGCTAGTTTAGCGTTTTTAATAAAAAGAAAATAATAAGGAATTATATAAATAAATAGCTAATATAGTTTAATATTCAAAAAAAACGGAGTTAATAAAAAATAGTTTATAATAATAATAAATCTTTATAAATACGTTATAAAAAATAATTAAATAATAAGCCTTTTTAAAAATTATATAATCTTTATTTAAAATTTATAAAATTATAATAAAAATAAGTTATAATACGTATTTTTAAAAATCTTAAATAAAAGTTTAAGTTAAAAAAAAGGGTAAAAATAGCTATATTAATATAATTATTTTTACCGTTTTTATAAAGAAGTATTTTTTTTTAAATTAATTAAAAGGTTAAATAGTGACGCCGGTATAAAAGCGACGTTGGTATATTAATTTACGACGCCGGTATATTAATTCCCTTTTTATATATAATTAATTAAAATTCGTAATTAAAATAGAAAAGGGATTCTTTTATACTTTTATTAACTATATTATTATATATAAACTAGGCTATTAATAGTAATATTATTTAATTATCTTAGTCGTAATTTATATAACAACGGAAATATATTTCGAAAATCTAATTAATCTTTTTTATTTATTTATCGGTTTATAAATAAAAAAAGGTTAATAATTTATAATCTATACCGAGCTACGAAATTAAAAAATTTTAAAACTTAACGGTAAATAACTTATTTTTATTAGAAACTATTTCCTTAAATAAACTATAGTTAATAATAACTATTTTAAAAAAGGTATATATTAATTCTTTAATATTATTTACTTCTTAATATAATATAAAATAAATAAACTTAGTAAGTCGATTAACGATAATTAAGATATTGTCGTACGATATATTTATTAATAGTTTTTTAAACTTTAATAATTTAATAATAAAGTTTAAAAAAATTAAATACTATATTTTTAAGGGTATTAATAATAGTTATAGTTTTTTATAAAGTTTATAAAAGCTATTTTTATTTTTCTTATAAATATTATAGTTTTTAATAGCCTTAACGACTTTTATTTTTATAACGGTTTTATTATAATATTAACGAATTCGTTTTTATATTTTTATAACATTTTAATAACTATATACTTAAATATTATAAATTTTTATAATAAACTTAAAAGTTATTTTTCTAAATAAGCTAATATTAACTTTTTTAATTATTATAAAAAGTTTTATAATAAATATAAAATTACCGTTATTATCGTATTTAAAAATTACTTATATTTCTTTAAAGACCGTAATTTTATAATTAAATCGTTTATTAAAAGCGTTTATTTTACTGTTTTTTAAACTTTTTTAATAAATAATTTAAAAATTAAATTTTAATAAGAATTCGTTTTATTTAATTTATCGTTTATTTAAATTCTTATTTACTCTAAAATTTATAAAGTTTTTATAATTTATATAAATAATAACTTCGTATTTAATATTTAAAAACTATAGTTTTTATTTTTTAAAAACTTTAATTATAATTATTAATTTTTTATTATAAATTTATTAATTTAATTTTATTTTATAAAACGTTTTAAAATAAAATATATAAAAATAAAATACTCTTTATTAATCTTATTATTTTAAAATAATTTTTATAATAAAATTTAAAACGTCGGTCTCGATTTTAAATAATTTTTTTAAGTCCGGGATTATAATTATTAATTTTAATATAATTAAGTCCTTAACTTTATTAAAAAAAAATTTATATTTTTTATTTTAAATAAAAATTATATTTTTTTTTATTAAATTATTAAAAAGTTTAATAATATTAATATAGTTTTTAAAGAATCGTTAATAAAAGTTAACGAATTTTAAAATAATTATACGTTTTTAATATTAATAAATATAAACTAATCCTTAACTATTTTTTTTTAAAATATTTATATATAAATTTATTTTAATATAATTATATAACTAAAGAAATCTATTTTTTATATATAAAATTTATATTTATTAAGCTTAATAAAAAGCTTTATATTTTAAAGTTTTTAAAATATTATATAAACGTATTTTTTATACGTTTTAAAATTAAAAAAAAAGTTAAGGATATCGTTAAAATAAATAATTATAAAAATATTAACGTACTTTTTAAATACGTAATTAATTATTATTTAAAATATAACGGGTATATTAATAAATCCGAAAAATATAACTAAGTATTTATAAAGTTTTTTATATATTTAAAATACTATTTTTTATTCGTCTCTTTTTTTAATTTTAATTTAATTAAATATTTTTTTAAAGTCTATTATAATAAATTATTAAGCTCTATATAATATTTCCTTAAGTTTTATAATAAAAAATAATAAGTAATAATTCTTTTTAATAATCTCGTTAAGTCTTTTATAATCGATTATAAATCTAAGCTTTTTTTTACTTTTTTAAAAATAAAAAAAATTAATACTTTTATTAAAAAAATTAATAATTTAATATAACTTTTTTTAAATCTATCGTTAATATACTTATTAAGTTTATTATATTTAAATTAATTTATAAAACATAATAAATAAAACTTAAATTTTATTCTTTTTTTTAATTCGATTTTTATATTTTAATTACTATATTTTAATAATCTTATTTTTTTTTTAAAACAAATAGTTTTATATAAATCTAATATTTTTTAAATATAATTTAAAATAGGTTTAATTTTTAATTATTTATACCGAATACGAATATTTTAATAAGTTTTATCGTTTTAATAAAAGCGATATATTTAATTTATTTTCGTTTATTAAATATTATATAAAATTTATTTAAACCTTTTTTTTAAATTATTTAATAATTAAATTTATTTAATAAAATTAACCGGTTTTTTAATCTATTAATAAATTATATTTTTATAATTATAAAATTTTTAAAATAATAACGGTATTTCCGATTTTTATAATATCGTATTTTAATTATTTTAATTAATTATTAATATATATTATAAAATAAATAGTCTTTTAATTAATATATTTATTATTATAATTAACTTATTTTTTTTTTATTATTCGTAAAATATATAAATTCGTTTTTTATATTTATAATAATTTATATTTATTTACCGTTCTTAATAAAATAAAAATTCTTTAAGCGCCGTTATTAATAATAATATTTATATTATATTTATTTATTTAAAATTTAAATTATAAATATTTTTTATTAAAGAGTATTATAAAATATAAAAACTTATTTATTTTAACCGCCTTTTATCGTTTTTTTATAATTAATATATTTAGTTTTTTAATATTTTAAAAGCTAATATTCGTTTTTTTTATAAGCTATTTATAATTAATTATTAAATTAAAACGCTTTTGTTTTTTAATAAATAAATATAATACGTTAATAATATTATAAATATTGTTTATTTTTTTATTAATAAGTTCTTTTTTTTTAAGAAATAATTTATAGTTTTTAAATATTTTAATATTAAATTATATATTTAAAATATATCGGTTATATAAATAGTTTTTTAAGTCTTTAATAAGCTAATTTAGTTCTTTTTAAAAGCTTATAAATTCTTATTATCTCAATTATTTATTTAAATCGGCTTTTTTTTAATAATAAAATCGTTAATATCGAATAGTATTTTATAATCGATTTTTAACTAAATATATCGTTAAACAATATCGTAAAGTTCGTTTAAATTATAAAACGATTATTAGTTTATTAACTATTTATAATTTAATATATTAATATTATTCAAAAAAAGGTCGTAATTTAATCCCTCGGTATTAAATTTTATAAATATATTATCAATAGTTTCTTTATTTAAATTATTTAATTTAGCGTTTTTTTTAAATATAAAAAATTTTTATTTTAATCGAAGTATATCGTTTTTTATTATTATTTTATATTATTTTTTTATTTATTATTATAAAATAGTAAGGACCATTTTTATAATTAAATATTAAGGAATATAAACGTTTATTATATAATAAGCTTTACTTAATACTTTAATATATTATTAATACCGTTTTTTTAACGTTTTAAATCCGTAAATTAAATATATAATATCTATTTCTTTATTAATTTCGTATTTTAATTAAAAAAAGTCTTTTTTTATTTTAATTCTTAATTATTTTTAAAATCGTTATTAAAATAAAGCGAGTATTATTTTTATATTTAATTATTTTTTTTTTAATAATCGGTTAGCTTTATAATAATTAATTAAAATATAAATATAATCTTTATTATAATCTTTTATTATTAAAAAGCGTTATTTATAATATTAAATTATTTTATTAAATACTTATCGTATTATATAAATAAATTTATTTAAAATCCGTATTTTATAAACTAAAATTTTATTTTTTAATTAAAATAAATCGTTTTTATTTTTAATTATTATCCTTTTTTTTAGTTTATTTTTTATTATTATAAAAGTTTACGCTTAGTTAAGAAAACTAATAAGTTATACTTTAATTATTTTATATATTATTAATAATATTTAAATATATTCTTTATTATAGTTTTCGATAGTTTTAAAACGTTAAACTATTTTTTGTTTATTTATTATAATAAGGGTTTTATTAAAAGGTTTTTTAAAATATTATCTTAATTATTCTTTATTATCTTAATAACTAAAATAGTTATTGTTATAATATATAATTTATAAAAATAATTTATAAAGTATTTCTTTAGAAGTAATATTAATTTATTTTTTAAAAATAGGTCGTTATTAAATTCGTTTAAGCTATTTATAATCTTTAATTATATATCTTAACTTATTGTAATTATAATATTTAAATTCTTTTTTTTAATAAGATTAATCTCGTTTTATTATATTAAAGTTTATAAATCCGTTATATTATCTATAAGTAATAGTTTATTAAGATTTATTATTCTTATTATAATAATATTTTTAATTAAAGTTATATTAAGGTTATTATTAATATTTACGTCTTAAATTAAGTTTTTATTATCGTTTTTTTTTTTATAAAAACGGTTATCGATTTTAATTATAAATTTAATATATTAAAAAAAAGATTTTAATTTATTAAATTTAATAATTTCGTTTTTAATTTTGTTTTTTAGTTTTTAATAAAATATAAAAATCTTAATATTATTAATAAGGTTAAATTAAATATTAAATCGCTTAAATTTAATTAAATAATCCTTTATTAATTTAATTTATTAAAATTATAATATATTACGCTTAATTTATCGTTTTTTATTTAAATTTTAAAAAAAATAATTTAAAAGCTTTTTTAAATTTTTTAAAATTATAATAAATATTTTATATTTTAATAAAATATTTATTAAAAAGATTTTTTTAAAATACTTTTTTTAAAAAAATTCAAATTATTTAAAAGCTTATTTTTTAAAAATATTAATAGTATATATAATTTTTTTAATTTTATTATTAAAATCTTTTTAATAAAAATTTTAAAAACTTTTAATTTAAATTAAAAATCTTTTTAAAAATTTTAAAATATTATTAAAAATAATAAGTATATTAAATTTAAGTTTTTATTATTTTTTATTAAAAAGAGTAATAATAATATTAATAGCTTTTTAAAATATATTAATTTATTTAATTAAATTTTTAATTTTTTTGGTTTTTTTTTAAATTATTTATAATTTTATTAATTATTATTTATATTTAAATAATATTTTCGTCGTTTTTTTTAAAACGATTTTTTATTTTAAAATAGATTTTTAAAATAAAATCGATTTTTTTATTAAAATCTTTAGTATTTTTTATTTTTTAATTTAAATATTAAAAAAAAATAGGTTTTTTTTTTAAAATAAAAAAGTTAATAAAATTAATTTAAAAAATATCGTTTATATTATTTAATTAACTTTATAAAATCGATTTATTAAATAAAAATAATTAAAATATTATAATTAACTAATTATAATAAGGTTTATATTAATAAAAATTAAAGCTACGATATTTATAAATAATAATCGTTATTAAAATAGTTTTAAAAAGCTATTATTTATAAATCGTTGAATAAAAAGGTTTTTAATAATTAATTATAATTTTATTAATAAAATTCTTAATAAAAATAATTAAAAATAATTATAAAATTTAATATAAAATTAATTATTAAAAAAGTTATAAAAGTCTATTTTTAAACTTAACTTAAGCTATTTTATATATAAATTTTAATTATAAATATATCTTTTATAATATTTTATTTATTATTATCCGACCGTTTATTAAACGATCATTTATTTTATATTTTTATAATCGTCCGTTTTATTTATTTATAAACGTTTATTTTTTATTTTATTATATAATTATAATTATATAACTTATTTATAATTCTTTTAATTTAAAAAGAGCCGTTTAAGTTTTTATTATTATATATATAATATAGTAGCCGCCGTAGGTCTTGTGGGGCAGGGCCCTAGTCTAGCAATGCGTATTAGGTCGTAATATTATATATTACGATTACGTAATCACTTATAAATACGCTTATTAATTTAATATTTATTAATAAGCTATAGAATATTCTAATAGGAGGTTTTTATATCTATATAAAGGCGTGACATTACCTACTTAGACCTTTCTTTAAACAAGTAACTTTTTATATAGTAATTTAATTATATTTCTCTCTTTACTCCTAAAGACTTTAGTTATTTACGTATTATTACCCCTTTATTTATATATTTTTATTTTTATATGAATATTATATATTTTTATCTCTTTATAAAGATATATTTATCTTCCACCTCTTAAAGCTATCGTGTAAGAATTTATAATATAAAACCTATATATTTAGGAAATAAACGCTATTAAGTAAATATATAGATAAAAATTATATTTAAAAATAAGATTTATATATAGTATAAACTTAAGCTAGGTTTGAGGATAGACTTTTATAATTTCTTTAATCATTAATTTAATATTAGATTTTACGCTTATTTTCAATTATTTTTATTAAAAAACCCTTTTAATAAGATTATAACTAAATATTAAAATAAATAAGACTATTTAGATTCCGCGGGATTAATAAGCGGCTAAGGATTTCGCTACGTATCGAGCTAATATTAATAAATAGTTACTTATATAGGAGATGGCGGGGAGGAGGCCGATCCCGAACGAGGTTAGGAGGCGTGCTTCTAGAGCAGACGGGAAAAGGCCGGCCAACGACGAGTTGTGAATGAGTGAAAGGCGCACATGCAGATTAAGGTCATCGTAGCCCATGATGGCACTGTCGTACAAGTAATCGCTGTCATGAGATCCCAGTCATGGCAGTATCGAGAATTGATGGCATCATTTGTTAGAAGCCCAGTTGTAAAAACAACCGGCACCTAAGACTCTATCTTCACAATATGACCCATGCAAACGGAACAGCAAGCCCGGCGTCTTTTAGGCTGCTTGTGACACCATGCTATGATATGCTTTCACTGAATCCGCCACCGAGGAATTCGATTCTCAGCAGGATAGGTCTCCCCGTCGCCATGGCTAGTACCCAGTGGTGTTAAGTCGAGTTGTGCCATCACTACCAACGTCAGCGTTCGCCATGCCGCCAAGTCATCACGTGAGGGGCCAACGCTCACCTTGGGCGGCACGTAGGGTAAGTTGATTGGCTACAACTCCTGGGAGATGCAAGCCCCGCCATCAGAAACCAACTTCCACAGCGCGTATACTCACACTTCTCCTTTTTAAAGTCTATTCCGCCAGCCGGAGCACGGCGTCGCTGAGCCTCTTAGCCAATTTCATTGTCTCGTGCTCCAGGCCCTCCCAGGCTCTGATCTTTCAGCTCGACGCACCATCCAGTTCTCAACAGCTCCTGTCCGATCACGCCTTCTCAAGTAGTCATGCTACGCAGCCGCCATTTGCATCCAGAGCACCTCTTTACTGATCCGCAGCCATCTCCTATCGCCTCAACACCGCTTCTCCGCAATGATTGTCCCTCAAGAAAGGAATACCAACGTCCGGCTTCTCGCATGTCTCATCGACGACGACGACACGAACGATAGCGATTATCGCTTCCTCGTCGACGGGCAACATGTGAAGTACATATCCACAGCGCCAGGCACGTTTCGCGGGGCCGAGGACGACCGTACTTTCGAGCCAATCCTGCTTGGCGAGCTCCTCCCACCATTTCCGACTGGAGATTGGAACCACGGCTACGTAGCTAGGGACTCCGAGACGGGGAAGGCTACCTTCGTCGGGACCGAGACAGTACAACTCGCCGGGGTTAAGAACTGTTGGCATCCCATGAAGCTCAACGAGCTGGAATTCACGCGACAAGAGCGAGTGAGGCAACGAGTCCACGTCTCAACGCATCCCGAAGTTAAAGGCGGCAAACCCGTGCTCATCAAACTCGCGGTCTGGCCCTGGGAAATCCCCTCCATTGAGGTTGAGACGGCCGCCTATCAATGGATTAGTGACAGCGGGGTCGGTCCTAATTTTCTGGGCCATCTCACCGAGGGCCAAGATGGGCGCGTGGTTGGCTTTGTCGCTGAGTGGGTGGAAGGCGCGAGAGCCGCTGGGCCAGCGGACATCAACGACTGCAAGAAGGCTTTGGGCCGGTTGCATGAGCTCGGTATCAAGCTTGGCGATATCAACAAACATAACTTTCTTATGCGGGATGGGCATGACGTGGTTCTGGTAGACTTTGAGACGGCGAAGCGAGACTGTTTGCCTTTGGAACTCGAGGACGAGATGAGCACCCTCAAGAGCAGCCTTGAAGGCACGAGTTTCCGGGGTGGGGTGGAACCTGCTGATGAATGACAGAGCCAGGACATGCAAGCCCACATCGGCTTGGTGGTTAGCGGGAGGTTAGCTGCACATACAACCAAACTAGACCATCAAATCCACCAGCATCGTCAGAATAAATCACCAATAGAAATATCGCTGGTCCGACAAGTCTCTTCCAACGTCTACCAGCCTTTTTGCGCTCTCTTGGACGATTTTTGAGGCGGACATCAGTCGAATCAGTCCCATGGCCTTGAGGAAGAAGTCCACGGCGAAGCTTGCATTTTTGCGACGTGTCTGGCGCGGAATGGAGCCTTCTTGTTTTTGTATTACCACTTTGTTCTAGCGATGTTAAAAAAAAAATCGACAAATTGTACAGAAGCAAATCTTGAAAGCAATTTTGCGTTGCCCATATCCTCGATCACGTTCTCTAGAGTGACCACATCGTTCGTGCGTGCTTGATCGGGTACTATGAGAAAAGTAGACGACAAAAGGCGATGTTATAACAAAAAGAAAAGAAAAAAAAAATCGTTCACAAATATAAAAGTCAGTCATTAACGCCCAAAACGACACGCCACTGCTCAACCAATCACGGAGTTGCAGCAAATCATGCTCTCTGAAAACAGAAAGCCCCCAAATAAAGGGGTCCATTGTCTACGATGCAGATCGTCCATGCATCGTGACAGGGTATTCGTACTTGTTAAAGGTCGCTTGTCCGCAATTGCGTGATGTGTCTTGACGTCGGAAATCAAACTTAACACTGCACGGGCGGGGTACAAGCAAGTATGCCGATTGAACGTGTAACTTTCTTTCTTTTAACACCTCTACAACATGACTCTCGAAGCTTTTCAGTGCGATGTCTGCTTCGAATCCATTACGAGAAATGACGTGAAAGTACATCTGCAGAAGCATCAGGCAAGCACATGATGTTACTATCTCTACTATCTCTAATGCGATCTTAGGCCCAGATGCTCAGCCTAATGAGCAGATTGCCTGATATCGCGTCGCCCGACAGCCCTCAAACCGATGAAGAGCGAGTCAATGGTTCTCAATCACCATATAGTAGTGGATGTAGCTGTTGCTCGCCGCCGCGGCTGGACACGAGGCGGTGGTCAGACTCCTCCTTAGTGTAGATGGCCTCAATTCAAACTTCATGGATGGGTATTACGAGACGCCACTTTCCCAGGCTGTGAGATACGGGCATAAGACCGTAATCAAGCTTTTTTTGGATAATAGCAACGGGATTTTACAAGATGAAGCGTGTAAGCGAACCTAGACCATGGGATATATACAAAGATATCTTGAGCACGATATTGATTGAAACACTTCTTTACCTCACTATACTATACAATGATACAGATAAGAGGCGAATAATTGTGGACGTGGGGCCCCAGATAACGATGACCTCGCATCGACGACTGGCAACTGCCCATGTTACTGGTAGAAGATACTTACGATTTCCCTACACGGTTATGAAATAACGCTGGGACTTAATTACATATCGATACAAGGCACTCAGACTTCACCATACATGCACCGTTGAAATAGTCGAGAACCTGACATTTCTCTAGGCTAACTGAGAGAAGTTTTACACGAACGAATGCAAGAAAAGCCTCACTCTACCAGCCGGCCTGCCATTTCCCTTTGTCATCAATCTTGATTCTTTACTTTTGTTCTTCCGCCAGATGATTTTGCAGCCGAACGCAAAGTCTTGGGCAACCTTCTGCGCTTTTTCGGATGCGACACGGATTTATCAACATGGAGCTGACACGAATCGTGGTCCCATTCAAACTGTAATTGGAATGTTGTCTTGCCGCCTTCAGTAATGCGCTTGAGCAAGACATCTTTGAGAGACCATTCCTCGAACTGAGCAAGCAACACGCTAGCTTCAGACGGGGCTGGCGTTGTCTCTGGTGCTCGGATATCGTTAGGTGACTGCGCGGTATGTGTTGCCGATTGTCTTTTGCGAGAGCCCCGAAAACTGGCGGCGGTACGGCGGACCGAACAGGAAGTAGATGTCGAGATTTTGCGGCGCTTGCGACCCTGGTGGACGTCATCTGAATCATCGCCTTTCGAGCCAGAATCCTCAACATCTGGAGGAGAAGAAGAGTTCTCTTCATTATGTCGAGATCCTAGCCTGTCAAGACCGTCCTCGTTTCCTGGATCTTCACTGCCTGCGTCACCGTCCTCATACCGCATGGTTTCATGCATCTGCGAGGATTTGTGGCGAAAACGACGAAGTGACGGCGACGTGGAAGATACTTCGGCATCGGAACTGAACACAGCCTTCGTGGCCTCGGACCCGACATGGGTGGATGCGCTGCTTGTATCATCCAAGGCTTGCCCTTGACACGGTTCATCAGAGGGTGTTGCAGGAGATGGGGCGCGGGCTTTAGGGATGGTACCATCGTATGGCTTGCAGGCGGGTATTTCGCTTTCCTGGAATGATGCCTGGACCACCTCGATGGGGCTCGCAGTCTGGCGAGAGTGTGCGCCAATTGAAGGGGAATCCTGATGACCCTGGGAGCTATGACAAACGTCATAGTCAAAGACAGCACCGACCACCATGTTGCTCTCTTGACTGGCTGGTTCGGGTCGGAGCTGTTTCCCATCTGCCGTAACTGGGTATGGTTGGCTTTCAGGGCTGGTAGGAGGGGTTGCAAAATTGATATCTTGACACTCAGTGAGTACAAATCTCTATTTCCAGTAACGAAGATGACTACGTCGTTCTTGATGCTTGAACATTAGGTAGCTGATATCATTGGAGCTTGGCTCGGATTTCGAAGCTTCCCGTGATGATAGACTCTGGTATTGCTCGTGCAAGAGAGTGTTCCTTGCCGTTCTGGTAATTTCAATACATTCGAGCTGAGACGGTGGATGAACAAGGCATCTGTGACACGGATGCGAGGCGGCTGCTGCCTTTGCGAGCGGTCGCGTTGTGATTCTAACGTGCTGCTTTCAGAATAATGGGCGTGTCTGAATGCTGACTAAATATTTCCCCACCTTAGACAACCGTTGGTGCCTGCCCCCCTCTCCCCCTTCTTCTTCCTCTTCCTTCTCTACGTTCAAGCAGAGAGTGAAGATGGGTACCCCAGCATCCTTTGAACCTCACTAAGGTAGGTAGATGTGATAACTCACCTTTCCTACGTGAAGTAGCCTGCCACCATCACGTTGACGCGAGCAATATGAAGCTATAGAGTCCTACGGCTTCACCACTCGTAAGGGCTTAGCATACCAAGTATCGGATGCCTACGTAGTCAGGATTATGTTTTCCAGGTTGTCTGGCGATGTCCTGTTTCTATTCTCATTCGTTGCTTGGCGTGGTCAAGCAGGAGGGGTTGGTCAAGTTTCTAATAAGAAGTTTCGACCTTTCCCGCTTGCCTCTAGCTTGAGAAAGGAATCTTGCGCAACTTGACAAATTTGTTTTCCGAGCCACCCTTCTCTACATGTCTGTTCGCACCCGAATTTCATCTAACAGGCTGCGTGGCTGATCTCGAAGTCCTCCGACTCATATTACAGTCTCTGCGCTATCCTCAGCCCAACTCAAAACACTCATCGCCATGTAGTTCAATAAGAAATGCCACGCTTTGACAAACCACTGATCTACAGAAAGCTTTGACTGCTAAAGTGACAGAGTTTCCATTACCGCCACTTCTTTCGCATTGTACAAAGCTCGAGGCGGGTAAAGATCGTTGGCTTTCGTTGCCGTTCCGTTCTGTTTGATGATCTATCAAAAACGGCTTGTATGTCTGTATGAAGGTTGTTTCGTACGTTGTCAAACATCTCACGTCGCCCGCGTTCATCTAGAGATTATTAGTACCAGTCATGCGTCATCAGCAGGACTTTGCCTACTTTGAATTCTAAGTCGCGACATTGCACGTAACTCATCAACGGTGAAGTCCATTTTGATACCATTGAAGGCTGCATTGAAGGGTGCAAAAGTGGTTGGATCAGGCCCTGCGCGCGCAATTTATCAGAACCAGAGATCAATCCTGGCTCGCCTGGGTGACTTAGAAAGGGGCCTAACCCCGCTTTGTCACTGATGTTGGCGTTACGAGAATCTCACCCAGTCTCAGTTCAATGCTCAAGACTAACAAGCCCGCGCGGGTGATCCATCTGGACGTCTCCTATATTGCTGTAACTTCGATCCTACCAGACGTATCCCTCGAACCCGCTGTGGGCAGTATCAGAACCTGGGTCACGTTGTGGAAGAACAGCAGTTTAAGCAGAGAAGTCGGAGCGAGAGAGGCGAGGAATATTGAAGGTAACAACCTGTAGAGCTATTTCCACATATGCTGACGCAACCACTTAATTACTCATTATCGTCTCTTATTTTCGCCTTTTGAGGCAACGAGCATTTATCAGGCATTTGTCGGTCAACAGGATCACAACGGTACTTTGGAGTAATCATCTCCTGCGTAGTTTCCTTCCTCGTGTTCGGTTTGAGTCTGCTTCCTCTATTACTGGGATCTTACGAGTACATTATCAAATCAACCTGGCACCTCGATGCTTACGCACTTTTGATCATCGTTTTATGCCCAGTGGGGCGTCTGCAAAAAGTTGCCAACAAATAACTGTCTGTGCTACTTAATTCTACTATTTCGAGGCCATGAGTCAGCAAGACGAAGGTGTACCTGATCTGGTTATTGCGCGGATTGAGAGAAAGTCGGATTCGATTGTGGTTTGCATTTTCATCTTTGATTGAGGGGATTCTACCAGTCTTGCCAAGCGATAATCTATGGGATACGCAAACACCTTAAGCGCACCTGAGTCTCGCAAGAGTTTCCGGGGGGTAGCCCGACATAAACCCCTCCCTTACACAGTCGTAAGAAACAGAATAACATTATTTCAAATGAAACATATAGTGATCAGCTGCATCAACTGCAGGTGGATTCGCGTACGACTGCTCTGGGTTTGCAGTACTACTGTACTTGTCAGGTTTTCTATATGTCTGGTTGCACAAACGCAGTCCCGTCGTTCTCTCCATCCTGTGATTGCCTGCTGAGCTACTGTCTTTTCGACTGTGTACAATCAGGCGTTGTCAAAGAGACGATCAAATTTGCAATGAGTACGGAGATGCTGGATGCACAGATCAGCCAGCGGCAAAAGGACCATAACTAATTTGTTGCCCCGTCATACCAACTCACACACTAGTCGACGACACCCCCCGCACCCTCGTGCCATCAACAGCAGGACTAGCTTAGGAGGCCGACGACAGAACGCCGAATCTGATGATATGCGTATGGTCTTCTAGGAGGTGGGGATATGAACGAAGACGGAGACCATGTAGTTAAGCATACGAGCCCTGAATCGCCGAGCCGGGGCGTAGCAAACTATGTATATATGTATGTGTATAATTAGTAAATGAACCCTTTGGAGGAGGAGGTGGTAAGTATGATATGTGACAGCAGTCTTTGGTCCAAAGTTACCACCTTCATCCAGCCGGTCATTTGTCATGGGGGTGGCGTCTTATGATTATGCGACTACTGTTGCCGAAGCACTTCGAACGGTCTGGCCAAGGATCTTGGCATGGGAAGTCACAAGATGATGCGATGACGAATCATTGACACAATTGTCTTTCCGATGGGAATGAGAGAAGGCTTGGAGTCGTGCTCGTATCCTGCTCACTCGACAGCTTGGCCCCCAAAACTGTGCCGTTCCCAACAGCTGAGATTAACTATTTGTTTGGCATGACAACCTGTCAACAATGAGGACGCAACAGCCACAAAGGCTTGCCTGACGAGACACGCTCTGACGATGCGGCCCAGGAGTGAACCATCATGTCCCTCTGGGCCGAGGTAGGAGAGACTAGATGACGCGTGATAGGCCTTACACCTGAGTTAGCAGCCTCGAATTACTCAATCCATGCGGAAGCTTCTACTAGTGAGGATTTGCCGTCCCATGTCAGATGCAATCCCACACCACCACAAAAGGCACCACATCTGGCGAAGCTTTCGCGAGTTGCTGCAGGCGAAGTCGCGGTTCCATTCTGCGAAAGACGTGCCATTATTGCGCTTTCTGGAGACGGAGAACCTGCAACGCCTACGCCAAAGGGACTTGAGTTGGTTTCAAGATCTTCGCGCGTCGACAAGAGAAGAGGAAGAACATAAGGAGCACAACAACAACGGCGGCACGTGGCCAAAGTTTACAGGATAGATCACAGTGCACAGCAAAGTTCACAGTCTAGGCAATGGTGATGTTCTCTTCACAAGGCGATTGTTAGGTTATTTGATGAGAGGCCATTCATTGGCTGGCCCTCTCTACCGACGCCTCTGCAATCTTCGTCCGAGTTTAGCTCCACCGCTTCCGCCGCCATTGTCCCTTAGTTGAATGGCCTTTTGAAGTCCTAACCAGTGAGGTCCGCCTGTTTGGTCTTGAGCACATTGCTGTCGTCTTGGAACGCAAAATTTGTTGGGAGATGTCAGGCTCAAGAGCTTTCCAAGCGTCTCGACGTGCCGCAATACGAGCGCTGCGGCGGAGACCTCGCGACACCGCATAGACATCAATCGTTCTTCTGTTGCAGATCCGTGGCAATCTGGTTGTCAAATTGTGCATCCCAAGCCGCGTCTTCATTCGTCACCATGCCGAGACTAGGCTGCGTTTCTGTCATTTCTGTCGCTTCTGTAATTTTTGTCGTTTCTGTCCCATCTGAGGCAACTCTTGCTTTCGCCAGCCCTCATTTGCAGGCGAATTTTGCCTTCTTCGGGCATTGCCTTTCCAGCGCTTCATCATCGGTGTCGAAACTTCTTTTTGTTCCTCTCTTTCGCCGGACTCGAGTCGATTCGTTGTGGACGAGTGTGCCTCCGCTTCAATCGCAGAAACCTGGTCCAAGACCGATTACACGAGATTGTGGTGACGAGCAGCGTCTCTCTTCGCATCATCATAATCGAAGGTGGCCCGGACGAAATCCCCGATTCGATTATTCCGGCCTCGGACCTGCTCAATTCGTTGCTTAGCAGCAAGTATTTTCTTTGTACCAACTTTCAATATCGATATCTACTTCGCCTTAGGAATACTCATGCAATTCAGATCTTCCTACGCTAACATAAAAATCCTTTTCGCTTCTGACTCTACCCCCGGAACGACCTTCCCGGCTTGATCCTCTTCTGATTAACGCTCCATCAGCGACGCCATCGTCCGCACAAACTCTTTGATCTCGTGGGTTGCGACTCGATGCTGTATTGCCCAGGGATCTCGATCTGTTTTATGAATCGGATTGCCTTGGCGGCTGCGTTGCGGTTGTTAAGTATGACCCGAAAATTGTGTCGTCCTGCAAAGCTTCCCCAAGAAGAGTAGCACCCCACAAATGCAAAGATGGGCTGACGGCGTACTGGAGGAACAAAGCGCCGACCCGCATAGATGACGGAACAGTCCTCTCCGATCAATCAAATCTCCGATGAAATTACGTTACAAACTCATCAAATTCGGATTTGCGTAAAGCCCTTCTCAGTACCAAAAACAAGCTGATCTTCGCCACAATTTGAGGTTAACAGCCTGAGGGAAGGCTCATATTGGTCAAATTTCTGGTAAGACAACTGGAGTACGCGCTAACGCAAATTGGAATGTGACGAGTTTCTGCAGTAGAAACCCCAATTCCCGATGACTAATGACTGGGTGACCAATCCAACAAAAGTCATCCAACATGACTCATGCCACCTCTACTTGAGGGAGGCACGGAGTGATGCGATTGTGCCGGAATCACGGAGCTGCCAGTGCTCGCTTTGTCAGGCGCCAAGCCGGAGTTGCGGAGTTGCTCACATCACCGCGAATCAGTACTCCGGCCGACTCGCCGATTCATGGTAGGACTTCTTAAAACACGAGGTAACAAGCTGGTGGAAGGATAGTATATAATGACGAAAGACACCTCTTGGTTTCTCTCTTGAAGATCTTCAATAACAAGACACCTTACCCGGACTAAGGCAACTCGACCGTCCTCAATTGCATAGAGACATTTTTGCATCAATATTCCTTTGTGAACTCCTGCATCTACGACCTTGTCGCTTCTATTCAAGATCTCAATACTACACGTTAACCAGCCGCCTCAATCATCATGGCATCTTCCCAAATTTCGGAAAGCAAACTTTTCAAGCCGTTGAAGCTCGGCAGCACGCAGCTCGACCATCGCATTGCCATGGCACCGTTGACCCGATACCGCAGCGACGCAACCCACGTGGCCAAACCTTTTGTCCCTCGTTATTATAGCGACAGAGCCTCGACTCCGGGCACCCTGATTATCTCAGAGGCTACCGGCACGTCAATGCCTGAAACCGGAGTACCACACGGCCCAGCCTTCGTGACAGACGAACAAGTCGCTGCCTGGGAAAAGGTTATCGCTGCAGTTCACGAGAAGAAGGGTGTGTGGTTTCAGCAGATCTGGGCTCAAGGCCGAGCTGCGGATCCCGAGTATCAGAAGCAGCGCGGCTTCAGGTTTCGGTCCTCGAGCGCTGTGGCCATGGAACCTGGCGCACCTGTCCCCGAAGAAATGACTGAGGAAGAGATTTTGCAAGTCATTCAAGATTTTGCGGACACAGCCAAGAGAGTTGTTGCTGCGGGCGGTGACGGTGTCGAAATTCATGGAGCCCATGGTTACCTTCTTGACCAATTCCTCTCAGACTCCGTCAACAAGCGTACTGATAAATGGGGAGGCTCGATTGAAAACCGAGCTCGGCTTCTTCTCGAAGTCGTCAAGGCGGTCGTCGAAGTTGTCGGTGCTGAGAAAGTGGCACTTCGACTTTCTCCATATGCATCTTTCCAGGGCGCCGAGTCATCTGATATCCATGGACAGTATACCTACATTGTCAAGGAGCTGCAGAAGATGAACGCTCCTTTCGCTTATCTGTCATTGGTTGAGGCCCGAGGCGACCCTGCCAAGCTTTTGAACGCTACGCACGATCCCAAGATTGCTCAACAAACCCTCAATTTCATCCTGGACATCTGGGACAACTTGTCCCCTGTTGTTGTGGCCGGCGGCTATAGCCCTGAGAGCGCGGCCCAGGTATTGGAAGAGCACTATTCAAAGTGGGATGTTATTGTTGCATTTGGAAGAAGCTTTATTGCAAACCCAGATCTTGTCTGGCGCATTAAGCACGGCGTTTCACTCACAGAGTATCACCGCTTTTCATTCTACATTCGGGGTTCCGAGATTGGGTACAACGATTATACATTTAGTCAGGAGTACATTGACGCGCAACGAGAATGGGCTTTGGCGAACCTGGCCTCGAACTCAAAATAGCGTCATGATTGTGTAGGGTTTGTATGCCATGGGAACGAAGGTCATAGAATGTAGAATTGCCGAATTTCCATAGCTCTCAATGATAGAATTGTCTTAGCAATGCGACACCAAGTCATGATTTCAATCTTCACCTTTCTTCCCAGACATGGTGCTTATTCGAACCGTTCCATATGACCCAATCGCAGTATCCCCTGAATATAGTTGCAATCCAATAATCTTCTTAGAACAAGGAGACGTTGAATCCTCAACGTTTTCAAACTAAGGTAGGAACAATGAGGTATGCTTGAAAGTCTTGGCTTACTATTCAGGTTGGGTTAGCTCTACTTAGCGAGGAAAGGGTTTTTAATAGGTAAGGTAGACTGGAGGGAAAATATTGAGCTGAGCTTGGTCGCTGTTTATAAGTTGCCATCGACCGGACCCATCCAGATCCTAACTCTGTCAAGCATACGAAATACAGCCTTGCTCTTAGTATCTCATTTTCGTACATAGAAACCACGTGCATGGGATGCTTATTGACCTCGGGATGCTACGAAGACGTTGGCCTCAATAATGAGCCTTTGGATTGATTGGATCAGACGATCTGCCTGTGGCCAGCAAGCCCCTCGTAAGTTGCCCACTCGTGAAAGGAGTGAAGATCCTACAGCATTGTAAAGTAGAGCCATGTAAGAGTTAATCTAGATTCTCTCTGAAAATTCTCAGGCTGAACTGATACTTAACTTGACATCTCACCACCGGTCTGTCAATCTCCTCGAAGTGCGCTGCTGAGAGACATGCGACCTCGGTTCACTTTTTTGAAACCGAGCTGCAGCTATTCAGTGCATTTCACAGGCTCAACTATATGAACACCGTCGGGGAAGAAATTTGTAGTACATTTAGTGATTATATGTAATGTCTTGAGGGCCGTGGACATCCTGGCAGTTCGCGGAGTCTCTTCAGCCAGATGCAGGTCATCAAGCAACGGACTCAACTGGGAGCCAATCAGGGCCCAAGTTATGCACGGTCGAACCCGGCATTATTGAACTTAGGACCGAGCACCCTAGTCGTATTTTAGCACTGGCGCCAAGATTGACTTGTCTCAATGATTCCGGCACCAACAAACACAAGCGCAAGACACTGCAATCAATGGTGCCCTCTCGCACAATTCGGAGTTGAAAAATGTCCGTTCGAGACACATTCTGGCCGTTGGGATTGATTCCCCGGCCGTGAAAATGCCTAATCGCCGATGTTGGGTGTAGGTCGCTGCAGGGCATGTCAGCGCCATCGCGTGGCTCGGTGAGTCTATGACGAAAGCATAGCTTGAACTTGCCAGATGAGGCTCCTTGCTTGAAGAAGAAAAGATCTAGTGGTCTCCACTTCGCTCCGACTTCTTACACCAGAGTCGCGCTGACGCGACCGACGTGGTCTGCTAGCACCTTGGCTCTACGTCGTCATAGATCTCAGCCGGGCTAACGGCCGGCGGAAACAGAGGACCGACGCCATTAGTTTACTGCAATTTGAATCGAATTTTTGGTCGCTCGCGTCACCCTGAGGACATGCCCAATGTTATGGAACCGGCCTAGTAATTTGCATCTCATTGGCATGTGGTTTCAGCGGGCAGCAAGCATTTATCAACCAGATGCTCTTCTAATACAATATCTACCTACGGTTTCCCATCGACACCCAGGATACTACATCTTCTGTGTGCCATGTTTTCTACACTAGCAACTTGCGCTGTCCTTACATGATCGCCATCCCCATCTCCACGTCAAGGCAGACGACCGTCACATCGCAACGAAGCTTATACATCCTGTTGGAAAACCAGCATACTCATCATGGATGAGAGGCCCACGCCTCGGGACACCGATGTCCCTGGCGGGTTCCCCGAGACACCTAGTCTTGCTCCGGCCAGCGGTCACCCTACACCGATGGCATTGTCTAGTCATGGCCAGCACAATTCTCACAGCATCTCGGGCACAGAATCGGGCCATATTGCCCAGACTAACGCAAGTTACTTTACCACAACTTCGCGCGTCCGCGATGACACCTCGTCTTCTACTCTCACACTCCCTGGCAATGGTGCTGCAGTTTCAGGCAGTCGCAAAGCTTCGCAAGTAGAAGATTTATCGGAGAAGAATGCCCCCATTGACGATGAATCAACGCCATCCTCTCCCTCCGCCAATGCTTCATCGCCTACCGACAGCGCTCACTTTGCGCCCCTCAAAACCCATACTAGCAATGCCAAACGGCCACAGGCGCGCAGACAAGGGAGCAATTTAACTGAAGACGATCTTTTCCGAGTACTGTCTCGTCGCCGTACCAATGCTACACATCAGTCAGATGCTGAGCAAGAGGAACAGCAAGAGATTGAGCGTCTCATGTCTCGGATATTTGGCCGAGCTCGACAAGAACAGAGCGAAGAGGAGAAAACGCGGCATAGCGGCGTTGTTTTCCGCGATCTCACAGTCAAAGGCGTCGGTCTCGGGGCTAGCTTGCAGCCCACCATTGGGGACATCTTTCTCGGGTTCCCGCGAAAGATCAAAATGCTCTTCACTCGAGGGCCGAAGGCTGCATTCGCAAAGTCCCCAGTCCGAGAGCTCATTAGCCATTTCGATGGCTGTGTACGCCCAGGAGAGCTTCTCCTTGTCCTCGGCCGTCCAGGTTCAGGCTGCAGCACTTTTCTCAAGACTTTCTGCAATCAGAGGGCAGGATTCGAGGCCGTTCAAGGGGAGGTCACTTATGGAGGCGCCCCTGCTGAGGAGATGAGCAAAAGGTTCCGCGGGGAAATAATCTACAACCCTGAAGACGACCTACACTACCCAACCCTGACCGTCAAGAGAACCCTCAATTTCGCTTTGGAAACACGAACCCCTGGGAAAGAATCGAGACTCGAAGGCGAGAGTAGGACGGACTACATCGAAGAGTTCATGAGAGTTGCCACGAAGCTCTTCTGGATCGAACACACCCTGGGCACGAAGGTTGGCAACGAATTTGTCCGAGGTGTTTCTGGTGGCGAGAGAAAGCGCGTCAGCATTGCAGAAGCTATGATTACCCGTGCATCCGTCCAGGGATGGGACAACTCAAGCAAAGGTCTCGATGCCAGTACTGCTGTAGAGTATGTCCGATCTATTAGGGCTATGACAAACATGGCAGAGACTTCGACCGCCGTCTCGCTGTATCAAGCTGGCGAGTCTCTCTATGATCTCGTCGACAAAGTCCTACTCATCGACGAGGGAAAATGTCTTTACTATGGACCTTCCGAGGCTGCGAAGCAGTATTTTATTGAACTCGGTTTCGAGTGCCCAGACCGGTGGACGACTGCAGACTTCCTGACTTCAGTGACCGACGAGCATGAGCGCCATATTCGAGACGGCCATGAGTCTCGTATTCCAAGGACCCCGGAGGAGTTTGACTTGGCATACAGAAACAGCGAAGCCTACCGGAAAAACATTCAAGACGTCGAAGAGTTCGAATCTCAACTTGCGCAACAGATGGAAACCCGGCGCCAGAACGAATCGAAGAAAACGGAGACCAAGAATTACGAGATTCCTTTTCACAAGCAGGTAATCTATTGCACTAAGCGCCAGTTCATGGTCATGGCTGGGGATCGGGCGTCTCTTTTTGGCAAATGGGGTGGGCTGGTATTCCAAGGTCTCATCGTGGGCAGTCTGTTCTACAACCTTCCCAATACCGCTTCTGGAGCATTTCCCCGTGGAGGAACCCTGTTCTTCCTACTTCTCTTCAATGCCTTGCTTGCACTTGCGGAACAGACGGCAGCCTTCGAATCGAAACCCATCCTGCTAAAACACAAGTCCTTTTCTTTCTACCGCCCAGCAGCCTTTGCTATTGCCCAAACAGTCGTCGATGTACCGCTCGTCTTCATACAGGTTATCCTTTTCAACATCATCATATACTGGATGTCCAACCTTGCAAGGACTGCTTCACAGTTCTTCATCGCCACACTCATCCTTTGGTTAGTCACCATGGTGACCTACGCATTCTTCCGCGCCATTTCAGCTTGGTGCAAGACCTTGGATGATGCAACCAGATTCACGGGTGTGTCTGTCCAAATTGTCATCGTTTACACTGGTTACCTTATTCCCCCAACTTCGATGCGCCCTTGGTTTGGGTGGCTACGATGGATCAACTGGATCCAGTACGGGTTTGAGTGTCTCATGTCCAATGAGTTTTACGATCGGCAGCTCCAATGCGTTCCCCCTTATCTCGTTCCTCAAGGACCCAACGCGTCGCCGGCCTATCAAGGTTGTGCGCTCGCCGGAAGCTCACCAGGTCAGACGATTGTACCCGGTTCCAGCTACATCGAAGCCTCTTTCACATATTCCCGTTCTCATCTCTGGCGGAATTTCGGCTTCCTCTGGGCTTTCTTCATTTGTTTTGTGATACTCACAGCTTTGGGTATGGAGCATATGAAGCCGAATACGGGTGGCGGCGCCATCACGGTCTTTAAACGCGGGCAAGTCCCCAAGAAGGTGGAGAATAGCATCGCTGCCGGCGGGAGTGGCAAGAAAGGTGATGAGGAATCAGGCGAAGCCAACAACGGCGCACAAACAATGACGGCCGACACTCTGAAGAAAGAACAGAGCGACGAGGACATCATGAAGCAAGTGGCTCGGAACGAGACGGTCTTTACTTTCCGCAACGTCAACTACGTGATTCCTTTTGAGAAGGGAGAGCGCACGCTACTGGATGATGTACAAGGATATGTACGGCCCGGAAAACTTACTGCCCTTATGGGTGCCTCCGGCAAGCATCACCTTGTGCCAGGACTTGTTGTCTACAGTTGCTAACGTCTCACAGGTGCCGGTAAGACAACTTTGCTCAATGCCTTGGCTCAACGCCTCAATTTTGGAAAAGTCACTGGCGAGTTCCTGGTTGATGGCCGTCCGCTGCCCAAGTCATTCCAGAGAGCGACGGGTTTCGCCGAGCAGATGGATATTCACGAACCAACAGCAACGGTACGGGAGGCTCTTCAGTTCTCAGCGCTGTTGCGCCAACCTCGAGAAGTATCCAAGAAGGAGAAGTTTGATTACTGTGAGACCATCATTGATCTTCTTGAGATGCGCGACATCGCTGGGGCAACGATTGGCAAAGTAGGCGAGGGTCTCAATGCGGAACAGCGAAAGAGACTAACCATTGGTGTCGAGTTGGCGTCGAAGCCTGAGCTACTCATGTTCTTGGACGAGCCTACTTCCGGTTTGGATTCTGGCGCTGCCTTCAACATCGTTCGGTTTCTCCGCAAGCTGGCAGATGCTGGTCAGGCCGTGTTGTGCACCATTCATCAGCCGTCGGCCGTGTTATTCGAAGACTTTGACGAGCTTTTGCTTCTCAAAGCAGGTGGCCGAGTTGCGTACCATGGACCCCTTGGGCACGACAGCCAAGACCTCATTCAATACTTCGAGTCGAACGGTGCTCACAAATGCCCTTCGAGCAGCAATCCAGCCGAGTACATGCTGGAGGCAATTGGTGCCGGCGACCCGAACTACAAAGGCAAGGACTGGGGCGACGTCTGGGCGCAGTCGAAGCACAAGGAGGAGAGATCCCGGGAAATTGACGAGATGCTGGCCAAGAGGAAGAACGTCGAGCCATCGAAAAGCCTCAAGGACGACCGCGAATATGCCATGCCCTTGTCGACTCAGACCGTGGCAGTGGTTAAGCGTTCGTTCACTGCCTACTGGCGCACACCGAACTACATTGTCGGGAAGTTCATGCTACACATCCTGACGGGCCTGTTCAATTGCTTCACATTCTACAAAATTGGATATGCATCTGTCGACTTCCAGAACCGGCTTTTCTCCATCTTCATGACTTTGACGATTAGTCCCCCGCTTATCCAACAACTACAGCCAGTGTTTCTGCAATCACGCCAAATTTTCCAGTGGCGCGAGAACAACGCAAAGATCTACAGCTGGTTTGCTTGGACAACAGCTGCCGTCCTTGTTGAGATCCCGTATGCCATTGTCGCCGGAGGCATCTACTTCAACTGTTGGTGGTGGGGTGTGTTCGGGTGGCGTCTGCCCAGCTTCAATTCTGGCTTTGCATTCCTCTTGGTCATCCTCTTCGAGTTGTACTACGTCAGCTTTGGACAGGGCATCGCAGCGTTCGCCCCCAACGAGCTTCTAGCATCTCTGTTGGTCCCCATATTCTTCCTCTTTGTCGTCAGTTTCTGTGGTGTGGTTGTTCCAGCCAACCAACTTCCCACATTCTGGAGGGCTTGGATGTACTGGCTTACACCTTTCCACTACCTGTTGGAGGCTTTCCTCGGAGTAGCCATCCACGAACAGCCTGTTCAGTGCGAGGCTGGTGAGTTTGCGAGATATCAGCCACCTCCAAACCAGTCTTGCGAAGATTACACTGCGCCGTATATTCAGCAGGCAGGTGGATATGTCCGAACTGGAGATGGGGGCATTTGCGAGTTTTGCCAATATGCGACTGGTGACGAGTTTGGTGCAGGTTTCAGTGTCTACTACAGTAACATCTGGCGTGACTTTGGTATTTTCTGTGGGTTTATTGTCTTCAACTACACTGTTGTTTACTTTGGGACTTGGCTCAAGTTCAAGGGGAAGAATCCCTTCAAGAATGTCATGATGAAGAAGAAGGGCGGCAGTGGTTGATTTTTTTCTTGATTCAGGATGGAATCATCACTAGAAGAAGGTACGGAGTTCAATGAATTGTAAAAGACGAATAGACCAGATCGATTAATGCAAAGTATTGCTCTTAGTGGGACTCATGAATCCCTCGGGCTTGAAGGCGTTATAGCAACAAATGTTGCATTGGCTTCATTTATTGCTCGCCGCATCTTGAATTTTCGATAAAATTTAGGTAGTGGACAAAGGTTCTGACATTGGTTGAACTGGGACACTGGTATATGATGAGAGAATCTATCGAGGGAGGAAGCAACTATTTGATTAAGAGTTAAATTGGCAGATGGCAGACCCAGTGCCTTAGTTCTTAAAATCGCCCTTGGTCAGCTCATCCTCCAGGTCGTAGTAAACTTGGAATTCGCAGTAGCAAATCTCTGGGTCGCTCTCAACATCAAAGTTGAACTGCGCCTCTTCATCCGTAATGGGGACCTTTGCCAAACCGTTGGCCGCCGCCGCTTCAGCCAGAAGCTGCACGCGACAACTGCGCTCCATGGAAGTGTACAAAAACGCAGCTTCGTCGACGGTGTGCCCCACCGTCAACAGGCCGTGATTTCGCAGGATGCAGCCCTTGCCCTTGGGGCCCAGCGCCTGAGCGATCAGTTCACCCTCCTCAGGACCCAAGACAACACCTCCGTAACTGTTATAAACGCTGTGAGCATCGCCACGGAACTTGCAGGCGTCCTGGGTCAGCATCTCCAGCCGGCGCCCAAAGACTGACCAAGCCTTGCCGTGAATGCTGTGGTTGTGGCACACGGCATGGACATCCGGACGAGCCTTGTGCACGGCAGCGTGGATCAAGAAGCCAGCAGTGTTGGGGGGCTTGGAGCGGTTGCCGCCAATTACCTCACCGTCGAGGTTGACGAGGATCATGTCGCTGGCCTTTAGCAGACCAAAGTGCTTGCCGAGAGGGTTCGTCCAGAAGGCGTCATGGTGCTCGGGGTCCCTGACGGAAATGTGGCCGCTCATGCCTTCGATGTAGTCCTCACGGTACCAGTGGCGGAAAGCAGCGGCCATGTGTTCGAGTTGCCATTGACGTTGGGAGGCGAAGTCGGGGAACTTGGGGATACCAGCAAGGGCGACATCACCGTGAGACATGGCCTGCAAAGGCGTCTTGTTGACGAGCTCATGACCATGCTTGGTGTGCGATGCCCCCTTGGACACGATGGCGGCGGTGCGGGCCTCGATGGAATCGGTGTCGCTTACAACGGCAGACGGAGCCATGGTGGGTCTTGGAATCGGTGCGCCGCTTTACGGAGTCTAAAAGAAACGGTCTTCGTTGCGTAGGACGAGCACGCGTGTCTCGGGCCGTGGCTCTTTGAGTGTACGTGTATCGAGGAATAAGAAGCACAGGCTGAAATGAACAAGTAGTTGGTCTGGTTGACTTCAAGTGAGTATGCAGATAACGTTCACTTGGGGAAATCACATATGCGTGGAGATGGCCGATTGATAGGTAAGACACCACCAAGGCACGAAGGGCGCAAATGTCATTCGGAAGATGTTACCCAGAGTTTGGCCGGAGCGGGGTTGCGGGTCATGATAAGACACGACCGGGATCGCTCTCCCAAGTCAGGACCGGTTACCGGAAACCGGAAACCCGACCGGCCCGGTCCAAACATCGGACGGCCGGACAAGGGATTCGCCGCATTATCCTGGGATTTTTGGGGCCCCGCCTCCGCAATGAGCGGCTCACTCGCCGATAAGAGGCACCGCCACTCCAAGTAAGCTGTCCCGCAATCGTAGTGTCGCTGTTTCGAGATTCACGCCGCGTCTAATTTGGCTTCAACGCTCAAGAGGGAGACGTGGTATGTTGAAAGAAAACGTCGCGACAGGGTATGTTACAGCTAGTCCATGCAAATTCCATCCGCCCTCCATAACCCAAGGAAATCTCTCTTGTACAGCGACCGTCGTCGTCGTCGTCTTTACGCAAATGCTTTTATTTACCCGTGCGCAGCTCCCGACCGTCCGGCTCCGAACCCGTCTCCTTTGCTTTTCTGGAGAATGGAGAGGGGGGTGTTCCTGGCTCTGCTCGGTACATGTACCGGATGTCACATTAGTTCGTCATTAAATAGCAGTATTTTGCTCGTGTTCAGCAGTCCTCGGTATGACCCGTCGGTACATCTACCGCTTGGCCTGTGATGCCTTATCCAGACACCGAATAATCTGAAAAGAGTCAGCATGCGATGTGCAAAATTAGATGGGGTCAGAACGACAAACCTCATCCCCCCAAACGCCTTGGTTGCTAAGATAGCGACCCATACCCCTGACCAACTCGAGCTGCTCCTCAACCGTCAAGCCCGTGACAGCCATCTCCATGACACTGCCCAGGTTGACTTTGTGCAGGGCGATGAACGAATGGTAGTACATGTATGTGAAGAAACCCATGATGAACTGGCAATCCATGCGGTCCGTCATGCCGCCATGTCCCGGAATCGAGTCGCCAAAGTCCTTGATTTTGAAAGTGCGCTTGAGCCCAGAAGCAAAGAAACCGCCGAAGGGAGCGATGAGAGAGGCAAAGGTAGCCAATACCAAGGTGTGCAGCTGCATCGGGGCCACGGTGAACGAGAAGGTCTGGTGCATGTTCGGGGGCAGGAAGAATAGAGGAGGCAGGCTGTACGTCTTGGGTATGAAGACGGGATTACGGGTACACTCAAGACCAGTGAAGATGTTTGCGCCGAGATCCTAGACTGAATTAGGGCTTTTGCTGCATTCATCTCGGAGAGAGGGGTAGACCACTCACATTGACAGGGCATAGAAAGAAGTCGGAGCGCATCAAAATGTTGGTCAAAATCATGCCAAACAAGATGGTGAAGGCCCAGGCGCCAACGAAACCCTCGACGGTCTTCTTGGGAGAGAGCGCAATGAGCTGGGTGCGGCCAAAAGTGATGCCGCATAGGTAGGCCCAGATATCGTTGGTGATGACCATGGCGGCCGGGAGGAAGAACCAGATCATGCCCTCGAAAACATTGTTCATGATGAAGTGGGCCTGGACGACGATGAGGTACAAGGCCATGTGCGTCCATGCGAACTGGGTGAACTGGAACTTGTAGTGACCGTTCTGGAGCGAGGTAACGAAGAAGACAAATCCTGAGGGGGTTTATAGTCAGTATATACTCGAAAGACGGTTTCGTATGCTTCGAATGACATACCGAAGATGTATAAGATGAAGCTGATGAAGCGGTGGTGGGTTGCCAAGGGTAGCAGAACCTTGTCAACCAAGACAATGTGCTTGAAGTAGTAAATGACACTCTCGCCGTAGAGAAAATACATGGTAGTGGCCAACCAGTACCAGTTGAGGCTCTTGGCGGAACGCAGCTGGCGGGCACGGCTGGGTACACTAGCGATTGCAATAACCTCCTTGAAGGAGATGATCTGGATAGCAGTCATGATGCAGATGATATAGATGTGGCCCATGAAGAGAGCAGTGAAGAAGCCGGCAAACATGACAAAGGTCCAGAAGGTACGGGTCAGGAAGTTGGCCTTCTTCTTCTCGTAGGCGGCTCGCTTTTCCTCCTCGGGAGAGTGAGATTGCTATCTCAGGCGTGGGTGGTTAGCTTTTGCCTTGTTGGGTCGGGTCGAGGTCGCTGTCGCGGTCGCGGTCGCGGTCGCATCAGGGTGGGCAGGGCGGGAAAGGGACCAAAGCTTACCTCTACAATGTTGTCCAGGGCAGCAGCAGACCTAAGCTTGGTAGGTGACCCATCTTCGCTGACGTCGCTGAAGCTGGAGCGGCGTCCCTCGCCGTGACCGTTGGTCTTGTGGGGGAACTTGACGCCCCTCCGTGTGCGTGCCATCATGTCTCTTGTTGCGGTTCCACGAGAGTCAGAAAGGCAAGTGGTCGATGACTTGGCGTCGCAGGTAGCTGAGAATCTGGGTTGGGGTAGCTGGAGTCTGGCTGATTAGAGATCAACGGTCGAGGGTGAAGGCCGTGATAAAGCGTCGCGGAGCAAGCGGGTGGTTCGGATGCGGCGAAGAGAGGAAGCGGAGGGTCGGCGCAAATTAGGCCGTTGTGTCGCAGGGACAAGCGATGAGATGGCTTGTCGCAAAGCTGTCGAAGAAGACCGGGGAGTGGGTTCTAGTGACTCCCAGGACGAGATTGCAAGGGGTCGAGTTCGGAATCGTAGGCGGTCGTGGGTGACGTTTTGGCCAAGCGGATGGGATATGTCGGCGAGGATGGTTTTTTTTGTTGAACCCGAGAGGGAACTGAGCAGAGGGCGGAAAGCGGGAAGGCCCAGCTGGCGCAGAATCAGGAGCGGACCCACCGTCCAGTGCCGGGCTGCGGGCTACAGCTGTGTCCACGTCGACGGGAGTCTGGTCAGGGTGTGTTGCTGCAGCCCGCTGAGTGCTCCAGTGTCCGTCCTTAGGGTCGGTTGGATTCCTTACTATCTAGCACCCAAAATACAAAGCTTCTTTTTCTTTTTCTTTTTTTTCTCCTTGTTTCTTTACTTTTTTTTTTCTCCCCTTTTTGATCCTCTCCCGTTACCTATTTTCCTTCCTCCACATCGTTGCGCCAGAGGCCTAGTAATCCCCTCCGATCCTCAGGTAGCCAGTCCACTAAATCATCTGAAGAAGCTTGCGGTGCCAGGGCAGCTGGTCTGGGCGAATGATGACGGTGCAAATTAGCGTACAATGTAAAAGAGCTACGTCAGGCCTGCATTCTTGGCGGGGGAGGCCCCCGAGCAGAGATTATGTCATCCAGTTGTCCAGCAGCGCCGCAAAGCTGACGTCTCATTGGGCAACACGCTGCCTGCACCGTCGGCTCGGTCTCCGGACTGCTGGACATCCCCGTTGCGCTGCAGCTATCTGCGCTTGTCTTCCTCAATAAGGATCTTTGTAATTAAGGTAATCCAAAGATGCCACTTTCGAACTTCGTGTAAGGGTCGGTAACCTTTCTTACGAACGACGTTGTAAGGTACCTTGCCTGAGAGAGCCTTCAGCCTTGAAAAGCACAAGCTTCAAGGAGCCCCATGCACCAGACGCAGGCAGCCCGCAGCGGGTACGAAAGATTCCTTGCGAAGTTACGCGTATGTTTTGCAGGGTTCTGCTGGAGGGACGGAGCATCATCCACTCAGGTTCCTTGCCAGTAGGTAGTCCGTACCAGCCCACCAAAACTGTTGAGTTGGTCAGCCTCGTTAACCCCGTCTCCCGGAAGAATGCCGTGGATACCTTATGATGTCTAAATAAGATAGGTATCCGTACGGACACTATCAACGATACACGTCCCCCTGTGGTTCTTTCGTGCTCGTGGCCGACGAGGTGCGTGAGATTGGGCAAGGAAGCCCGCCACGCGCGCCTACATTGACCGCTTGAATCCATCTCCGGCCAAGCCGAAATATCAATGTGGGCGCAATTTGACATCATCACATGCCATCATATGGCTGGTCTCTGTGTTGAACTAATCAGCTAAGCACTTCTGGCCAGTAGCTCTTTGATCGGGTGAGGCGCGAGCTTTCTACACTAGGCAATTCGTTTTTTGTATTGGCTCCGCGCTACCGTACAATCGTCCGAGCTCGTCAGCCACAATCACATGATGTCCGCAAGGCACTGTGGCTTAGGTAGTTGCAGCAGCCTGGAAGTCAATGTGGCTGACGGCGTTCTTTTTTCAACGTCGCGTCTCCCAGCGCGTTGAATCCTACCTTATTCTTCTCCTGCGACTGATAAGATAAGAAAACTGGTCTGTAAGGTACCTACCTACCTTGGTTCCCGGGCGACGGCCTCACCATGCCGCTGCCTCAGGTGGGCTGCCACTATTCCCACGCAAATCGAAACACTCCCTCTACCTCAAAGGTTTACAGCCGTCAATGGGTCCATGACACACGGCTTGACGCTCCAAGGCGATCATGGACGAATTCAATGACGACGATTTTGACGAATTGAATGACACTACCCTCCAGGAGCTCGAGAACAACGCTATCCAATTCACCCAAGCACAGCGGAAGCCCGACTCACAGTCTCAGCCTCAATTCCACAACCCTTCACAGATCGAGAACTACGATGACCTTGAATTCGAAGATGACGACCTCGACGATGCTGAAGTCACCAATGAGCTTCTGCCTTCCGTTACTCGCCCTCCTGTAGACAAAACTGTTTCCCAGCAACACCAGCAGCAGCACCGCCACCTCCAGCATTCGCAACAGCCTCATGCAGTCAGCCGCCCGTCTCTTCCTACCCAGCAAAGACGGATTCCACCAGCAACACACACGAATCCTTCCGCGCTCTCCCCCCGACCGCGATACCCTCCACCGGCGCCATCCTACGTTGCCCCTGCCGCGTCGCAGCGCTTTCAGTCGGCCCACACTGCAACTCCCTACCGCCCTCCGCCAAGCCAATTTGTTCGACCTCCTCCCCCTTCGTCTACCCGCTTCAATCCTCCAATAGCTCAGCCGCAAGTACATGTGCCTCCTGGCAATGATGTCGTTGCCGCTCTGCAGCAACGACTCAGGACGCTCGAGTCTGAGCTCAACTCTGCTCGTGGCGAGGTATCCATCATACGGACCAAATCAACAAAGGCAGAGCAGGACCATGTAGCTGAGGTTTCCCGCCTCAAGAAGCAGAATGCCGAACAAGCTGCCAAGCAAGAGAGGGCTGTCGAAGCCGCCATTGCTGCTGAAAGGCAGGCTACCACCGAGTTGCAATTCCTGCAAAGAGACTTGAAGGACGCTTCAACCCGTCCTCGCCGGAGAGAAGCTGCACCAATGTCCGCCGCACCAGGGACTACCACACCTAAGAAGACAGCCAAAACCTGGGGTGTCGCAGATGGATTCGATGATATGGATATCGCCCCAAGTCCGACTAAGAACAGAGGCAAATCCCGAGACACCGGCCCTGTCGCGATGCCATTGTCTGAGAGAACGCCTACCAAAGGCAAACGGAAACGGCCGACTGTTGATAGTCCCGTCATGGCTTTGGAGATAGACGCCCAGGATGTGATAATGGTTGACGACGTGGGTGCCACCGCCATCGAAGTTCAACACCCCGGCCCGGCGCCCAACATTCTTCCCTTTGAGGTAGCCCTAACAACACGTATCGTGGCCAGGCTTGTGGCTAACAATGTCGCAGTTTCTGCAAGTCATACTAGATCATGGCTCCCTGCATGGGGAACCACCGACTTTTGACATCTTGTCACGGTACTCATACCCGTCTGATCAAACCACGTCCTTTGCCTCCTTCATCTTCCAGCAACTACCTCTCATGGGCAATCCGCTGAATCCAGTCCAGCTCCTGGTAGACTTTGCCCGTCTTCTCATCCAGATGTGGAGCCAGTGTTTGGAAGAGAGTTTCTTGCGACCAATTTGGGATCTGGCTTCGCTTCTTTCTTTTACTCTCCAGCTTCAGACCATATCTGTGGTGCCACCCATCATCAACGAATTGGTTCCAACTCTGCAGCAGTCTATTTTAATGGTTGGGGAGGCTCGTTTCAAGAGCCAGGATGGCGATGTCTCAGTTGATGCCGGCACAGAAGCCGTGCAGCAGCATATCGATACATCGTACATCCTGTCGCTGCTTTCAGCCTCTGCCGCAGCCTGCGCCACGACATTTTCCGAGACAGACAGCGGCGCAAAAACGAAACAAGCCGAATTTTGGCAACTGATCAACCTCGACCTGGTGATTATCTTTCTTACACCAAGACAACGGCTGGACGACATCATCAGCATGCTTGATATGCTGTGCACTTCGAGTCTCGCAGATTCCATTGGCCCCATCATCCCAGGCAAAGACGCCGACCTGGCTGCGAAAATGGTCATCGACAAAGTTTCTCTCAACCTAGTCGAATTACCCATAGCAGTTTCGTCTGCAAGCCAGAAGTACGCAGTGAGATTCGCAGTCTTGCGGACACTCATGGCCTTTGCCCGCTCCCGGTACGGAGCGCGACAGGTGGCGGGCCACGTCAGTGTCATACCCCGGTTAGTTACAGCTCTGGGCGAGCTTGTCGATATTCTGTACGACCTTTCCGACCCTGTAGTGGATATATCCAGTGGCGGTTTCTCCCCTTCGCGCAAGGACTTAGCCGTGGGTACAACCCCGGACGGTCGCCGCGACGGTGTCGATGACTGGAACGGCGGCCGGAGTGACGCCTCCTTGTTGATATCCCAGATTATTCTTCTTCTCCATACCTTGGTCACAGATCCGCACACGGTCAACGTCGCCAACATCCTCTCGAAACTCTCCATTTCCCACGGTGGCTCTCAACGGTATATCCTATCCCTGTCGCGACTCAACTTCGCGGAAGAAGATTTGGTCTATGAAGGCGCAATTGACGCGGATACCGTTGATCGGGCTCATGAGTTGTTGGAGATTGCTGTAACTCCCGACGAGGGCGACAGTATCGCAGTGTCGTTCGGGGTTTGAACAGCCAACAGCTCTCTACCCAAAGTTGCAATTGCCCGACTGGACGGCGTGCTGTTAATGGATAGTCCACCTACTCCAAGTGGCATTAGTCTATTCAGAACTCACTGCACATGCTTTGCTGAAACAGGTGCCAGGACCGTGGACTTCTGAGAAGAACGAATGCGGGTGTGCCAAGAGCGCCCTGGTATCGTGTACGCCTTCGCGTATTGCGAGGGTCATCAGCAAATGTATCATCACATTCGTCGTCACTATCACTTCAAGCTAGTGCGGTTCTCCAGCAGCTAGTCGAGGCTGAAGTGGCAAACACCTAATCAAGAACTGTGAAGAGTCATGCAGCATGTCATTGCGTCCTGCTCCGTGGGACAAGTCTTGGGACCGTCGGTCTGAATTTAAATTGGTTCGAACCTTTCTTCGATTCTGGAAACTCGATCGAGAAACGTGAACCACAAGATTCATGTTACTCTCTAAAAGGCCGTGCCCGGTCGTAGGGAGAAGAAAGATTGTATCCCTTATCAACTGGATGCCACGAAAGCCACACCACGAGAGCTGCTCAGACCCCAGACACCAAGGATTACTCCATTCGGATTTGCTGATCCCTAAGCTCTGAAATGGCGTCGAATCGCGTCGTCCAGCTTTGTTCATACGGGCAGCGCAGGCTAGAGATGGTGACTGGACGCGCTAGTCAGGCAAAGCCTTTGCCCTTTGGCTTAGCGCCCACCTGTGATCGCCCAGTTCAGCACGCGCCCCTGAGTCAAGAAGAAGCTTCTCGTCCGATAAAGCAGCCACCTGGGGTCGTTCGTCCCAACTATGACTGGGCCCGAGTCCGGTTCGTGCGGTCTGGAGTGAAGGCGTGCGTCCAAGGCGAAGCTAGGACGACAACAACAATAACAACAACATTACCGCGCCCACTCATGTGGATTTCGAGGCGAATCGGAGTCAAGGACCACCGCTCGGCAAGGCAAGCGGGGTGCATTGAACATGGCATGGTTTTTATGGCAAGCGCCAGGAGTCGACCGTTAAACTCTCATGTCGCACATGGCCGGTCAGGAACGGGTGGGCACAAGCCACTCGTGCATCCTACAAGCTGAAGTCTCCGATGGAGGAACCCCTCCACCCTCGTACCCCTTCATGAACTGCATATATGACGCGACTTTATCGCACGTCCTCTCAAGAAAATGTTGAAACCAGACTCTCCGTTCCTTCTCTTCTCCCAGTTGATGTGCTGCTGATTCAGTCCAACGCTGCCACGATGCATATTCTTTTCTTGTGTACCGCGCACAATTCGCTTTCGCAGCGTCTACAGTTGGCACTCGCCAAGTCACACACCATCACCATCGAATATGCCCTCTCAGACGATGTCATGATCGAGGCGGCCAAGCTCGCCAAGCCTCACCTCATCATCTGCCCTTTCCTTACGGTTCGCGTACCCCGAGAGATTTACGACAACTATCTCACCCTTGTCGTTCACCCTGGTCCCCCGGGAGATGCCGGTCCAAGTGCCTTGGACTGGGTGCTCATGGGCGATGATGGTATGGAGACCGACCCCAACACCCTCCTCCAGAAAGGCTCTTGGAGCGAGTCCGGCCGGCCATACTGGGGCGTCACTGTCCTCCAAGCTGTTGAGGAACTCGATGCAGGGCCAGTCTGGGCTTTTGAGCAGTTCCCCTTGCAAATTGATTCGCCAGTCATTACAAAGTCGAGCCTCTATCGTGGCCCTGTCACGCGGGCCGCACTTACAGCCACCCTCGCAGCCATTGAAAGAATCCAAACCGCCTCTGTTCAAGCCGCTTCACCCTACACTCCTCCTCCATCACCAGGGTTTGAAAAATTCGCCCCGCACCATGTCACTCCGCTACTCCGAGCAAACCCTGCCTACCGCGACGCCTCTGTCACACTGCAGAAAGCTTTCCTCGGCGGAGTAACACGTCATCGGCCGCTTCTCAAGGCGGCCCAACGCGACTTCGACATTCAGTCACACACGGCTCGGGAAATATCGCGGAGGATTCGATCCTCGGACTCTCAGCCAGGCTGTCTGACCAAGATGTTTGGCCCGGGCCTGTACGTATATGGTGGCACCATCGAGGAAGGTGGTGATATCACTAGTCACGCCCATCCCGGTCAAGTTGTTGCTTGCCGGGACGACGCCGTTTGCCTTGCGACCTGCGACCAGAAGGCCATCTGGATCACTCACATTCGCCGTGTTAAGAAGAAGACCGACGCGATGCTGTGGCCCAAAGTTCCTGCTGTCTCCGGCCTGAGAGAGTTGGGCATCCTCGACAGCCACTCCATTACGGAAAGTCGCATATCCAGGGCGACCATCGACTGGTCCCGAGCCCCACGCGGTACCCAGCAGGACATATCAGTCGATTTCCAGACATTCGCCAATGCTAGGCGGGTCGCGTTCCTCTACTTCGACTTCTACAACGGTGCCATGAGCACGGATCAGTGCTCCCGCATGATTGACGCCCTTGACTTCATCGCATCCACTCATGTTGTGGAACGACCACTCAACGCCCTTGTGCTCATGGGGGGTGACGGGTACTTCAGCAACGGTGTTGCATTAAACGTTATCGAGGCTGCTGCGGACCCGGCGCTTGAGTCTTGGCTAAATATCAACCGCATTGATGACGTTGTGCACTACCTCCTCCACGAATTCCCATCACGCAACATTCTCACAGTCGCCGGTATAAGGGGCAACTGCGCGGCGGGCGGTGTCGCTATGGCTGCTGCATGCGACATTGTCCTTGCTGGCTCCGAGGTCGTCCTCAACCCAGCTTACCGTGCCATCGGCCTGCATGGTTCGGAATACCATTCCCTGTCCTACCCCGGACGTTGTGGCTCATCCGGAGCTACCAAGCTGCTGCGTGACATGACACCACTATCAACAGCTGAGGCCCGGAGAATGGGCTTGGTCGATCACACTATCCCCGGCAACGGGGCGCTTCTCGAAACCCGCATGCGGAACCTCGTCAAGTCGATGGTCTCTTCCGATAAGAAGCTGGCGCCGGGGTCTTGGAAATGTAACGTGAACGTCACGCCTGCGGGCCTGGCGTCTGCTCGTGCTGAGGAGCTCGGCCAGATGTCCAAAGATTTCTGGGGTGCAAGGTCGACGAGGTATCACCTCCGCCGCCGAGACTTTGTTCGTAAGGTGAAAGCGACTAAGACGCCATTACGGTTTGCGACACATCGGCGAGGCACAGGGGAGCTCGACGAGGAAGAGACTGATGATTTTGACGATGACACCATCTATGAGCGGAAGGCGAGGGCAGCCCTGTTGGCTGACCAGCTCAAGGAATACACGGAGAGCATGGCGGCGACAACTCCACACACGGATGTGAGTGTTGAGAAGGCCTCGCGTCGCTCTAAAGCTCCGATTGAAGTCGTGAGCGAGCAGGATGTGGAGCAGGATTTGAAGCCCATGTATTCGTGCTACTACGAGGTGACGGGAACATTGGGATTTTCCTAAAGGTCTATCTCGTTTAGCCAGGGCGCCGGCATTTCTATCTTACTTGTCTTTATTCAATTTGTAATACACTTGTGACGAATTACATGGTTTCGTCCGTACAAATAATGCTTTGCATGAAGCTTGTTCAATTACGAATGTTGTGTGAGGTAAAATCAGGTATGGCGTACTCATTCAGGTGAATGGCTAACTTCGAGTCAAGCCCCTATCACATTTGAGACGCTAACGGCACCAAAGTTCCCGACCGGCCCACGGTGCCATTTTTCGAGGCCCATTAGAGGCCGAACTAGTAACCAGGCCGATCTAGTGAAGGTTCCTGTGCAGAGTTCTATTGAGAATCGCCCAATTGTCAGTCAATGTCTTTCGTGCAAGGTGACAACTTCATTTTCAGCCAAACACTTGCAATCGTCCGATTTTCTTGTGGAACGGCCCAGGCCTTTGGTCCCGGAACACTACACCCTACCGAGTCCACGGCTTGAAGGTCATGCGATAGGCTACCTTCCACACCGGTCAGGTCATCGAACCGACATGGTGGGGTCAGCTTCCGAAAGATGGCAGCACACGGATGCCGGATCCGGATGTAAGTGGGGCGACACGCCGAATGGGGGCCGTTTTGTTATCAATGTCGCAAGTCACAAAATGGAGTCTCCCAGCGCTTGAATAAGGGCTGGCTGCCACTCGTTCGGCTTCGCAAACCGTTTGAATCTTTTGGCGTCTTTTCTCGGAAGAACGTCTCCGAAGCTACTTCTCGCGTGCTTGACCTTTAGCTGTTGGTGTATTATCCTAGGATGGTCTCGGCCCTGTCACAATGGCGTCCCGCCGAATAGACTAACTGGCAGTCTCACATTCTTACAATTTGTTTATTCCCTTGCACGAGCATTCGAGAAACTTGTTGCTAAGCCCAATCATCCATCATCGGATGTCGATTCAACATACCTAGAACCTGACATTGGCGCAGGTGAACCGCTTGCTGCATGTAGGCGGCACACAGTGCGCCCCACGGGGCCCAGAAATTCCATGCCGCAAATCATCAGAGGTTTGATCTATCACGCATCATTCCAACAAACCAATCAAGTAGTGGGCACATCCACCACCTCGTATTGCGGCCATTGAGAAAGAAAGATACTACTGCTACCTTCCTCGGAGAAACATACTTATCCGAACCGTATCTGCGTCGCTACGTGGAGTAAAGGCCCACCGTGAGCTAATCGTGGGCCGATCTTTCTGTCGATGTAGCGTCCACTGAACCCAGCTGCAAGAGTTCCAATGGCTCAATCAACTAGAAAGCTGATCAGAGCCATTCAGAAAGAACTAGGTTCTGCACTCTGAGGTGGTGCATAAGAGACAGCTACAATACAGTCTGTCGAGTCTCACGCCGGGTCGCTTCCGAGAAACACTTGCGGACTGCATTCTCTCAAGAATTGGCAGCAACTTGCCAGGCCTCTTCAGGCATTCAACGCGAGGGAAACGCGAGAGATACAGTGAGAAAATTGACCACTACATCTCACAGTAACAATTCTACGGTACTGCGATTGCGGACTCTTGTAGCGTTCTTTCAGTGAAGTTGGGGAACAGGGCCTCTTCAATTTCGACGTTGTCTGCGTAGGGGTCCTCGATGTGCCGGCTCCAACTAAACAACCTACCCGAGCGGCGTTCTCCAAGCTAGCCCAACGCAAAGTTTGTGGTAAATATGGTATCCAGTTTCGCGTGGTGTCCCAACGGCCACTACAGATTGCGTTGAAGGTACTCAAAAGCAAGTTTTATGACCGGTATTATGGGAAGGCACCCTATTACACCTACATCCATCTTTGTCACGTAACGTCCCAGGATAACGCGCACAGAGGACATCCTCTCGGAAGCATGGGACTTGGCCAGGCTTCGATGCCCTAGGCCAAGACTATCGGGATTATCGGCTAAGATACGATGACTATTCCTCTAAGGTGGCAGCTCAAGAGGGCTCCAGGTATCGGAAAGCCTCGCTTTGCGTTGAAGAGTCGCTGCCGGTAGGGCCGATCTACGCTTCCTTCATATTCTTACTTTTTGCCAAGTAGAATAGGGCGGACCGGGCATTCAAAAGCAGAACTCCGCAACCACGCGATATGGGAAGACTGGGGACATTGCCAGCAGCATGAACGTACAAACCCCACACCCCACACCCCGTCAAGCCCGTTAATAATCCCGTGCTAAGGAGCAGCCACGAAAGCCTGGACAGAGCCACAGATGAAACGCCGAACAAGCTAGCCCGGCGACGACAAGACCAACACGTTCTGCTGTTCTACGAATTGGCCATGCATGACATCATCAAGAGGAATCGTGAGACCATCTTTCAGTCCCTGGTTCAGTGGAGCCGCCCGGCGCCAGTAATGTCGCGATTCACTATCCTGAAGGTGTAGATCATGACGCTACGGGACTAAGCTTTGCGGAGATCCCACACGACCCGCATCACATAATGCGGCATTCAGATCCGAATGTGGGGACTGGGGAATGGAGAAGCCAATTGGGGCTTCGTTGCTTATCTGGATAAATCGCCGGAATGGCTTCAATGAGGATGATCTGGGGGATTTTCATGGGGCTTAAGTATTGACGTGCCCCGCAAGTTGTATATGCAGAAGTGAATTCAAAAAAGCCTCCATATACGCCTGCTATCAGAGTCTCCTAAAATGAATGAATCGAACATCAAGAGTGGTCGGCGCGTCTCGTTTGGAATAGGCGGGGCTGGCAACATACGTGAGCTTGTTTCTGATCAATCATGAGTACGTTAGTAACTTAATCATCGCTGACATATATCTGCCCAGGTCACTATGCTAGAGTTGTTGTGGATGAGCCGTCTTTTGAAGTGCGACGACGGAGCAGTGTTTGGAGTACTGCTTCATTAGACTCTTCGAAAAGAGGGTTAAGTCTCGTCCACAGCATGCGAGATGTATTCAGGAGGAAATCACTAGACGACACGCCTGAGCAACCTCTGACAGATGGAATGAGGAGGAAAGACTCAAATTCAGCGGCTACAAACGGTGAATCGAGCTGTTAATTGTAAGATACCATTGGAATTTCAAAGCCTCATAAAAGCAGGCTGGGAGTTTGTTTTTGATGAGGGCAGCGTGGTGTTGGTTTTCACTGGTAGCCAGAACTAGGTCTCTAGCAGCCGATTTGGCAAAGAGCGCTATAAGATTGTATCATCCATGACCATGGAATCAGCCTTCATTTCAGATGATTCTCCGTACAGCTTGATACAACGTTGTCGAGAAGCACCCTAATGGTACGATGCGAGATGACGAGGCAAGCGGTCCGCTTTCATCATCCCGGCAGTCCGACCACACCATCGTCCAAAGTCCATTTGCTTGAACAGCTAGGCGTGTTTCCCTTGCCTACATTCGGATTGGTATTTTGAAAAATAATGTCATTACAATAGAAACTTTGATTGCAGGTCGGGCTGATTTGGTTCCTTGCGCCGGACAGCGTCCCCGTGAAGTTAGCGAAGACGACGTTTGATACTTCGATGTTGCTGGTCCCAGCAAATGACCCGTTATTACCGTTGGTTTGTCAAATGGACGGTGCGTTATTGACCCTCTCGTAATGAACGTGTGAGAAAAGAGTGTCGCAAATTCGGCCCCCAGCGCCGCCACGCAGCTGTCCTGCGCTTTCGTAGTTATTTTAAGGGGCAAGTTCGCCGATCCACGTCTTCAGATAGATTTCATGGCACAATTCGAAGGATCCTTGTTCGAGCTGAGAAATGAAGTTTGAGCCTGGTGCTCTCGAGCACTCTCTGGCTGGGGTTGGTATCATCAGTAAGTTGTCCATGATAATAACATCCTCTACGTTTGGGTCCTTTAGATAATGACCTAAGCTTCCAATCGCAATGCCATTTCCGCGGTCACAGGTGACACCCTCCAGGTGAAGGTTTTATGATTGGGTCTTGATGGAAACGCAGGTATCTCCACCAGTGTGAATGAAACCCCTGACGCGAACATCGTGTGCATCCATCATGTTTGAATGACCCACGTTAGTTGGCAGTTCATCTCAGGAAATCTTGCTAACCACAACCCCAGTCTGGTTTTAAAGCCACTTACATCAAGATGGTGCAGGTAACATTCTCGAAAAGCATTTTATTTTCGTTCATGATGTTATGGGCCCAGAATTGGGTCTATCTGATGTAGAAGTTCTCGACCATCATATCGCAGACATTTTTAAAATATAAACGGCTATACCAAAGCATGTCATTTGCAGAACCTTGGGCAAAAGACAGAGAATTATACCATTGGACGACCTTCGACCGTGGCCCCTTTTTCGGCGGTGTGCCAAGCATCGACATTTCTGTGGATACTGCCAGTTCCTTGACCATTAACATGGATGCCATCGCCGGTCAGCAAAAAGTCAGCGCGGCATTTCTGAAAGAAGATAAAACATTTATCGGATCTCCAGAGAGTTATATTGTCCGAGAACCCTGACTCTTTTCACCACGCCATTGAATGATCACATCATGGACCAGGGGGTTGTTGGGCTTTCGATTGACCCAATAGTTGTCGCCCTCAGAAAATGTCATGTTTCCAGATATGCCGCAAAAATTGAAGGCTTCCAAAATATTATCCGTGTCGCTCGTGTTGTCGCTATTAGCAGTCACTATACGTTGCGGTCGTCTCCGAAAACAGGTAACTGCAATTCCGGCGGCTTTTGCAGGATTTTCAAATCTAAAGAGGGGAATGAGAAGTACAGCGGCCTTCAGAGCGAATAAATTCATAATCCTGAGTGTGAAGTACTTATGGTTTATCTACGATATCATGCCCTAGATTAATCATCAAGTAGTTTCTGTAGGTTCTTTAATTGCTTAGCTACAGAATAGGATAACTGCCTTCATTCCAACTATTTTCAGACACAACGAATCCCTTCTCGCTATCGACTTCTCACCATCGATAATACACTAACCCTAGACTATTACACCAATGTTACAGAGGCGGTAATCTATTCCACTGAGAGCTCGTCAATCGCTCTGGCGAATTACCACCATAGTACGAATAAGACTATGGCCATCTTTGTTAAATGTCACACGCCTCGGCCGTTTCCCCCCCCCCCCCCCCCAATGGCCCCCATCCCTCCCACTCCCTTCTAACCCTCTCCATTTCTCCTCCCCGCCCTCCCCCCTTTCTCCTTCAACCCTCCAGGGCTGCGCGCCCCCCCCCTCCTCCCCCCCCCCTCCCCCCCCCCCCCCCAAATATGCGCCAATTCTATCTCATACATATTAAGACTTCAGATTTCCCTCTGCCCGGAATCTCCATTTGCCTATTAAACAGTCAGTGGCTGGCCAGCACCGCTGCTAATCACTCCCTCGCAACCCCGCATATGAGCATACTTATTTCTCAAGAACCCCGGGCTCCGGGATAGGTGTTCGCTAGATAGAGCTTATGAAGACAGCGCAATCCATTAAGGGTCTGACTGTCTACTTTGATTTTCTGACTTTCAGGACAGCTGACTCTGATAGCCCAACGAAGCCCAACGGCGCAAGGTAACGATGAATGTGGGTGTATTTGGCAACTTCATGGCTATTGTACAACTAGTCTGCGGTTTCCTCCAATTCAATCCAATTCGAAGGCGAAATCTGTACTAAGTAATAAGTATCCTTGGCATTCGGGTGAAGATCTTAGCTTGGTAAACTTAGACGGTGGCACTGATTTAAAGGAAGTAGAAATTGATCTTCTCTATAAATTACAATGCTGACCTCTGTCTAAATCTGCATGTACGTTACATTAATAGATGACATGTGTTATCTTATGTTCACCATGGCTAGCCTCTCGAGCGCTCAATTTTGGCTGTGAATAACTCGGGTCTCATATTAAAACTTCTAAGCCCATCTTCTTGACTCGGCTTGCGAGATTTGATCTGAAAAGAACGCCCCACTCAATCTAATAGTCCATGGAAACCGTCAAGTACGATTGGAATGCTTTCATAGAGTGAATTTGGCCTCTTCGAATCCCCGTGAGGACCCTACGTGCGTGGCTCTACATAGAGTTTGTGGAAATGGCCGGGCCCCAAACTATGCGCAGTTTCTCGTTTGAGACCGTTCACAAACAGTGCTCCTCGCCACGCACGTGGGGTATGTATGCTGACACAGCAAGGTTAGAAAATCAGACCTGAAACCTTCCAGGAGATCACATTGACGCAAAACATTGCGAAAAGGAGCAATCAGCGTAACAATACCTAGGTGGCCTGTAACATAATCTTCTATCCTACTCGCGACCTACATCTGAAAAAAAACCATGTCTATTCGCCGCGAAATCGATCAAGATGGAGATCTCATTCTCGTCCTCAGCCGGCTGGGCCTAGATGATGCCGATGTTGCCGAAGATGGTGAAGACGGTGTAGATGCCGACGCGAAGCTACTAGAATACGAGCAACTGCAAAACAAAGAAGTCAGGGTATCTTCGAAGGTCCTGATGCTGAACTCTCCAGTCTTCAAAGCCATGTTGGGCGGAAAATTCAAAGAAGGCACAGAACTTGCCAAGAACACCGGACTTTCACTTCCGTACAGCCTTGATCTCCCAGATGACGATGCTGGGGCCATGTTTATATTGAGCCAAATTCTTCACAACGCCTTCGTTGCCGAGAGACCAAAACCGATTGGCCTTGCGAGGCTAGCTTTCGTCAGCGACAAGTATGAATGCACCAGCGCCCTAAAGTACTGCGGGATGGTTTGGATTCGGGATTGGCTGCAAGATTTTGACGAGATTGTGCCGCCAATGAGCGACTTTTGTCACCTCTTGGTCTTTTCATATGTGATAGATCTCCCTCTCGAGTTTTCCGAAATATCGTGGAGAATATTCCTCTATCACCAAGGACCCTTTTTGCGGACCTCGGAACAAGTCAGGGTATTAGCAGATCATCCTCTGTTAAGACATGACATCATTGGTAAGTTAAGTCATTGACAGCGTGCGTGTCATCTCAAATTGACGCTGATCCTTTAGGATGTTTGGAACTGAAACGACATGAATGCTGCAACGCATTTTACAAGGGCCTCGTCAGCCCAATGACTTGGACCTGGGACATTTCCCAAAATCCATGCGTGAGATCTGCCAAAGCACTAGGAGCATATATTGAGACTCTCAGAAAGTCCAACATACTGCCAAAAGACATCGATTTCGCGACTCACAAATTCTGTTACCTGCTTGACATGGCAGTTGATCTACCCAAGATCACCATGATGGATTTCCCTTGCATTAGGGAGGTTGGAGTCTGTGGGTGTCGTTCAAACAAGTACGGCAATCGCAACTTGTCTTATGAAGTCGAGAAGGAGGCAAGGAAGGTCATTCAGCAAAGACGGGCATTCAACTGCCTAGACTGTCTGAAAAGCGAGGGTGCAATTGGAAACCAGGAGCCATGCCGCATTCCTCATTCGTCAACATAGCGAGTTTGTTTCAAGCCCGTGAGAACTCTCATGAGAAGCGGCATAAAGTCGTAGGTGTGGTTCTTATCATACAATGTTTGGGAAGGTACTTCTTGAAAATTGCCAAACACACTATGATCATGGCCATTTTCCACCAACCTGCCGCCTGAAGGAGTGAAATCATCTCTTCGCGTTATAAATACTTATTTCAACCTGTCTAAATCACGGTTAAGCGGCCCCCCCCAGTGAGGGTAATGCCGTCCTTCCACACCAAGCTTAGCTGTGAATCAAACCCCATGTTACAAACAACATCTTCTGGCTGTTGTAACACTGCACAGTCCCTTGCAATCCCAGCTTTCCATCCTGTGTCAAAACACCATACCTTGTCGTGTAGAAGCGGATGTCGTTCGTACCAACGTTCATAGGGTTGGCTGCGCTGCCAGAGTCGGCATATCTGACGGCAAAGCTGCATGTTCCCGAGCTCACTACAGTGGCCCATCCATTGGAAGAGAAGTCCCCTGGTTGCAAAGTCCAAAATCCATTCTGACTGCTGAGAGAAGTGGCAAGTGCCTGGCAGTCTGCTGCCAAAGGTGCGGAAGCCGAAAAGTCCGTCGCAGGGTCCTCGGCTAGCTCCCCGCACCATTCATCTCTGCCTGAAGAGAAGGGAAACCTTTTTGATAGGCGGACCGGTCGTGTGCCTTCTGATGCCTGGGTGAATTTGATGTTGCGGTTCATACGGATTTTTGAAGTAATCCCGTCGGCGTTGGCGAATGTACGAGGAACCATGGTGTCCAAAGCTTGTCCCGATGCATTTGCTACTGAGAGCAAGCCCAAGGTGATGAAGCACAATACGGATTTGGCTGAGATGCGCATGGTGATGTAGTTGGTTGGATCGAATTTCGCTGTCGCGATGTGTCTGCGCTAGACGTGCTTTAAGAGTCAACAATTGAGTCTTATTTCTGATTGGGAGTTTGTCTGAAAAGGTTGTTGAAACAGTAGTGAAGACTGATTGGCGATACTCCAAAGACCAAAGGAAGGGAAAGCAATATGGGAAGGGTTTGGTTTAAATAAATATCATGACTAGCAAACAACTGTCCCAATTGATGAACACAAACGAGGTGAAGGGATGCTTTGCGCCGAATCACTGCGCGTGATCTCCCGCAACTTGATATTTGCTGCCAATGGCTGTGCCGTAGGCACTGTTGCACTGGAACTTACGAGAGGTCAGCTCCGTAACGAGCGCGGGGTCCAAAATGCCAAGTGGTTCGCTATGAGGTATTGGGAAGCCATGGCCCCCGAAATCTATGAAAGGCCCCGCATAGCAAACCCGTTATGTGAAGTTGATCGGGGCGGCTCTCACGATATTGTTGGGCGAACGAGTTTACGTGATGGTCCTGAATGTGATAGTGACAGGAAACGGCCCCCGGAAGAACGGGGATTGGCACCGGAAGCGCCCAGCGCGGACGTGACATCAATGCGGCACATAGTGGCTCGTGGAGACCAGCCAATGACAAGACCGCACCATCATGTTGGTTTGGTCTAGGGTCTGAAAGCGTCCCCGGCTGGAGTGATGAGGGTCAGTCTCGTGCATAAAATTAAAGTGATGGTATGGGGTCGGTGTAATGGCACTGCCCCCTGAATTAAGAGGACAAGGTCGAACTCCACGTGAATGCTCGCAGTTGGGGGTGCATGTTATGAACCGGCATAGCCAGAATCTCACAATGTCTTACAGGAACGTCTGTCTTGCCATTGACTCAACGCGGGCCTCTTCCGTTGCGAGGTGAAAGTAGCCATGATCCGACAGGGAAAACTTCGCGCCTCATCATTAGGAAGGTATACGGTGAAGTGGCATCAGGCAAGGAGATAGTCAGGGAGTAATGTTGGCGTTGATGGCCATGTGCCTATTCGACCGTTCGAGTTGGAACAATTACGCCTCACCGATGCATTCTAGTTGGATCAGCCTCGCCCGACTTCAGTAAAACAGCGTGGATTAGGCAGGTGCTCGAGCAACATCGGCTTCCAAATTCGAGACTGCTTGTCTAACAGCATCCATTCCATTCACTTGATCTTCAATGAATCTCATCGCCCCATGACGGTGTGGCTGGCCCTCCGCAAGGAAGAGCTTGAACTTGCTTTCCCAAGAGAATGAACGACCTGTGTGCTCACATAGAGGTGAAGGTCATCGTCAGCATCACCTTATATGACGGTTGTGGGCGGCCAGCCACGCAGCAGCGCAGTGGTCCACCTTTTCCTAACTTAGTTTCGGCCCACTGGTAGCCTGTGTCGATATCACCAACTAGATTAGGAAACTCGTTTTGGTCAAGGTAGTAGTCATAGAGATATTCTCGAGGAAACTCGTTGTCGTTGGCATTATCTGAGATGGGAAATGAGGGCAAGGCAAAGGTGGTGTTCTCGGCGCCATCTTGGAGGATTTTGTCAACATGGAAGACCTGTGCGTTGTTTGCCGCTGTTGTTCTGGTGGAAACCGGTGCGGACAGGTGGTGAATCACTTGTGCTTCGGTGATGGGCTCCGGTGCAAGTAAGGCTGACGAGTTAAAGAAACGACGACGGAAGGTGTTGATGCCGACGAATGGCAGCAATGCAGTGGGAGGCGGGGTGAGGTGATGAGCCGTCAGGGACGCCATGAAGAAATCTGGAACCATAGTCAGCGCGTTAGGCGTTGGTTAATTTTGAGAAGATGTATTCACCTGCACTTCCTCCGCCTGCAACGACTTTTCGTTCTGGGCCAAGTTCGTTTGTCACATCCCAACGTTCTGCAAGGGAGTAAGCCGCCGTGGCATGTTGGAGCTGACATGAAGCTTCGGGTTGGAGGAGCATCGGATAACTCGCACTGGCGACGGCCATTGGTTCTTGACGCCGACCTGGTGCGATAAGATTAGCCTGTTTGACGGATAAAGAATTAGGGACCGGGGTTCATAAAGGGTTCACCTGTGCAAGCCGAGGTGGAACATATTCTCTGGAGCCTTTTATGATGCCACCAAAGTGAGAGCACAGGAAGACGGTAGTGACGGCTGGATAATCATTAGATGAGTATACAACGCACTCCAGGGCGATTGTGTGTCGCAAATATACAGGTGACCTAGGTCTTGCAATGGAAGTTCCATGCCGCTGGTGCCGACATGTTGTCTCGGTATATCGATGGATGAATAATCCTTGGATGGGGGAGTAAGAAGCTCAGCTCGGATCGTAGTGAATGAGAGAGTCGCAGCTGTGGCTGAAAGGCTGTAGTAAGTCATTCATTGTGGCACTCATGACGAAAATCATGAAATTCGACGACGTGAGGTATAATCGGACGACTACATTCAATGGATATGCCCTTTTGGCGGGATCTGCTGAAGTCAACTCATCTTTAGACGGAGCAATTGAGGGAAGCATTCAGCCACACAAGCCATCCTAGCCACAATAAAATAACGCACGAGCCACAGCTTGTGTTTTGCCGATCGGCTGGAGACACTGGGCGGGAAGCACCGCATTGGCGCTGAAGATTTGCAGGTCTACGGGCAGGAGCGAGCCATGGAGAATTTTGGGAAGGAAGGTGCCCGTGCAGTGGGAGTGGGCAGGAGGGGCCGCGGGCAATGAGCGGGGTAAAAGAACTGGACTCACTCACAGAATCGCGGTGACCATCCAAGGCGGTGAGCCAGCAGATGCCGAATCAGGACTAGCTCTAATGTTGGCCGCGGGACGGTTTTGCCGATATCCACGTCGCGGCGTCGGCTCGACCTCGTATCTCTCTGAGTGACTGAGTCTCTGACCGCTGGCGTTCCTTGGCCGGAAAGGAACATGGCAATCAGGTAACAGTACGTAACCGCAGACAAAGCATCCCGGTCGGCTCTGCCCGTGGACGACCCGTGGACGACGTCGTATCGTCGAATCGAGTTCTGCTGACACATAATTTCGAGCCCCGACGCATTGATGTCACTCCGATCCTTGGGGCGATTGCGGAATGCTAATCCTTGCAGAAAACATTCGCCGACCGCTTCCTCGAAGCGGCCTCGGGCCTTTGTTGCTAGTTCCCAGTTCCTCGTCTCCTCGCGCTCCTCGCGAACCACAATACATTCAGTCCGTCTCTGTCGCAGTCGTTTGACCACCGAGTCAGCCTTGCTGTGACAAATTTTCCTACCATGGTTCAGCCTGGCACTGCTCCAACATACTGACACCCAGCATTTCTATCCCCATCACCATCCTTCCCGTCCCGACTCTCACCCCTCCTTTCTCTATCCGTCGCCAACATCTGCGACCTGGACTCGAGACGACTGCAGTCTCCCGTGACATCAAAACAACAACATCAACACCAATATCAACAAGGCCACTGTTGCGCCGAGCAAAGTACACGTAAATCTCCGAAGCGATCTAGATCTAGAGATTCAGTCTCGCTTAACTCACCCCGCCAAACTCATCCGAGCCTCTCCCCATCTGTCTTTCTCTGCTGCCCCTCGCCGCATGAACCTGTAACGTCATCTTGTTTGGGGGTACGAAAAAATGTCAGGTAGCCGACCACATCCGAGTCGCAGTCCTTCCTCGCAAAATACGCAGACAACGCAGACAACTCATCGCCCAGCGAATCCCAGCGGTTTGCGCCAAAGCTACACTATGGGGTCTCCCATCCAATCTCCTAGCTCGCTCGGCGGCGAGTCCGAATACTTGAGCACGCGCGAGGATGCCACTCCGTTAGCAACCCCTCTTCCTCATGAAAACGAAACTCGCGATCCTCCGCGCGCCGGCTCCAGCCTCAACCGACCGAACACATTTCCGCCGAGCGAGTCGACGAGCCTCTTGCAGAATGTCCTCATCGACAACCCATCTGCTAACAGCTACCCCCATGGAACCTTCTCACCGCGACCCGCCAGCCCTGCTGGTAGCCAAGACCCCGACTTTGATAGAGCATCGTCCTCGGCGTCTGAGATCCCAATCTTGGACCCCATGCTGACCGCGATCACGGGCGACGATCACTGGAGGAAGCGATTCGTGAGGAAGATAAAGAGCAAGAAGATGCACACCTCTAGAACTTTGGCAGAGCAGGCTGGCTTCAAGGATACCATTTGGATGTGGGTTATCCCAGCTTGTTGACACTCGGCTCTGACTTGCTTGCTAACCTCATTTGCTTTACAGGTACCTCTCGTACTATATCCCTCTCTTGACCTGGCTGCCGCAGTACCAATGGTCGTATCTGAAAGGAGACCTCGTTGCCGCCTTGACGCTCGCATCCCTCTATTTGCCGATGGCTTTGTCACTTGCCGACAATCTCGCACATGTTCCTCCCATCAATGGCCTGTATGCCTTCGTCTTCAACCCATTCGTATACGCCGTGTTTGGCAGTGCGCCTCAAATGGTAGTTGGCCCGGAAGCCGCCGGTTCCCTGTTGGTCGGATCTGTGGTCAGAGGCAGCATCGACCATGACAAGAGTGACGAATACAACGCTGAGGTGCAGGCTAAGATCTGTGGTGTCGTGGCTGGCATGGCTGGTGCTACCGTCTTCCTTGCGGGTCTGGCCCGCCTGGGTTTCCTCGATAGCGTTCTCAGCAAGCCGTTCCTGCGCGGCTTCATCTCTGCCATTGGTTTTGTCATTGCGGTTGACCAGTCTATTCCCGAGCTCGGTCTTGCCAAGTATGCGGCAGAAATGGGCGTGGGTCATGGCAGCAGCATGGACAAGCTGGAGTTCATCTTCAGCTCATTCGATCATGTTCACAAGCTCACGTTTATCGTTGCCGGAGTCAGCTTCCTAATCATGATGACTATGAGAGAGCTCAAAAAACACCTTGTGCCAAAGTACCCTGGGGTTGCGTACATTCCCGATCGATTCTTCGTCGTGGTTATAGCCGCAATCCTCTCCTGGCAATTTGATTGGCAGAGCAAGGGAGTCGAGATTCTTGGACCAGTCAAGGCAGCTTCAGGTCACCTTTTCCAATTCCGATGGCCTTTCCAGACCTCTCACATGAAACATATCCGTGAGGCGATGGGTACATCCTTCCTGATCGCTCTTCTGGGATTTTTCGAGTCGTCTGTTGCAGCGAAAAGCTTGAGCAGCTCTGACAGCCCGCACGGTATCCAGCTGAGCCCCAACAGAGAGCTTGTCGCTCTTGGCGCCGCCAACATTGTTGGAGCTTGCTTCATGAGCTTGCCCGCCTTTGGAGGATATGGCAGAAGCAAACTGAACAAGCAGACCGGCGGCAAGACGCCAATGAGCTCCATCTTTCTTAGTCTGATTACGCTTCTCGCCGTGTTCTTCCTGTTGCCGTACTTTTATTATCTTCCCGTAAGTAATCACCCCCAGGAGTATCTACGTGACCTAACATTCTCAGAAACCGGTCTTGTCGTCGATGATCACCGTCGTGGCCTGGTCCTTACTCGAAGAGGCCCCTCACGACATCGCCTTCTTCTTCAAGATCCGAGGCTGGACCGAGTTGGGCTTGATGCTAATCATCTTCGTATCGACAATCTTTTACTCGCTCACCCTCGGCATGGCCATTGGCGTCGGCTTGTCTTTGCTTCAGGTCATCAAGCACTCGACCCGACCCCGGATTCAGATTCTGGGTCGCATTCCCGGCACGCATCGCTTCGAGAATGCTGAGCTCAACCCCGACAGGCTAGAGTTTGTCGAAGGCTGCCTCATTGTCAAGATTCCCGAGCCCTTGACCTTTGCCAACACGGGCGAGCTGAAGGCTCGTCTTCGGAGACTGGAGCTCTACGGGACGAGCATGGCACACCCTGCGCTGCCGAGATTGCGCGCTGAACAACACAACAAAAATGTCATTTTCGATATCCACGGCGTCACTTCACTGGATGGATCTGGCACACAGGTGCTGTTGGAGATTGTGAGCGGCTATAGAGAGCGTGGTGTTCAAGTTTTCTTCAGTCGCGGTCCCACTAACCCGCGCCATCACATCTGGAGACTCATGAGACAGGCAGGCATCATGGACCTAGTTGGCGGAGAGTCACACTTCGTTTCGGATGTCCAGGAGGCTTTGAAGTTGACCGAGTACGAGAATAGCATCAGCGAAGTCGCGAATGCTTGAAAGAGAAGCGCCAGTCAGTCAGTCTTTTGTCTTTAGGCACTGTGGTTGATGTGTTCGTAGAATGGGCGTTGTTTGGTCATCAGCATTTGGAGCGAGAAAAAAGGCGTTCCGATCATCATTTCTTGCAAGCTATCTGTTCGACTCTCGAAGAGTACACATGATGGTTCGTGACGAGAACATTCTGGATACGTATATAGACAGTATATATAAAAAGCGGTGCGATTGGTTCACAGATCATCCTACAGCAAGCGATTGAAACGTCGTGATCACCTTTAGACACGGGTTGCGGGGTCTACTTGGCCTGTCGCCGTTTTTCCATGCAAACTCACAGCCCTCATCACCTAGGCAAGGCCCGCTCGAAATTGGAGCGAATTAAAAATTTGGCAGACACGATGATCATACACTCATTCACATTTCCTAATGCTTGTTTCCAATAACTATCCACAGGCTCCTCCTCCCTGCATTGCCTTACAAAGCCTCATTGACAAACAAACCCGCCATACCCTGTCCTGTACCGATACACATGCTCGTCAACAGAATCTTCTTCTTCGTCCTGCGCAGCTCGCTAAGACCAGTAACAATCTGTCGCGCGCCGGTGGCGCCAAGTGGGTGACCCAAGGCGACGGCGCCACCGCGGGGGTTCATCTTGGCCCAGTCGAGGGCGAGCTTGTCGCGGCAGTAGACGGCCATGCTGGAGAAAGCCTCGTTGATCTCGACGACATCAATGTCGGCAAGGGAGAGGTTGTGCTGGGCGAGCAGCTTGGGGATGGCAATGGACGGACCGATGCCCATGATGCGCGGGGCCAGGCCGGCGACGGTGGAGCCGACGTACTTTGCGATGATGGGCTGACCGATCTTGATGGCAGTGGAGCGCTTCATCAGGAGGACGGCGGCAGCTAGACAGAAAGGTTAGTAACCTTGACAAATCAACCGGTTTAAGGGTATGCGTCGAGACTCACCTCCATCAGTAACCTGACTGGCGTTGCCTCCAGTGGTGGTGGGACCCCACTGCGGGAACGCAGAACGAATCTTGCCCAGGCTCTCCGCCGTTGTTCCCGGCCGGATGCCCTCGTCGCGGGTGATTGTAACCTCCTTGACGTCACCATCGGGGCCGACAAGCTTCGTCTTGATGGGCACAATCTCATCGTCGAACCAGCCCGCGTTCTGCGCCCTCTCGGCCCTCTGGAAACTCTCGGCCGCGTACTTGTCGAGCTCCTCGCGGCTGAGGTTGAAGTCGCGCGAGACGTTCTCCGAGGTCCAGCCCATGGGCTGCATGCAGTCGGCCGATTCCTGGGACTCCGCGACGACGGCCTCGTCAAAGGGCTGGTCAAGGGCGTCGCCGCCAACCGTCATTTGTTCGGCGCCCAGGCCGATACCGACCTCGATGGAGCCGTTGCTGATGGCGTGAGCGATGTCGGCGGTGGCCTTGAGGCCCGAGGAGCAGAAGCGGTTCACAGATGAGGCGCCGGCGGTATTGGGAAACCCTGCTGCCAGAGCGGCGGCGCGGAGCTTGTAGGCGGCCTTGCCATCGGAGACCTGTCGGAGAGATCAAGAGTCAGCAATTGCTCTTCATGAGGCGGAGGGGAAATGTTTAGGTCGGCGGCTACACACATTTCCCATGCAAATATCCTCGACAAGGGCGGGGTCGATGTTTGATCGTTCGCGGACCTCCTTGAGGAGGGCATAAACCAAGTACTCGAGGGTCGTGTCCTTGAAGCCGCCCTTCTTGGCCTTGGCCAGAGGCGTGCGGATGGCTAACGTGATGACGATGTCATCGGGGTTCTTGGAGGTGCTGTTCGGAGAGGCAAGTCAGCTGTTTGATCGGCTTTCCGTGGGTTGGTGGTGGTGCTCCGTATCGGAGACACAGAATCACATGCGCGCAGAGGACCGTACGTACATCTGGTTGAGAGCGCTACCTGGTGCCAGGTGCTTCACAATGGATCCGATTCTCTCGAGAGCCATAATGTCTGTCTGATAGTGCGGAAATTACAACGGCTGTTTGCTTTTCCAGGGACGATTGAGCAACGGGGAAAGAGAAGAAGCGGAGTACGAGGAGATAAGCTCGAGAAGTTAGTTAACTGTTCGTGAAAGGAGGGGGCACCGTCAAGTAGACATGGTTGATGACGGCTCAGTTGCCGGCAATCGTGTCGGGCTCGGGTCCTGTCCCCAGGTGTGTTCCAGCCCAGACCAGTGGCTGTGGGTAAGTCAATTGGACCGAGGCATCTCGGCCACAGAGCCGGCCAGTTAGAATCCAGAACCTGAGTAATGGGGGTCCCGCGGAGTCTGGGGTGCAGTAGCGCAAACGATAGTATCTGATAGGTTATTATTGTATCAAGCCTATGAATACTAACAACCATTAACACTTTTCCGCCGAGGTCGTGTTCTCTGGGAAATGCCGTCCGCCGGCTACGTCTTCCTGCCACCGCATCGCAGCGATTCCCCCGGTCTTACCGACCTCCACCGATAACTACTGCCGTTTGATTGCTGACCAACAGTGCCTTTTAGCAGATGACACTTGGTTCGACTTTGAGTTCGTGACAACCGCATCAAGGTCAAACCCCACGGCTCGCCCTGCCAATGCCGACTTTAGACCGAGGATGCCATATTGCAAACAGTAATCGCCAACCCCACATTGACTTCAGGTCTTTTCAGTCCAAAGCCTTTACGTATTCTTTTTAATATCTGTCATTTCTATTCGTTTCCGAGGCGTGTCCAAGATGTCTACTAATTCCAACGCGACAACTAGTCGTCGCTCTTTATACCTCTGATCCGCGTTCTATAACCCAAGTTGATAAGAAGAAACATTATAAATATGTGAAAAAAAATCACCAGGCGTATCCTCCTGGCTCCGTCTGTATGGTGGTTATATTACCAGGGGCGACTTATACCCCGCCCTACACTGTGATAAGATCGTGATGAGCAGTCTCACGTCTTGTGTCGGTGAGGGCCAAATCTACAACGTTCGTGGTTTTGATCATGAAGTGAAGGTGAAGACGGCGGCCAGAACAGTAGCCGTCATTGCAGCAAGCGATGGTGCGCTTCCGCGAACGGCAATGCTCGTTGGCTTCACCCCTGTGGCGTCCTTGCCGAGGTACCATGAGCCAATGTCTGTCAATTTGCCGTCGTTGTTAAGGAACGAGGCGTTGGGACCAACATTGCTCGTCTTGGAGCGGAAAGCACCAAAGTAGGTGTATCGCTCAATGTAGTCGATACGGTCAAAGTAGTCGGCGCTCATGTTGTAGAAGTCCTGGGTCGTGGCGAGATCCTGGTTGGCGTAGGCATATTCGGTAACCCAGATCTTGGTGTTCGGGAAACTAGTCAAATATTAGAACCACGAACAGCGTTTAGTTTTGGAGATGGGTGAGAGCATACGCCGCAACACGCTCACCAATGTGGCTCGCCAGACCTCCAAAGTTGTCGTACCAATGCACTGGGAGGAAGTCGTAGGTGCAGTTCTTGGTCTTTCCGTCGGTGCTGATGAGCTGGGAGCAGTTACCCAGGAACTGTTCCAGCCAGGGCAGCCCAGTCGGAGCGCCTGTGCAGGCGGGAAGGCCGACCTTGACACCCAGTTCTTGCAGAGGAATAAAGTTGGCAACCCAGGCCTTGGCGGCGATGGAGGGGGCTACGTCGCTGCCGCCGTACTGGGACGGACCATCGGGTTCGTTGAAGCCCAAAGCATGGGTGATGTTGATGCCCTTGTCTTTGATCAAGCTCGTCACGCTCGTAAGGAATGCCGTGTCTTGGGGGTTTGATGAGACACCCCACATCATGGGCACGAATTCGAATTCGGCCTGCGATTTCCCCGCGTAGGCCGGGCTTGGGATTTCCTGGTAGTTGTAGTACCACGTCAGATCGTAGCCTGGCTGAACCCATAGTTGATTGTCCTGAGGCCACTTGGAATTCGGGGTGAAGACGAGGCCGCGTTTCGAGGAGGACGTCGCTGCCACGAGGGGCACGAAGGCGAGGAGGAATGTGGAGAGCATGGTGAGCGGGCTCAAGCGGGTGAGACCCAGTTGAAAAGCGAATGGGGGCCGGGCGGCTCGGATCGAATCGATATGGGTGGCCCTTGGGGGCAAAAGCGACGACGGGTGCCGCAGGGGCCGTTGTTTGCTAAACTGAGTGTGTCCGGTTCAAGACTTGCGAGTAATTGAGGTTGTGTCGCAAAACGATGGATAATGAAGACAATCTTGACCCCTGCGTTTTCGTCTTTGGGAATGGCAGGCCTCGTTCACGCAACCGTCAATTGTGAATGAGTGTGGTGAGGAGAGTGTCAGAAGCAAGGTAGGGATGCTCTGATTGTGATGGAGGCAGGGCAATCAGCAAGATAGATCAAGGGAACGAGTGGCAATGGATGGTTTAAACATCCATTGAAAGCCCTCCTCAAAGAAACGACGTCGTAAGCACAACAAATGCAGAAGGCGAAGCTGAAGAGTGCAAAAGAGAGAGGGGGGAGGGGGAAGAGGTAGAGAAAACAGGAATGAAAAATCCCATGCTGACGGTGCCGGCGTTGGCGTTTACTGGTTTGGCGTTCCGCTGGTGTTTGGCGTTGGGACTGGCGCAGGCACTGGTGCGTTCTGTACGTCAGTAGCGCGTCTTGGGTGTCTTTGCGACAAGGGCCCGGTGTGGACGCTCTTCAGCTGCTCTGTATCTGTACGGATAGTCGGATGCGGATACAGATACAGATGGGTGGTGCTCCGTAGAATCAATAATACCACCCACCTGCCGCCGCCAAGCTGAGCTGCTTGAGCTACTGCGGCGCCCGGGCTGGGCTGGCCCGATTCCTGATAGTAGGTATTGAGGTGATGCGGCATGCCTTTCTCCATTGGTCTTGGCTGACCGGCCGCCCAATGCAATGGCGCGTCCTGCGCTGACCTTGGGTGGGCAAAGACGTGCGTATTGCCCCTGGATTCTGGGCATCATCCATGGCTGTGTAACTGTGTACTTGTAGCCGAATCCGAACGGGCCGGTCATTCATCAAGTCGGCATCTCAGCGACAGGCTCTTTCCAGGTAGAAAAATTATCGGGCTTCTTGCTTTTTCCCGGAATTGCCCATCACGATCGACTCTGACGAAGCAACGAACAAAGAAAGTCAGACCAAGCGAGGAAGGGAACAAAAAGGGAAAAAGAGATTAAATAAAGGACCCTGAGGTAAGGTCCCCTGGCGTTCCTGGCCCTCGTGGAAATACGACGTGGGACGGTGGGCCCGGCAAGATGGCTCCTGCGCGCCGAGCGCCAGTGCGCCAGTGCGCCACTCATTGGACAGGACACTAGCCGTATTGGGGTCCGAATATATGGGTATCGTCTATTCCCAGACCCGCGGCTTTAACTCGATTAAGCCTGGTGTTCCCTTGCCTTCCCGGATCCGGCACCCGTCGGCCTGCAAAATGCCAAAATCTCCTTGCAGTCACACTGGGCGTTATCAGAACTTGCTGCCCACCAGCATACGCGCTATTGACGGCTGTGCCAGGAACCATGCACACTTGAGAAACACACCTAGGTCTATGGTAGAGTATGTCTACTATGTACTCCTTGGGCTGAGTCCTGACAGTACAGAGTGCCCCTCCACAACCACATCGTTACCACGCTCTCACCGTCGGTTCACCCCATCTCCTAGTAGCTGTTTCGACGTTGAAAACGTTCACGTTGACACTTCTGCCTTATTAAGCACACCCTCATAGCTCATCAAGTATGGCACCCCGGGGAAGCTCCATGTGTCTCCATCTGTCTCCATCTGCCCTTCAACCTCCGCTCCTCTTCAATCCCCTCCGATTCTACCGCGGCATAAACTTATCTCTGGCTTCCGTGGGGAAAGCTGTCTTCCCAGATACAATTCTCCCGACCCTACAAGACTCGACAGCATCTTTCTCATCACTCTATCAAGCTGACAGGAATAACCACATCGGCATTAACCAATGTGTCCTTCTATCCCCTTTCATTGCTTTGTTGGGTCATCAGATTGTTGTCCTCGACACAAAGATGCTTCTTTCAATATGCCTTCCCGAAGAATGTCATAGGAACTGAATGCCTTGGCTTTCCCTTGTGATCCCCGTAACTACCCTGAGGCTTGAGTTGACAATATCTCATCCATTTCAATCCTTCATCAGATTACTTGACCCATACCTCTCTTTCCTTCTCTTCTGTCGTCTCTTGTGCCAGTGCATCCTAGCATAAAGCTGTCTCTCGTTGCTGTTCCATCAAGTTGTCGGCAGCTGCCATCGTCATTCTCAATATTCACCGTTGGTCCCTCTATTCGACATCGGCAGCCTCGGCGTTTCTTTGCGCGACTTCAAGCACATCGTCAATTTGCCCCATTTGCTTGGCTTCCTCGTAATTCAATATGCAACATTTGCCCCTGTCAACACCGGAAGATCGCAATGATGAACTAGAGTGGAAGCATCCTCTCAACCCACAATACATGGACAAGCTCTACCTGTCTCCCAACTGGCTCCGAGGCGGTCCATGGAACACACCCTATGAACGTCAGCCCTACCACCACAAGAATCCCTCGCAATTCTTAAAAGATATCGGATTTCGACAGCCAATCGGGGAGCGACATTCAGTCGAGGAGCGACAGTCAAACAGGAAATTCACATTCACGGATGTATTGGTAAACCCGGCATCTGCCAACGATTTTACAAAACGAATCACTGCAGCGCTTTTCACAGCCCGCCAAAAATTCATGAGGCTCCGTGGGCAGGTCAATGTGAAAGTCATCCTTGACCTTCTCCAGGACCAACCGTCCTTGACTAGCGCCGACCTGAGACCAATTGTCAATGAGGCGTATCGAGTTGCGTTAGTCGGTGATTCCAACCTGCGCACTGCCTTTGGAATCAACAGCAAGCCCCCTCGCCATCGTAGTGCCGACTTGGAGGAGTATTATAGGCTCTTCCAAGAGTTCATGACCTGTGTATACCAGCGCGGAGGCGCTAAAGTGGTATTTGAGAACGCTACGTATAAAACGGATCCCTTCCATGACAGTGGTCGAAATGACAGGGAACAAAATGACGAGGAACGAATCGACGAGGAGCGAAAGTACAAGGAACGAAACTGTAGAACGTTCCTACTGCCTTTTCTGAACCAGCACGATCTCAGCAATCCCAGACTTTTGGGACATCTCATCCTTAACCGAAGCAAGTACCACCCCAGTGCGTTCGCACTGGCTGATTGGGAAGCACTTCACCTTGGTCGAGCCAGCAAGCTCTTTCATCCGAAATTTGCTGACTCCAGCTTCATTGGGATCCTCACTCCATCAGAAGCCCATGAGTATCGACTCATGCAAACAGATCCAGATCCAGATTTCTACATCGAGCACAAGCACATACTGGTTGGCGCAAATGCCGAACTAGACTATGTCCAACACCCGCTGTTCATAACTTTGCGCGAACAAGGCCGCCTGTTTGGCTGGGGGGAGGGTATCCACTTCCTCCTTACCCAAGTCATGCTTTACCGACTCCTGTACGGTATTACGAAAGCAATAGCGATTCGAAGCGGCCAAGCAGGAGAAGAAGTATCCAGTGGCATTTCCGTGGCTGGAGATACCCGTCTGATTAAAGCCTGGGTATCAGCAGCTTGTCCAAACAAAATCTTTGACCTCGAAAAAGAGGGGATAGTCGAATATGGAGTATACATTCCACCAGCCTTCCTCACTTCGGACTGGTGTGACGATTTCAAGGCAAAATTCACACAGCAACTAGAGGTGTCAAAACACCATCTAAAGAGCCTTTGGCATGATCCATTCTACTTCCAGAATTGCATCACTGAGCAATTCCATCAGCACTACGGACATGTACCCGAGGAGCGCCAAACCTCCGTTCCGTCTTCCCCAAGGACGGCGGCATTGACGGCGGCAAATGACGGCCGATTCCCGCATTTCGACGCACGCGACATTGACGCAAAGAAGAACCTGTTGAACGATCTCATTAGGCGCGTCGCCCGGTGGGCTCTGTTTGAGGTTGAAATGTGGCAATGCCTGCTCGACAAACTCGATGTCCTGTGTGACCTTGCCCGTACGAAGGGAGTTCCTCTTCGGTTTTCAAATTACTCCACGCGTATTCAAATACCAGACGAAGAGGTGAGGGAGGCCTGGGTCGACTTGGGCTTCCACGCTCGTTGGTTTGTGGAGCGCAGAATCAACCATGTCGTTGACCATGGCGGATTGGTTGCGGCCGAAGAGGTCCGGCCGTACTTTCGTCGAGATACGACTTGGTCGAGTTTACAAGCAGGCAAAGAGAAGTGGAAACTACCCAAGGCGTATGCCGGTACCAAGATCAACTTTACTCAGACTATGGATGTCAAATGGGACACTCAGAACGTCGAAATGGACACTGAAAACGCCAGACTGAACACTGAGAACGACAAGATGGACATTGGTAACGAAGAAATGGACGAGGTTGATCCCGAAAATCTTACTGAGCATCTCTGGTGGTCGATCAAGAATCTCCAAGTTGGTCTTGCGAGTAACTTCAGCATTGGAACTATCGGCTTGCCGAAGCTGATCCAGGCTCTGCATACCAAGCTTGACGAGCGACACGAGGCACTCGGGGTTCAGTCGACAGTCACAAAAGACTACAAAGGCATATACCTGACAGGTCTACTTTGTCATCAAATGCAACTCATGCACCCATTCGGAAAGGATCTCCTGGTGCCCGAAGGTCGCAATGAACGGCGCCGCGAAAGTCCGATCGGCCCGTTTCTCATCAACTATGACGACGTCCCTTTTGAGGAGCTTGTCGGAGAAAAGACTCTGAGGTATGTACAGTGGTTACTGGGGATCGTATACAAACCTTATGGAGACAAACACTACAGCCGCACTTCAAGACTCGCACAGAAGTGGGTGAGGGACTTTTGGCGAGAACTTTGCAACGGGCTTGCCAACTCGGACAAGGAGTTCAAGGCGAAGAAGTATCAGAATACTGCGGGTGGCGGCGGCGGTAACGGGACGCAAAGGCAGAGAATCAGCAAGCCGGTGAAGCCAAGGTCCTGTCGGCCTCCGGCTCTTCAACGATACCTCGGAGCCTACGCCAAAGAAAAGAGGAAGATGGAGGAAAATATGTTCAGGTGCAGGAAGATTTGCGGAGAGATTATGAACCCGGCGCCCCCGGGCCATCTGGAACCTCCAGAGTCGGACCCTTCTGTACCTTTCTGGATGGAGCCGCCTGAAGCAGTCAAGCGGATTATTTTGCAGATGGAGGGGACCAGCGTCACAGGGAACAGAAAGGTCGACGAGATGAGCCGAGAAGGCGGAAGCTCTAGAGTGGCAGGCAGGCTCAAGAGGACGGTTTGGGAGACCATGGAGAAGATTTACCGCAGAAGGATCGGGCCCGTCGGAAGGAAGGACGTGTACGATCTGGTGAGCGCCTTCGGCTTCGGGGTCGACAGCAGAAAGGCGGGATCTCGCGAGAGCTTCATGTGGACTGATCGGTCGCAATTCCCGGAGCCTTCGAAGAAAAGTATCACAATTCATATGCCACATGATACCGCAGACTTGAAGGACAACCAGCGCCGCTCGATACGAGATGCATTCGAAGAGCTGGGCATCACGGAGGACGCTATACGCAAGTACTACCATTGCCAAGGTAGCCGTTGAGCAGTGCGGCCTGGAGTTTGAGCACAGGATGAGCAGGGCAGAAGCAAAGATGTGGGCCGTCGAGGACCTTGTTTGATGTGAATTTCCGGAGTTTTCTCCTTGGTTTCCAGGAGTCAACCGGTTTGTGAGTAGCTGCATCGACGTTGGAACTGGTGTGTTGATTCAAATTTCTCTTGTTAGACTCCTCCTCTTTCTTCTTTGCTTTGCTTTGCTCATCTCTGATGCTATCATGTTGGTAACCATGATCTCTCTTCCAAAGCTCAACTTGCGAGCCTCCCACCCATCACCAAGCGACCTCTCATGCCGTTGAAGCGAAGTTTGGTCGTTCCAGGGCTGGCCCAACTTCAACTTCGGACAGGCGGCTCTGCTGAGCACCTCAGATTGTCCGGGCCGGTCCCCCCATCATTCACAGCGCCACCAGTCCGGCCCAACTCGTTACCTACGTCTCTGTTGTTTCTCATTTCCTCTGCGTGGTCCTCGCTCCCTCCGGTGCCATCGCCGTTGACAGTGCCGCCGCGTCTCCTCCGTGGTTCTAGTGAAACAACGACAAGTCTGTGCCGCTTGACGTAGTGCATGTGAAGAAGGAAGCAGCATGATGAGAATGTCACTACGAAGATAAAGGCCAAGAGGCCGACCATGATGTTGACTCCCGTGTCGCTCGCCATGTTTTGCTCGTTTCTGATGATGGCAGTGCTGATGTTGTTACAGAGCTTGCAATGCTGATGAAGACGCGGGTAGAGCTTGTTAGCTGGAGAATCTCTGGTCTCTAGATACTTTACGACGAATACTTTGATGTTGAAAGTAGTGTGCCAGTTGAACCTCATTTTCTTTTAAACAACTCAACGCAGTCTCACAGAATCACCCTCATTATGATTAACGCGCTTCAATGAATCACTAGAAGTAGGGAGCCAACCAACTAACTTTCACAATCTCCTGGCGCGGATTCACTACACCCAAGGCGGTTCCGGAAGGATGCGAGATATCTCTACCGATGCGTCAGGGACATTCGAAGAGCACGCTTCTCAAGAATCATCAATCAGTCTACACCATGCGGTGGGGACCAAATTCTTAAAGATGTCAAGCGATTATGATTATCAGGAGACTATCCCATATGTGACATACCGAAAACCCAGATCCCGAATCCATCAAAAGCAAAGCGAAGGGTATAATGCTATGTGCAGCCCACCAGATGTTGTATCCCCGTTACCTAATCCCCGTGAACCGACCTGCCGCGGTCCATGCCATACCAAGACACCTGTGAAACCGTGTATTCTCCCCCGTCTGTCCGCCCGTTGCCCGTTCCAACCCCGCCTCGACTGTCTTGTAAAAACCTTGCGTGATTTGACCAGTGCAAGTCCAAGTTCTCCCCGGTTCTATCCCAGCCCCCGTTCCCTGACGCGCCAGTTAAGATAAATGCAAGGTAATGTGAGATTTATGCAAGGGGGAGAGAGAGTGGAAGAGAGAATAAGAGATAACGAAATCGCTGTATAGGTTATGTTGGGTGTTGTGTTCTGTGGGATGAATCTAGAGCAAGGAGTGTCGTTGTAGCGCAAGTGATGCGATGTAGTGATGTGAAGGTGGAGGTGGTTCTCGAACATCGTTGAGATTGCCGAGACGTAGTCCAGATAAGCGACGTCAAGTGCCACGACGGGCCATGGAGGTATTGTTAGCAATACACCGAGGGGGTTCGGAGAGGCGGAAAAAAGTCGTAATGGTAGTGCCGAGTCTTCGGTGGGGTAGTAGTGGTCAGTCCTCTGAGGGGGGAAATGATGAGCAAAATGCGACCCAGTCTATCACCAAACAAGCCGAGAACAAACGCCGTTGTATCCCTCTATACGGGTAGTGTGCAGCCCGAACTGCAGTCATTTCTGAAACAAGTATGAAAGTGTCTCGGGCAAGGAAGCAGCTGGTGTAGGAAATCGACGCCAAGATAGTGAGTCGGCCCAGGCCTTGGGAATACGCGTCGCTAGCAGCGTCGCGGTCGGAGTTGCGTCAGTCCGCCGCCCGTCTTTGCCGATCTTGGGTTCAAGAACGAAAGTGTCTAGTGGAAGGTCGGGCTGCCTGTGTGAGAATGGACGCAGCCGCGCCACCCGCGTTTGTGAGACGACTCAAGAGCCAAGGCAGGGTTTGATTGCTGGGGTGGTGGGGGCTGCCACTGATCTTGGCACGGGAAATCGATTTCCTGGCCAGAACATCTTTCCCTCTCTTTTTCGTGACAGGTGAGCCGGGTCGTCCTGGGTCGTTGATATAGGGCGCTTGTCTAGACTGAGAGGCCATGTGAATGGCTCGGGTGAGCCCTTGAAACCCTTGTGTGGAACACGGGAACGCCAATGCACGACCGAAGAAGCCCGGCGGGAAGGCAAGCGAGTGGTCGAAGACAAGCCGATTAAGAGACGGGTCTGGAGAAGACAGAGTAGCGTCTGGCATTTGGAGCAGGCGGATAGGGCGCGGTGTCCTTCAGTAGCTCCGTGAAGCAGATGATATACGTCATGCAGGCCGGACGGATGCAGGCGACCCCTCCAAAAGACGATCACCAGATACACCCCCAACCCATCATGCACAGAGGAACCAGCCAATGGTCGGCGTTTTTGATGGTCGAGGCTCGAATCCGTTATCGAAGTGCAGGCGGGCAGACTCGGTGTTGATAGGCCGTCTCAAATGGTCCTGTCATGGATGAAAGACGAAGGGTGGCCAGAAGGGTAAGTTGGGCGCCGCCCGCCCCAGCTGTTTGCCCGTCATGGCAATACGGTGCAGGTTAAAGGAGGGGTTCATCCATACTGAGGTTGTTGAAAAGAGGGCAGCATCGAAGGCTCCCCCCCGCCTCTAGATGATGGAGAGACGGGCTCCCAGTTGAGACGGCAGACAGGGGGGTGGACGGGGGGGGGGGGGGTGAAGGTCCGTGGGGTGGGGGGTGGGGGGAAGGGGGCGCGTAAGCCCGAGGGGCGTGCGGAAGGTGTAGCGGGAGGTGCCGGCGCGAGCGCGGGGGGGGCGAGAGCGCGCGCCCCCCCCCGGGGGGGGGGGGGGTTAAGGTCCTTGAGGATGGTGCGTCGGAGAAAGTGGCTCGTAAACCCAAGTGGATGCCGGAAGGTGGAGCAGACAGTGCCGGTCGCTGAGCGGGGCAGAGGTGATTCGCCGGCTCCATCTAAATCGGGAAGAGTGGATTCGACTTCGGAAGCGTCCATTGGTCTGCGCCACAGCAGCTGACAGCACCTCGGGTTCTCCACCCATCCACACCAATGGTTAAGACGAGGGAGTGTGACCGGGGAGAATAAGCCCGTGGACCCCTACACCACCCTTCCTTGTCCCTCTTGCAGCCCGTCCAAAGTTGCATTCTGGCCCTCCCCAATCAAGTCAACGACGTACGACTTCCTCCCCGGCACCTGTTGTTGATGTTGCCCTTTTCTTTGTCCAGCCCTGCTCTTGTCCCCGTGTTTCCTTCACGGGGCGGCCCTGTGTCTCCGATCCCAGCCGTACCCCTGGCGAAAGTAGTGACTCACTCCATCACTTGCTGGCAAGCCTTGCTTCCGGGATATCACGCTTGCGCCTCACCAGACGCGAAGCACATTGCCTCTTTGGCCTTGTTGTCGTCGCTCACCTGGCCCACAGCCATGCACCCTCACTCCCACCTAGGGGCCTCACGGCTTCATGCCCGTTGCGCCCCGTCCCCGTATCCGCCACCACCGTATACTTGGTGACTGGGAGTATGGTGCGCAGTCATAGACTGATACTGCTCAGCATAGGTAGTCGGTGCATGCATGGCTGGTATCGTAGGATCCCAGCGTCCAGGGGCTGATGGCGGCGTATGCTGGTTTCCTAGCGGTGTCTGAAGTCCCCCGCCATATGAGTGCGTCGTCATCGAGCGACTATCATAGCTGGTAACAGCTGGTAGAGGTGCGGCGAGACGCAGCCCAGATTGGCGCGGAGACACTGCGGTGAGGGCGGGAGAGAGGTTGCGTGGTGGTCCCGTCGAATACGCCGGCCAGCTGTGGGTGCTGCCAGTGATCGACCTCGGTGAGGTCAACCCCTCGTGGTGGTGGACCTGTGATGGAACACCATAGGCACTGACATGGTCTGATGCGACAGTCGGGGCCGGCGGCGTCGGGAGCGGCGGAGGATACGCGTTGACCGGTGTGGGTGTCAAGAGGTGCGAGGCTGGAAGAGTCGACGAGGGGCTGGCGCTGTATTTGCCAATAATCTTCTTCAGGGCTGACTCCAAGATCTTCCATGGGAAAACCTTGACGTCCTTTTCAATGTTTCTCGGCTTCGGGTTCGGGAATCCCATGATGATTTTGAAAAACTCTTCCGAGTCGGCTTTGGCTTTGCTGACTGTCAGAGGCCGAAAGCCCTCGAGGTTGCGACGGATGCGGTTCTTCTCCTCGACAGTGAATCTGGCGGGAGCAACGACCAACTGCTCCAATAGATAGATGGTGTCCACAGATGTAACATAGCACTCGTTCTTCTCCGCCCACCAGATGCAGCTTATGCAGATGCTGTTGGGTGGTCTCTCGTTGACGTTGACGGGTCGAAAGGTCGCCGTGAGAGTCGATCCGGTCTGCTTCTTACTGAACATGACGATGCGTCTTCGGTTCGACCATTCCTCGGGAGACCAGTCCACAGCCATGGTATCGAGCTTGCCAACGATCTTCAGCTGAGCCTTGTTTGAGTAGGAACCCCAATGGTTGTACCCAGATTGCTGTCCTCCTCCAGGAGAGCTTGGGATGGAGCTTGTCCGAACGAGCTGAGGCGTTGTGGCAGACGGCATGGGCAGCGGGGTCAAGCTGGGACGGGAGATCTGCGTGTGCGTAATGGGAGGTCCGGGCGTTCGCCCGTATGCTTGCCATCCAGCCATCGGCGGCCGCAACGACGGCGGCACCGCCCGGGTGTAATGCTGCTCCGCGAAGGAGTTGGTCCGGTAAGCACTGAGCATGTTGTTGTTGTTGTCTTGCGAGAATGAGTTTCCATAAGGAGACTGGGCAGGTTGTTGCGGAGCTGTTGCAAAGTCGTACGTATTTGTATTGGCTTCGTTGCCCAGCTGAGTGCTTGCTGACCTGGGGGACTGATGTTGCTGCTCAGGTGACTTGGACACCTTCCTCGTGATGTCGTCTGAGCTAGCACCTGGGCCTGCTTCGTGATATACAAACTGGCCCGCTGTCGTTCTGATTTCCTCGCCGTTCTCAAGTTCGATCAGGAGCAAAATTGGCACGTTTTCGTTGGCACAGCCGGTGACCACAAATGGCGGTGCCTCAGCCGAGACAGTAAGCATGTAACCGTTGCTATCCTGGGGGTCTTTGATGGTATGTGCGGACACCTTGTTCGCGCCGAAAATGAGGGAGAAGAACGGCGCTACGCTGAGGAGATCGTATGGGGACGAAATCTTGACTTGAACTTTGGCCCCGGCCATGCCAGAATTTGGTTGGCATGATACCACCGATGGACCTACGCCGACGGGCATGTACGAGCCCACCGCGCTGTTAGCCGCGAAGGCCTCCTGATTCATCTGGGCTGCAGTGAGCTGTCCTGCACCGCCGTGCTGCGCAGAATAGGTCTGCGCTCCATATTGCTGATATCCGGCATCCTGATACCCACGGGATGAATCGTACCCTGCCCAAATCATGTTCTGTCAGCTACTCCACTCCAAATGCATCGCCTAAAGCCTCTCATCGTA